CTTTTTCCTTCCTTCCTTCCTTCCTTCCTTCCTTCCTTCCTTCCTTCCTTCCTTCCTTCCTTCCCTCCTTCCTTCCTTCCTCTTTTCCTTCCTTTCCTTTTGTAGCTCCATGCCCAGCATGGAGCTCAAGACATGGCTTGAACTCAGGACTCTGAGATCATGACCTGAGCTGAAATCAAGAGTTGGATGCTTAACCGACTGAGCCACCAAGGCACCCCACTTCTTTGCCTTTTTCTTTTCTTTTTTTTTTTTTAAGAGACTAATTATGTATGAGTTCACTGAACTGTAACATATTACTTGCCCATCTCAGCCTCTGGACTGTGAGCTTCTAATTAGCGGGGACTGTGCCTTTCATCTCTGAATCACTATGCTAAACACAATGCCTAGCAGTAAAGTCACCAAACACATTTTTGTTGAATAAATATAAATGAATGGAAAATAATTAATAATTTGCTATGGAGAGGAATAATGTTCAAAATATTTAATAACCGGTTGGTAGAGGCACCTATTGGTCACACTGAGACTACTACGACAGCTGGTAATTTTGTGCTTGTTTGCATCCTCCAAGTATCAGTCCAGGTTGTAGATGTCTTTGACTTTTTCACACCAACAGGAAGAAAATACATACACTTTTATCCCTACATGCAGCCAGACTATTTTAGAAAGGTGTATAGACATAGTACATTGGAAAGCACCTGGATGCATGAACACAGGCCAATAATCCTGTGTTGTTAACCTATTTATATGCAGAGATAAAAGTCTTCCTATAAAATTTACAGTGCTGTTAAAATGCTACTATGCCCTGTCCCAATTACCCAGAGGCATGTTTCACATTATCTGGCGGAGTCTTTCTTGTTAAGTAGCATCAATAAGTAAGGAAAGGGTAATTTCCCACATCTTTAGGACCTGTGGTAAATCTTTATTGCCTTCTTACCTCACATATTTGGTAACAGTAAATAGCTCCCTCCCTCGCCTACCCAAGATGTTGTCTTGGCTCATGCTTCCTTCATCTTTTAAATACACTATTGCAAATACTACAAAGCTGATTAACCCCTTACTTTCATTCTTGTCTTCTACCACCCCAAACCAGAGTAGGTTTGGTCCACTTAGTGCTCACCAGCGTGAACTCTCTGAAATGCAGTTGCGATCATGGTACTTCCTGCCCCAAACCATTCAATTGTTCTGTATCACCTATAACAATGTTCTTCAGGTAACTTCAAGAATTGAGCTTTTTAAAAATTGCAGGTGCTTTGGCTTCACACATGGAGACACCAGTTCAGTAGGGGACAGGGTAGTGCCTAGGCATTCTTAGAAGTTTCCTCAGGAGATTCTGTTGCAGAGCCAGGCTGAGGATCACACATCTATTGGATCAAGTCCCGACTTTCATATAGGGAAGAAGACTATTCATGACTGGTTTCTGTCCATCACTTTTGGTTCACTTATTAGCTGTGAGATTTTGGCCAAGTTACCCAAATGTCTGAGCCTCAGCTACCTCATTTCAAATGGGGATGATAGGGGCACCTGGCTCGCTCAGTCGGTGGAACATGTGACTCTTGATACCGGGGTCACGAGTTTGAACCCCACACTGGAGGTAGAGTTTACTCAAAAAAAAAAAAAAACCACAAACCAAAAAACCAAGTGGGGATGAGAGTACCAATGTTGCAGCGCTATTCTAAGTATTAGAGATACTATTAGGCCATTTAATTGACCATCCAAACTGAGATGCTATTAATAATTACTCCAGGATACTACACATAAATTTAGACTGTCTCAGGCAAACAGAGATACATGATCACTGTAATTTGAGGTGACATGTTCAAAGCATCTCTCACAGTGAATATCATATGGCAGAAGTTCAACAAATTCTTTTTATTTTTATTGTTCTTCGTATTTACATCCCCTACACTGCTGAAAGCCCTTGCGTACTGAGGTTGTGGCTCCAGGCACAAATGGGATTCATGGCATACTCTAACCAAGATCCTGAATGTTCGTTTGTCACTGCCCTTCTTCCCCTCCCCCACGTACTACTTGTGGATATTTCCCCCTTTTCTCTCTGCTACTAGCCCGCTATCAGCACTTGCAGAGCCCAGGACATGAGTGAAAAAGAGGCCCACTTACAATACACATTTTAAAATTAAAAGCTGTCTATCAAGCTGTTACATATGTATCTTTTATCTTTCCACCTTGACAAATATATCTTTATAACAACATGACAGGTCCAAATGTAGACTTCTCGGAAACCTTGGAGTTCCACGCAGGATTGTGGCAGGGGGTGTGCTGATTCTAACCCCTGGCCTGCAGCCGGTTCTTCTTCCTGGCCCATCCCTGGCTCCATCCATACCACACGAGCGTCACGTGGAAAGGTGTGGACACCCTGACCTACACATTCAAGCTCTGTCCATTCACTGTTTCCACCCTCTCTAGCAAACAACTCTAGGGGTGTCTGCTAGATTCCTGTTGCTGCTGTAACGAATGACCGCAAATGCATTTTAGAAATCTGAAATTAGTCTGATGGGGCCAAAACCCAGGTGCTGGCACTGCTGGTTCTGGAAGCTGTAAGTGAAAATCTCTTTCCTTTGGATCACATCCCCTCCTTCCATCTTCAAAGCCAGCCGTACAGTGTCTTCTCTCCTCTCTGACCTCCTGCCTCACTCTTATAAAAACCCTGTGAGGGGCGCCTGGGTGGCTCAGTCGGTTAAGCGCCTGCCTTCAGCTCAGGTTATGATCTCAGGGTCCTGGGATCCAGTCCCGAGTCAGGCTCCCCGCTCAGCGGAGAGTCGGCTTCTCCCTCTCCCTCTGCCCCTCTCCCCCTGCTTGTGCTCTCTCTTGCTCGTTCTCTCTCTCAAATAAATAAATAAATAAAATCTTAAAAGAAAAAAGAGGGGAGGATATGCATACATGTTTGCTTAGTCATGCATTACATTTAAAATAAATAAGTTAATAAATAAAAACCCCTGTGATTCCATTATACCCACCTGGACAATCCAGGATTAATCTCCCCACCTCGAGATCCTTAACTTAGTCACAGCTGCAAAGTTCCTTTTGCCATATAAGGTAACATTTACTACTTCCAGGGATTAAGATGAGGGCGTATTGGGGGGCCATCAGTCAGTGTGTCACAGCGGGGGCATGGCAACAGACCCTTGGGAGAACCCAAAGACGGAGTCTGAGCAAGCCCTGGCACCACACGGGGGCGCTGCATAGGCAAGGATTCTGGGTAGCTGCATGCCTGGTGTGTGGTCTGGAAGCAGGGGAGCTGTGGGGATCAGGGTGGGCGTGTCCCCCTGGGCCTCTGGATCCCCAGCCCAGCTCAGCTAGAGGAGGCCCCTCTAGAGCCCAGGACCCAGGCCAGGAGCCTAAGAATGGTACATTTCTTTTCCCTATTGATCCGGCAAGCACAGTCCGTCTCCCTTTCTCCTGATCTATACACAAGTCTGTCAGAGGAAAACATGTAAGCAAATTGTTTTACTCTATTAAAAGTTCTTTTTTTTTTCTTTTGCATCCTGCTTTTTTACTTGTCATGAAAGAGCCCCATCCCACACCCACTCATTGTTTTTAACCATCCTCACTGGCTTTCCCTTCCTTTGAATCTCTAATTCTGTCCTTCCGCCACCTCTTCAGTGTTCTTAAAATACCCAAGATTTCACCTGTTTGCTCTGTTTTAAAAAATATGCTATCCAGCCAGCAAGTTATTCCTGAATCCTACAAAGTTGTCAATTCATTCCTCTTACAATATTTCTCAGTTTTAAAATTTCCTCCTCCATTTGAAGCCTGCGGATTTTCTTTTATAATCAAATTTAAAATGTCTTTTCTTGTTTTCCTTGTATACTCTGGATTTTTATATTTTGCTGGGTCTTGGCCATTTTAAATAATGTTTCCACACTTACACAATGCAGATAGAAAAATTTTTTAAAATAGTTATTTTTTCTCCTTTTAAGTTTTTGAAAATCCCTGAAGTCTCATTTATGTTTTTGCTTATTCTCATTAATGCGTGGAATTTTTAAGGGAATCAACAATGTTTAAGACTCTGACATTGTTTTGAGAGAATTGTTCAATTTGAGAGTTTATGAATTATTCCGTGTTTTCTATTTTGTTTTTACAAAGTTTTACTTTTTTTTTACATGTGGTGTTACCTATTGCAAAGGATCTGATAAAAAGAAAATTTGCCTATTTAAACTTAATTTTAAACTCAAGTTATATAATTTCAGTGATTTTTTAAAACTCTGACTACATAATATTATTATAATATTACCATAGTGTATGCTTCATGAGGGCAGATGTCTGTCTTATTACTGTATCCCAGTGATGTCCCAGCTACAGTGGTCAGATTTTAGTAAATAACTGAATAAATGAATATGGGAATTAATGAATGATAGAATTTCAGAACAGCTTTAAAAAACAATATAAAGATGTTCAGGATAAACTATGCCACTTCAATTGGAATACTGAAACATAGAGCTTTTTTTTTTTAACTTTTTCAATCAGATTTGCAATCACTCCCAGCCTGTTTTGGAATGAGCAATAATTTATACCTTTAAAGGTGCTAGCTAAAGTGTGTACAATCAAGAGAATGGTGGTCCATTTACATAGTTTAGGAGCTAATAAATACAGATGATATTACATAAATATTTTGTATAGTGAGAATTTGATGTATGTTACAGGATTATATTAGGAAACTAAATATTTTTAGCTTTAACAGCATTAGGTGATGGGAAATGTAAATCTCTGAAACTGAAACGAAGACAGGAAATGAGGAAAATATTGCTTCCATGTCAGTTTGTCCTCATTCTTTTAGGAATTGTGTGTGGGAATTGGTTCACTCTGATTGTAGTTAGTTTTATAATAGTAAATATATGTATAATTCATTGTGGAGGTATGTTATATGTTTCATCATTTCAGGAGTTTCCTCCATAGTATTCTCTTTTTCCTTGTCTGGTATTCTTTCCTAGTTTAAACTTTACAAATGGTTAAAGATGTCTTTTTTTATTGTTTGTCCTCAGAATGGCTTCACTCCTTTATACATGGCTGCCCAGGAGAACCACATTGATGTTGTAAAATATCTGCTTGAAAATGGAGCTAATCAGAGCACTGCTACTGAGGTGAGACTGTCAACCCTATAGGTTCAAATTCTCTGATCTTAATGTCCACGTTCTTTATATCCACCTGCAGGGGATCTCCATTATTTTGTCTAAATTATTCTAGGAATGTTCACATTGCTTTTGTCATCTACAACAGTGGCCATAAACGAATGACCCAGTATACACAGTTGAATGAGTTTATGCCTTGATTTGGGATTCATGTCAATTTGCTCTTACATGAGCTCTGGCTTCCATCAATTTGCCATTCTCTAGGTTTGGGGACCTTGTATACTATTCTAAAATTTGATGACAGTAAATTCTACCCATCTCTTTTCTTCAATATTTTATTTATTTATTTATTTATTTTTAAAGATTTTATTTATTTATTTGAGAGAGAGAGAATGAGAGAGAGCACATGAGAGTGGGGAGGTCAGAGGGAGAAGCAGACTCCCTAACAAGCAGGGAGCCTGATGCGGGACTCGATCCGGGGACTCCAGGATCATGACCTGAGCCGAAGGCAGTCGCTTAACCAACTGAGCCACCCAGGCACCCCTTTTCTTCAATATTTTATCTGTTAGGATCCAATTCAGTTCTTTAAAGGAATAATTTTTAATGATCAGAAATGATTTGTAGGTATTTGTGTTAGTTTTATGAGGAGTATGTCACAAAGAAAAAGTTCACATTTTCTGAAGCACAAATTATGGCACATAGTTGTGTGACTATGATTATAGCAACAACTAAATAGAATGTTCAAAGTCAATTCAGTATCAGCATATTCAGGACATCTAGACATAAGAAGGGGTTAGAGTGGGCCAACTTAGAACATCACTTTCCTTTTCCTATGCATATCCTCCAGTAAACAGAGCTTGCTTTGTTATTCCTTCCCATTTTTGCCTAGGCAGATTAAGGAGCAAGTTCAGTGGTTGCTTAGAACAGTGATTTTTAAGCGATGCTCTAGAAACCCTTGAGTTTGAAGAAATTGCCTCAAGGGGCCACCAGAAGGTTGGAAGTGGGTGACACAGAAGAGAAGGGGAAAGAGTTCCACTGGGCCATGCCTCTCCTCCCTACTTTCAACCAGATCATGCAGTCTTTGTTTTTCCTTTTTCACATTCTGTGCCTCCACTGATAAAACTTTAAAACTCCTGACCTGGAGTGGAAGATGACTGATAGATGTTTGTCATCCAGAAACTAACTTGATAATTTTTAATGTCTAATGTGACTTCCTTTCTGAACAATTAAGTCTTTAGGTGAAATAAACATGACTTCCCCACTACCCTGCACTCGGGGAAGAGATCATTGTAATCTATTAAATCCATTTCCAGTCCCTTTGGCAGAAAACTTTTTATGGAGCCAATTGCAATAACTTTCTGACAGCTTATTCTCATTAGCTAAAAACAAAATCCTAATTTTTCCTGACTCGACATATATAAACTTAGTTGATTAATCCCCCACTGCTGACCCTAATGATTATCAAGAAACACAGATATGGACAAACCTCAGCACATTCCCTTATAGTCTGTCATTCTAGAAAACTACTGTCCTTACAGAGCTTTATGGCTGATTATGGTTTGATATTTGTTGTATTGCCAAACACCTTCTACAGTCTCATGTGCACATGTATGACTATGCCTAAAGGAGACATTTACTCTGAACCGACTGGTAGACTAATTTGTAAAAATTAATTACTAATCAAGACACTGTGACCACTTTAAAAATCAGATAATTATGCGACTATTCAGTATGGCAATGAAACCCATGTTTGAAAATAAATATTTAAATATTTGAAATTTCCTATTATAGCAATTAGCATTGGTAAATAAATGATGAAAAATGAAGCTACTGAATTTTAATAGGAGTTTCTTTTTCATAGAGTCAGTTGAGGTACTTGAAAAAAATCATTTCAGATATTTACCCTTCCCCCGTGAAGTGTGGATTAGAATGAAATCGTTGTGGTGGACATCCAAAGTTAAATTCTCTGAGGGGAATCCTCTGTCCCTCCAGTACCATTTTTATAACTCTTCATTCGCCTCCTTCTTCCTGAGTGTTACCAAAATTGAAGGCTAAAAACTTTTTAATTAGGTTCTGTACTGTCAGCAAATGCATTGTCTCTAAGAAAAAACAAAGTTCGCACTCTTTTTATAGAAACTCTCACAGTATTGCAGTGGATAATCAAATATGTATATGATGATAAGCCTGTTCTTTCCTCCTTCACAGAGTGCTTAATTTGTGCCAAACAAAGCTCTAAATTTAGGCTACTATTTTTCATTTTACAACACTACATGGTTTACTCTTCCATTATATTAAGTGATGTGTTTATTTAAAATTCAATTCTTATTAAAACAAATTCAAGTCTTTTTGTGGTAGTGCAATAGGAAATCATTTTTGCTCAAAACAATCTACAGTTTGAAAAGATTATTGTTGGAAACAAATCAGGTAGTTAGATTATGGTAAATTGCTCTTGTCCCTAAAATGCAATTGTTAATGTACGATCCTATTACCCTCATCTGTTCTATGAATGGAAACTTCTAGCTGAGACTTGTTTTCAAGTTTTTGTGGAGTAAGGGAGGTTTTAACATAAACAGAGCCTAGCATATATATTTTTTTTTCTATTTATTTGCCACCTTTCCATTAACTGAATACCTGTTTCTAGACAGAAAACATGGCTTCCAACTTTCTACTCCTAAAACTCTTCTAACTTTGATGATCTGTGTTATTGTTTTTTTTTAAATTATTTTCTAAGTTTAGAATTAAAAATCTGTTTTTTTCATTACCTAGCACATGTAATTTTATATCTAAATGATCTAAATAATATCACATTCAACAAAGTGCAAAATTAATGAATTAGCCTTATTTACCAAAAGGTTTTAGATTACATTATGCCCCAAACTTGCCAAATTAATTGGTAATAGACCATTCCATTGATAGTATTGTTCTCCCTAATCAATACAGGGATATTTAGCAACTTGCATAGTTAATCACATAATTTATTTCCCTGTCTTGGCTACTATATCTTTGATTCTCAGTCAGATTTGTTCTCCATTATCTCTACCCTCCCCACATTTTCCTTTCTATAAGATGGTGTTACTTAAGGTTGGTTCTAATTTTTATTTTCCCATTCTAAACATACATTTAAGCACATCTTATGTGCAGTATGCTTTGTTAGGGAATGCAGATGTTTTTCAAGATATGTAGAACAGAAACTAAGAAAACAATCTGATGAAGCCAGTCCATAGTATGGTGAATAACTGATTATCAATTGCTTTAATCTTTTTTTAAATCAGTTTCAGAGGTAGAATTTAGTGATTCATCAGTTGCGTGTAACACCCAGTGCTCATTACATCAAGTGCCCTCCTTAATGCCCATCTCCCAGTTACCTCATCTCCCCACCCACCTCCCTCCCAGCAACCTTCAGTTTGTTTCCTAGAGTTCAGCATCCTTATGGTTTGTCTCCCTCTCTATTTTCATCTTATTTTATTTTTCCTTCCCTTCCCCTATGTTCATCTGTTTTGTTTCTTAAATTCCACATATGAGTGAAATCATATGTATTTGTCTTTCTCTGACTGACTTATTTCACTTAGCATAATACCCTCTAGTTCTATCCACGTCATTGCAAATGGCAAGATATCATTCTTTTTGACGGCCGAGTAATATTCCATGGTGTGTGTGTGTGTGTGTGTGTGTGTGTGTGTGTGTGTGTGTAAATACCACTTCTTCTTTATCTGTTCATGTCAATGGGCATCTGAGCTCTTTCCATAGTTTGGCTATTGTGGACATTGCTGCTATAAACGTTGGGGTGCCTGTTCCCCTTTGAATCACTATGTTTGTATCCTTTGGATAAATACATAGTAGTGCAATTGGTGGGTCATAGGGTAGCTCTATTTTCAACTTTTTGAGGAAACTTCACACTGTTTTCCAGAGTGGCTGCACCAATTTGCATTCCCACCAACAGTGTAAGAGAGTTCCCTCTTCTCTGCATCCTCGCCAACATCTGTTGTTTTCCCGAGTTGTTAATTTTAGCCATGCTTTAATCTTCACAGTAATATTTAATCCTTTTGCATTTCTTCTCCATCTTAATTATTATTTTAAACATTAGAGGCATTGCTGAGAGTTGAATCCCATGCTTCCAAAAATTAATGGAAGATTTTTTCTTCTTCCATTTTACTAGGATGGCTTCACGCCACTCGCGGTGGCACTCCAGCAAGGACACAACCAGGCAGTGGCCATCCTCTTAGAGAATGATACCAAAGGGAAAGTGAGGCTGCCAGCTCTGCATATTGCAGCTAGGAAAGATGACACCAAATCCGCTGCACTCCTGCTTCAGAACGATCACAATGCTGACGTACAATCCAAGGTAAAAGCTGAACACATTTGTGGAAAGGAACTCTTCGGCTGCCAGGTTCCTCCTGGGGGATGATAAAGAAGTAGGCCATGGTGATAATGCAAAAGTACTTCCAGTCATCGAAAGAGCTAAATTACTTTCAGAGGTATTTCAGAAAGAAGGGGACTGTCTATTGGGTATAGTAACAAAAAAAATTTAAAGATAATTTTCTTTTAACGATGAGGTTCAGCTTTTTAGAAATCTGCTTATTTATTCTCTTTGTAATCAGAAGTAATACAAGCAGAATTTTAGAAAGATAAAATTGTATTATGTAGTGTTATGGATGTCTCTTTTCTCAGTAGAATGTATTTTGGCATGTTGAAACAGTGTATCCAAGTACAGCGAGCAGATTGACCATTTCCTTCATTTTGCACTGTGTAATATCTTCCCTCTTTTTCCCACACAACACTGCTTCAGATGATGGTGAATAGGACAACTGAGGTACAGTATTATGGTTATACCAAAATATATCTTGTTTTTATTGATTTTAGTTTTTTGCCCAATTGGAATAAATGCTCACTAATTCATACTAATGATTGGAATTTCCATTAGTAGGAAATTAATTTTAAAACTTTTCCCATAATTAAGGCAAATGAATCATTCAAAAAATTTAATGTAACATATATCAGAAGCTATTTTTTATCAGTGAAAGTATTTAAATGGCTTATTAGAATAGAGCATGAAATGAAACTCTTCCTTACTATGTATCTTCTGAGTGAGCTTTACTATTTACTTTTTGCCAGTTAGAAATATGATCTTCTCTTAATGAGATTTCTCAGGTTAGAGTTTAGCAAAGTGAAATTTAAGGAGGTTTCTTTGCCACTGTTTTATCCTTTTATCTCCTTGCAGTTGCCCTTTTTTCCCCATACTTTTTTAACCACCTGGTACAAAATCAATAGTGATATTGAGCATATCATGATCAAAGCATTTGCTTTTATCTTGCTAAGTCTTAACAATACTCGATATGAAATCATCTATTTTCCACATACCAAAATAAGTCACATTGATCCCCAGGAACATTCAGTTCAGAAGCCTCTTGGTATTGTGTGTGTGTGTGTGTGTGTGTTTAGCAGTCTCTTCTTGATCATTGCTACAGGGAGGCACTAACACAAACATTGTTGAAAGTGTATTGTAAAAATTAACCTGTATTCAAAGGCAAGTGACTGTGTAGGTTGATTTTCCCTTTGTCAAGGGGACTCTTTAGACTAACATCTCATGATCACTGGGGTGTAGACCTGGAGAGGTTTTGAGCATTTGTTTAGCTTTTACTGAGAGTAGTGTATTTCTAAAACTAATATCTTGTTTATTAACAAATTTACCTATTGATAGGATGTGAATATATGTGATATAGATGTGAATACTTGAGTTAGTCATATTATTTCTTCTGTCCCATATCTGTGCATGGAACTTAGGACATAGATTTAAAAAAAAAATGCCCAGTTCCTTGGTGAAATTGCTCAAGACTGGAATCATATAAATTGATATCTTAATTACTGATTTTAATACTTCTAATTTTTTAGGTGATTTTTGGTGATTGTTTAAGAGATATTTTTAAAGCAATTTTGGCTCTAAATATTGTGTTGAAAGCAGCAGTTTGGGGAGATTTGTACTGATTTAGAAATATTTCTTTGAGGACAATAGAGTAACAAAGAGGGGAACCCTTCCATTGATAACCCTGTAGAAAAGTGAACTGAGCTTTCTACCTTCATGGCAATCAGGCAAGAGTTCGTCTGAGGGGCTTATACAAGCTTTGTGTTGGATACTCCAAAAGTCTGAGTCTGAGGCATCATCTTGGATGGTTGATGAGGCTGTGTCACACAATAAATTGGTTAATTTTTGCAAATGAGAAAAATAATTTGAAAATGATTCACAAGCAATCACTATGTTTTTTTTTTTTTTTCTGAAATTAAATTGTAACTTAAGGGATAGACTTACATTAATGTTATGTCTGGATGACAGGAGATATCAAGATAAAAATGAAAAACTTCCAGTCAGTTATTTCCTAAAATACAAAAATTTGACATTTTATAAAACAGCCTGGTTGTAGACTGATTTTTCCCTCCATTTTGACATGAATATTTGGCATCATGTAGACACAAAAATCTCTTTACTGCAAGTGTGGGATTTGGATTGATAGGTACTATTCTTATTTTGTGTCTTGTTTCCCTATAGTCAGAAATTATTTGCAGCTAATTTGGCTGATAGCACAGAGGAATTTCTATTACCTAAAATAGCCGAATGTTATTTAGACATTTGAAAAACAAAGTCACCAAAAACTGTTTATCAAGTGAATAGGAAAATAATGGTTGTAATTTAGATAATATTTCTTAAAAACAATATTATGTAAATCAAAGTTCATTTCAAATAAAAGGGAATGATACAAAATAACTTCAAAACTGCAGGATTTGATATCCAGTTCTATACGAACAGTCTTTATTGTTCCTATCATCTTTTATTTGAGTAAAGAAAATGACGAAATTATGGAGAGCAAGGGTAATACATTTTTGCATACTTTAATAATAAAAGAGTTAATATACTTCTATAGTGAAAATGGCACGGCTGAATTTTTTTCTTTATTTGATATTTACACTGATGCCAGGTATATTGTTTAGTTTTTTAACTTTTTTTCATTATAACAACCTAGTCTCACTAAACACAATTGTTAAAGAAGACAAATATGACAGTGTAAATGATGTGGAATGAATAGTATATCCTCTGTAAGAGTTTCTCATAACATTTTCATAGTTCCAAAGACACAATGCCAACCAATGCTAGGTTTTTGTTTTGTTTTATTTTTTTGTTTTTTGTTTTTATTAAAAAGCCCCAAACAAAACAAAGCAGTAGCTTTGAGTCTTTCTCTGGAGAAAAATTTTTTATTCATAATTATGTTAATTCTATGGCTAAAACCTTATGTTGTTTAATCATACTCTGTCTCTAAAGCTAAACCAACTCAAGAAACATGCTTTTGTATAAACAATAAATCTCATAAACAGATAAATCATTAAGCTAATTAGAGATAATGTTGCCAAGAAATGCAGGGTATTTATTTACCGGCTTCTATAGTTAGTTATTTACTACCTTATAGCACTAAAATTTAAAGAGCCTTATTAAAGCATTTATTATCTTAATTGTATTGCTCACATATTAGGTAAACAATTGCCATGTGATTTTCTTCACTAATCCCGGGGCTTGCTACATACGGAGGTGAAATGCTTTACCAACTGTCATTTTCTTTGCTTTCCATAGAGTGGTTTTACCCCTTTGCACATTGCCGCCCACTATGGAAATGTTAACGTGGCAACTCTTCTTCTAAACCGGGGAGCTGCTGTGGACTTTACAGCTAGGGTATGGATTAAAATAGTTTCTCATTTTAGTTAGCAGTGAATGGACATTTTACTAAAGTAAAAATGAACAACGGTAAAGGTTTGTTTCTTTTTCCTTGTCTGGATCTGTGCTGGATATATTAGATTTTTTATTTTTTTCTTTGAATCACATGAAGTCATCATGACCAAAGAAATGAAAAATAAGAATGTGTCAATTAACATGTACACAGATCATTTGCAGCAGTTAAGGAGGATATTAGTTCTGACATCAGTGTGAGTAGTTATATTTAAAGATCACTCCATGAGTGATGAACGAGCAGCTTCAAGTCAATAAAAAATTAAACTGTTAGAACATTAAGTTTCAAATGTATAAGTACATTTATACAGTGTTTTAATGATGATGGGGCACACAATTTGACAGAAAAGTGTTTTTAATGAATTGAGAGTTCGCTTGTATAGTCTTACCAAAATACGTAACAAGAAATCATGTTGCATTATATGTTTGATGGTAAGCTTTCACTGGAAAGAATTCTCTTACATGGTAATTACAAAACAGTGTACTTAATATGAATCAGTAAATGCAATATTTGAATATTTGTAAAATTATGACATACAAAAAGTCAGGTATATATTCTTGCCATAATGATGATAGAGGATAGCCAATAAAGTAAATAACTATAATTCATATATATGGTGTTTTGTCCTGAGAAGTCTTCTGTATTGAAACAGTGTTGAGTTATTTTCAAGTTGTTTTTCATACTGAATTATTCTGAAGAAGGTGTTTTTAAGAATCATTTTTCCAATGGCTATTGAATGTGTATATGTGTATTCTATTTTGAAGCAAAGGAAACTCTAAGATCCCAGAATCTTTCAGTGCATGGATACTGTAATGAAAGATAGACTTGGCCTAGGGCTCGGTCCTAAGTAGAATCTGAATTTTTTTTCTTGTATGAAAGTGCTCCCTTTGTCTCTTGACAATGTGTACAGTGTAATGTGTATATTTGATTCTTATGTTGTAGTTATGGGCTAACTTAGTTATGCAGTTTCATTCCATTTTTCATTCTCTAACTATAGTGCTTTGTGGTTTGTGTGCTTTTTTTGTCCCATAAAAATCAAAGACATTGAAACTTTAGTAAACTTGAATCAAATTACCACATAGGTCACAGCCTTCTTTGTGCCCTCTAACACAAAGTCTTCACCATCATGCCCTGTCATACCCAACATGCTCTTGTTTGGTCTTTCCATGGTGTAGAACGGAATCACTCCTCTGCATGTGGCTTCCAAAAGGGGAAACACAAACATGGTGAAGCTCTTACTGGATCGTGGTGGTCAGATCGATGCCAAAACTAGGGTGAGTGTCTCTGTTCTTTCAATTTCCTACCATTTTTGTTTTTTGTATTCTTTAAGCAGGCACCTTAAAATACCAGTCCCAAAATACAAGCAATGTGTTTTCAAGGAAATTGCTTTCTTGGATTCGATTTAAATCTCATACAATATTTAAAGTTTTCTCATTGTCAAGTAGAATTAATATTTGCTGAGAAGTGCTGGGGAAACAAAATGCTAGCCCCTCAATGAGACGGTTTTTCAAGTCCTTGCTTATTTTGGGGAACAAAGATGAAAGATTGAACTGAAGCATCTCTGATTATTAGCTATACATTTCAAAAACCCAAACTCATAAGCATACATTATGCTATGAGGGTGTGGCTTTTACATAAAATATGTGAATACATGTTGATAATCTTTTGCTTCTAACTTTCCAATTTTTAAATCATTTTTCTTAAGTGATTATGCTATACTGACCTGAGCAGGAGATCTGCTATATGCTTATGGAACAAGGCATCTGGTTATTATATTGCACCTTTACTATTCCCATTTGGTAAGAGGCCATGCCCTTCATTCATTTCAAATTTGTTAAGTAAAATATAAATCAAAGTTCTATATATTGCCAACAAATAGATGATAAGATAGGAGAATATAATTGTTCAAAGTGCAGCCTCTGAAGGCAGACTACCTGATTTCAAATTGACTTCTACTACTTACTAGCTCTGTGATCTTGGCAGTTTACTTAGTACCTCCTCTGAACTTAGGCTGATATTAGTACCTATCTCATACGGTTGTATGAGAATTAACTCTTAGATATTATTATTTATCTTTTTTTTTTAAAGATTTTATTTATTTATTTGACAGAGAGAGTGATAGCGAGAGAGGGAATACAAGCAGGGGGACTTGATCCCAGGACCCTGGGATCATGACCTGAGCTGAAGGCAGACGCTTAAGGACTGAGCCACCCAGGCGCCCTATTTATCTTTTTTTTTGAAAGTGGTGTGGGTCAATTACTTAGCTATTCACAATTCTTTATTATGTTAAATTATATGTAGTTACTTCCTTAAACATTAAACTAGTACTTCAGTATTAGTTCTCTGGAATAGATTTGGTTAATCATAGACTTCAGCAAAACTTTAAACATTCCTATAATGTGAACATTTTGAAATATATGGTGTGAGAAGTCTGTAAAAGATAGTGATAGGATATGTCCCTTATGCATTTTATCTTCACTTTGTTTAATCCTGGGACTTTATATTCTCATAGTCAAAGGACTAAGGATCAAATCTAGTTCCTTTGCAAATCTCGAGGGTAGCAAATGTTTTTATTTAATAAGCCTTATCATCTTTGAGCGTCTGGGGACTACACCAGTCCCAGGCTATAGATTCTGGTGTTTGTTTGTTTGTTTTTAAGATTTTATTTATTTATTTGAGAGAGAGAGTATGTGTGCACATGCACACAAGCATGGGGAGGGGTGGAGGGGGAGGGAGAGAATCTCAAGCAGACTCCCCGCTGAGTGCCAAGCCAGACCCCAGGCTGGATCCTAGGACCCTGAGATCATAACCTCAGCCAAAATCAAGAGTTGGACACTTAACCAACTGAGCCACCCAGGTGCCTTCATAAATTCTGGTTTTTAATGACCTCAGGAAATGTTGCTTTCTTAATCTCATTACTCTAAGACATTTGGTCCAGAACATTTATGTCATATTATCACGTGGAAGTTCTGGAGTGGTTTGCTTTGTCTGTCAAGATCTTTGTTTTACTGTCTACTGTCTTTGCATCAGAGCTTTTTATGATTTTACCCTTCGCTTTGTTGACATCCCTCTTCCCTTGCTGTGCTGTAGGTATGCAGAATTTGGAACAATTATGCACAATGCTGCGTGCTTTGCCTACTTGTTCTTCATGTTTAAAGAAAAGAGTTTCTGTGCCTCCTCTTTTAAGTACATTACTAACATAATGTCTCCCTTTACACTTCTCTGTTTCTATTGAGACTCTCTAATAATTGAGAGTACCAATGGAAAGAAAGCACTTGGTAAATGCAACAGAATTTTATCTGGGCCAATGTCTTAAGGATCCACATTATTCTTACTGATATTTTTCTGGAGTATTCATTCATTTTTGAGGCAATTGATTTTATTTTTACTGATCATTGCAATATTTGCTTCGTTCTGTAAAATATGTTCTAATTTGCATGGCCTACATACATTTGCATATGTAATTTAAGTCTAACTCCAAATAGTGCATTTTCATAAAAAGAATACTAAGATATGGAAAGAAATGGGCTCTTATGCTATTTCTGCCATTAAATAATTGTTCTTAAGCAAGTTAATCAAATGTAAGCCTTGGTTCCTTCTGTGAAGAGAATATTTGGACTATATTTCATCCAGTGCAGCCTTTAGATATACAAATAAATTGAATTTCATTCAAGATTTTATAAAGCAGAAATAGATTTTATAATTGTATACATTGTGTGGGCATTCTGTTCATTCATTCCTCATCTCTAAGAAGTAGGATTTTAAAAGCAGTTGGATTCTTTTAATTCTGTCTCTAACCAATATGCCTATACCTTTTTTTACCAAAAGCAAAATCAGGTAGGAGGTAATACTGAAATCAAGGGCTGTGGTCTGGAATTGGAAGGTTAGTTCTGGAAGTGTAATACTTTATTATTAAAACAAAGGAATCTGGTTAGCTTTTTCTTTTGTCTTTTGAAAATATATTTTAAAATAGAAAAATTTTACATTTACTTTTGACTTTTTAGGTACTACAATAGAGCTTCTAGATAAGGAATTAAAAATAATGTTTTTTCTTTCATTTCTTCATCATAGGGGTCTCAGTTTCCCCTAGCAATCATATTAGTCATAAACATTCTGAATCTAGTATATTCTATCAAGAATTTTCCATTTCATCTTTTCATTATTTTTCTCATTTATAAGGTTTTCATTATCTGGAGGATAGCAAGTATGTAGAGGCTTAGGGGTGATTAAAAAAAATCTTACCCACTGTTTCTTCCCCACTTCTACCAGCACTTTGAGACATTTTGCATCTCATTGACATTCTCACCATTGATTAGGATTTAGTGTGAAACTGAGACATTTTCACTAGAGTTCTGGTTCTCTGGTGTCTGAAAAACCTCATTTTGATGTTAAAACAGAAACTTCATAGCTAGTTAAAAATGATATTATTAATTCAGGTTTTATTAAGAGCATTATTCTTTTTTATTTCTAAACATTTATTATTTAAATGTGGAGATACTCCATATAAGGTTAAAATATTGAAATACATGTTGCAATGCAAGCAATACAAGTATACAAAAACATTAAAAGATGATGAACAAAAACCAATATATCAGAGAAAGGAATCACAATAATTAAAGCAACAATAGTGGCTACCAATTGTCATATGCACGTGATGTTCTAGGGACCCTGCTAAGTACTCTACAAATATCATTTTATTCCCTCTTCCTAATGGTTTATGACGTATGTGTTAACTGCTTTTAGGAAAATATGGAGGTCTTTATTTGAGAAATGAGACTACCAAGGGGAAAAATGATTTTCAGAGGAGTTATGTAACTTGACCTAGGACACACAGGGCCGTAATTAGCAGAGCCTGTGTTAATACACAGACTTCAGGAAACATCTACAATCTAAGCAGAGAGGGAGGAAGGAAAAAGATAAGGAAAGAAATGGTTGTAAAAAGCTAATGCTGTGGATTACCAGCTGGAAAAGTGGTGTCCCTCTACTGCTGATTGATTAACCTTTTAAGGATTATCGACATCATAGTGTGATATGAACTGATTCTAGTGAAAAAAAAAAAAAAAAGAGAAAACAAAGAAAGTTACTTCCCCCATTCTGGGGGGTGGGGGAAGTAACCTTCAAATACAGTCTTAAGTATTTAAGTTAAAGATATTGAACAGATCATTGCCCCTAAGATTTAATAGAAAAAATTAAGTAAAAAAAGTCCTTGAATACAAAACCTTGATAAGATTTTTTTTTGGCGGGGGAGCCTGGGTGGCTCAGTTGTTAAACGTCTGCCTTCAGCTCAGGTCATGATCCCAGGGTCCTGGGATTGAGCCCCACATCGGGGTCCCTGCTCAGTCAGAAGTCTGCTTCACCCTCTCCCACTCCCCCTGCTTGTGTCCCCTCTCTTGCTCTCTCTCTCTGTCAAATAAATAAAATATTTAAAAAAAAGATTTTTTTTTTGGCAATAATGAGATACTGTACTTATAGAAAATATTTAAGATCTATTCAGATTGAGCATGTTGGGAAAATTGAACTTGATATAATTCCTATATCCTTTATAAGGGCAGATAAATGACATCAGATTTAGTATCAATGTAATCCTTATTACTCTTTGATGATCTTATGGATTTATTTAAGTGTTCTTCATATTTTCCTATTGTTATTCTGAGAGTATTTGAAGGTTTCAACATGATTACACGATGGATCTTTTATGTATTCCATGGAAAAACAATACCTTTTCTAAAAATGATTTAAGGCAGAGTCCCCTCATCTTTCAAACGAGGTCATGAGTTGAATGGGATAAGAAAAATTACTCCATTTATGTACTGTGAAGCTGAGCCTAGAAAGAATCATCCGTGGTGGCTGACCTGAGACTCACACCTGAGCCTCTGTGATTCCAGAGCCCAAATGCTGGACCATTGCCTGTAATGCCTTCTTTTGAGATGTTGGATTTCTCAAGCTCTAGTTCTCCATGAAGCCCCCACCAAGAATCTGATTGAGAAATCAAACTATGTCTAATAGTTATAGAACTTAAATAGCAACTAATGCTCTGTACTTCCACCACAAAGTATGCTATCAAGATACAAAAGCATAATCATCTTAATCGCTTTGCCTGCACAGTTTCTTTTTTTAGGCTTCTCTCTGGCAAACTTAAAAATAACTCAGCATCCCAACTACAGTAGTTAAATAGCTTTTTTTTTCCCCCTGGAAAGGCAGTCTTTTCCTGCTAATTCCTACATATCCAAAATTGCAAGGTCTATTTTGGGTATTTAGTATCTTAGTACTAGCTAAGTAGATTTAACAAAGCAAAGTATCATTCTAACTCAAGGTCCTAACTGAAAACAGAAAGCACATTCACATTTGATCATTTGAATATGATCAAGCCTATCTAAAGGATATATAAATCTATTTCTAACATTGTGGGTGGACTGTAGGGAAGGCACAAGGGATAGTGTAGTCTCCCTGGAGCTAGCAACAGCAGGGCTCATTACCAACCCCAGGCCTGCGAGGTGAGAGGGAGGATACCAGAACTTCAGAGGAGAGAGCTGGATGGCCGAGGCTGCTTTGGATGGAGCATAACCTTTGGTAAAAGAGACACAGCCAGGCCAAGGAGATCCTCTGCAGAGTGGCTTCCCTGTCTTGCTGCATTTCCCATACCCAACCAGAAGCCAGAGGGCAAGGTAGCCCCCTACTACGATCTAGAGAGCTTTTTCTGTCAGACTTGGAGCAGAGGACAGAAAGGCAATGCGTGGATCTGGAGGGTAAAGGGAAGATGCCTAGCACAGAAATCCCAGAATGTTGGGACAGGAAGAGTGTTGTAACAGAGACACAAAAGATAGGCTATAAGAGTTCTGGATAAATCAGAAGCTTTTTGAAGTCCTCTTAACTGCTCACCAACCCTCATTTTCTCTGACTGCTACCTCCCTTCTCAACATCTTTCCCTAGGACCACCTTTTTTCCCGTGAGCTTGAAATCTTTAGCTAATTTCTGTACTCAGGATTTCATTTTCTCTCTCACTTCTTGCCCATTGTTACATTTTGCCTGATATTACCCACCCACTCTCCTTTCTGACCATGCCACCCTAAAGAGAAATAAAATCCAAAAGATAGAGGGAATTTGAGGATTGCTCTGGAATCAGAAACTGCCTGAGGAGTATCAAGGTCAGAAAGTTGTATAAATAACATAACGTAGAGTTGGGCCATAATTTTGTTTGACGCCATTTTAATGCTATTATGGTTAATAGCCAGTTTTATCTCTGAGAAATAATTATGTAGTTTGTATTGAAAAATATATGTGAAAACCTTTAGAAGAATGTGAAAAAAAAGTCTATGAGCAACAGGGAGCGTTTTAGGAGGATTTATAAAAATAGTGACAATTCAAGAGATCAAAGATGGACAAATTAGATTAAGAAGAATGTGGGGGGTAAAAGTTGTATTAAGACAACCAAAATGAAAACAGTTTAATGATATAATCTCGGGGTTGTGGTCCCAAGCAAGTAGGGCTTTCAAGTTCAACAATTACAACAAACTCCACTTTTCCATCTTCCTGAATATGAAAACACAGGACCAGCAGCATGTTGTTTTACACTGAACTTCCGCACATGCGATTTCTCTTGCCCTCTCCCTCTCCATTTCATCCCTATCTTTCTTTTTCTCTGTCTTGCTCTCTGTCTAGATCTCTCACTGTCTTGTTTTTTCTCTCACTCTCCTCTATCATTTAACTGGTAGCAATTCTATTACTGATCTATTGAGGCAGTAGGAATGAGTTCAGGAAGCCTCTTTGAAGTGGCAAAAAAGACAATCTTGATTTTTTTTTTTTTTTTTTTTGTTAACTCCGGCTTCATTCTTTAATTCTTTTGGCAGGATGGGTTGACACCCCTTCATTGTGCTGCAAGAAGTGGGCATGACCAAGTGGTAGAGCTTCTGCTGGAACGGGGTGCTCCCTTGCTGGCAAGGACTAAGGTAGGTTATTAGGGGTAAGACGGGATCTAAAGAACTCTTGAAACCAGTCTTCTGAAAATCTCTATTCTTCTTGAAATCAAAGCATCAGTCCAACGTTTTCTAGTTCCTCAATAATTGTGTGCTACAAATGAGGAATATATATCAAACTGTTTGAAAATTATTTAAAATTAACAAACTTAAAATTAAAGTTAAGATTTATTGGTTGTATACCTTCAGGTTCTTCCTATGTTTTTATCTGCTACTCTTCCTACAGGTGGACATTTGAATATATTTCTATTATATGTAAATGAGTGCATTATATATAAATGAGAATATTTCTTACATTCTATAGGTTTGCACTTTTATGATTCTCTAAGATGCTGTAAAATACATATAAAGTTGTCTTTTAAAGTAGCACAATTAGCAATACAAGATAGTCTTTTAGCTCTCCAATCTTTATCTCTTAGGCAATACTAGTAAAAAGAATTACTTACCAGTGGTATTGGATGATTATATTTAGGATTAGTAGGTGATATGGAAAGCACAATTTAGGATAGGCCATCTACAAGGAACCATTAAACAAGCATAATGTTCTCTGTGGCTCAGTACATCTAGCATTTCTCCTGTCATCAGTATGCTCCACCGTGAAGAAAACTCTCATTGAAAACCCCACTGGGAGCTGATTTGTTGGAGGCTTTCATTATAAAATATATTTTACAAGTATTATTACTGTACAGGTCCCCAGTTTCTAGCAGTACTTTGGGTTGCCAAAAAATGTCAGGGGACACAAATAAACGATAATCGCACAGAACTGTTTAATGGGATATGCAGCAACCCTCAGATCCTCAATGCAACAAAAATTTAGACAAAGAACACTTCTTACATTTTCTCTGTATTCCACCTCTCCTATCATCCCCAAGCAGGTTTGGTATCAACTGATGCTGTAACTAGAGTAAGCTTGAGAAAAATAAGACAGCCAACATCAGCAAATCTTTTTCAATTTAATATTTTAATAGAATATTTATTTGAAACTATTTGGAGCAAAAACCAGCCCACACATCTAAAATATTTGTAGAATGAACTTAATCTTTAAAGATGTGCTCTACAGGCCATGAAATGGTGACTTCAAATTGTATGTATTATTTTCATTCTCATACTGATACTGTGCGTGTTGTAGAGTTTTATCTTTAAAATGTGACATTTTGGGCTGAGTAATGCAGAGATAATTGTAGAAAGTTTTTTTTAAAAGATTTTATTTATTTATTTATTTGAGAGAGAGAGAATGAGCATGAACGGGGGAGGGGGGACGAGGAGCAGAGGGAGAGGGAGAAGCAGGCTTCCCGCCGAGCCCCACGTGGGGCTCAACGCTGAGATCATGACCTGAGTCGAAGGCAGACGCTTAACTGACTGAGCCACCCAGCTGCCCCTGTAGAAAGTTTTGTTGAGTAAACTGATTGAAATTTAAATGGAAATAACAAAATTTCACCAGTCATGTTACAACCAATAAAAAGCATCTATCAAATTGAGAGTAGGCAGATTTGCTCTCCCACAAACTATAAAATAATCTTATCTACAGAGTTCACCTACAATTGTCATGTCACTAATGAAGACAATGGATTACCTAGATGAAATTTTTTTACTGGCTTTCTTACAATATCAAATATCATGTATATGTAAGGATCTACCATAAAATGTCTGTGGCTGCATGGTTATATCCACTTTTATTCAATCATTCATCCTCAATAAAACAAAAATTTAGACGAAGCTATCATAGTAAGTAGCTACAATGCACCAGGCAGGGTTCTGATCACTAAGGAACTATCAAGATAAATGATACACAGTCTATTTGTTCAAGAAGGTCGAAATTGAGTGGGTAAGATAGATAGGGAGATAATAACAAAAAGTAGAGCTATATTCAGGGTAAAGAACACAGAAAAGATGAACTAACCAGGTTGGTGAGGTGATACCATTTTAACCTGTGAGTGGAATGGGCACCTAATGCCAGACTATTCTTCCCCTTCCACAAAAACTCCCAGTTTTGTATCATCCATTATTCCTTCCTGAAGCAAATATTCATCTATCTAGTTGTCGCTCTACCTCATTTTTTGAAAATGGCAAACTATGGCTCTTCTCTACAACCCCTCTTCTAATTCATGACGACTTTAATGATCTTAGGGCAGTAGATAATCTTTCTAGTTGGCCTCTCAGTTTGGTAGCTGTAAACTCTCTGGAATTTCTGTTCTAACCTCTGCCTCTCCAAACACTGCTTCTATGTTTCAGCCCCCTTTCTCTGGAACCCCAACTCCAGAAATGTGTTTATTCTCCTGAGTCCATCAGCCATTGTTTTATTACCCCTTATTCACCTTATGCCCTCGCCTCTGCCCAACAGAGCTATTCATACCACTCCCTGACATACTCATACTCACTTGCTATATTTTACCCTGATTAAATCCAACTCACGTTCTTGCAGCTGAGTGTGGTGGCTGAAAACACCCAACCATACTGCCTGGGCTCACTTTAAATTCATGATTGCTAACCTCAAGTTGGCCTTTAATGCTGCCTGACAATCAGTATATTTCCCAAGTGTATTTATTCTCATTCCCTGCTACCTTATTATTCTATACTTTTTTTCTTTCTTTAGACTTCTTAGACTTTTTTCCTTGTCTTCACTTTCCACAACACTGAAAAAATTGAAGCAATCAGGAGAGAATTTCTATAGACTCCTATCTTCCTATCTACCCAATTACATGTTTCAGCCCATATAGTCTACGTTCTCTCCTATTGCTATCATCTGACACAGTTGCTTGCTCCTCCCTTCTCAAAACACTTTCCTCTCCTTATTTGCCTTCTCGAACATTACATCCCTCTGACTTCGCTTCTCCTCAGTCTCCTTTCCTGTTCCCTCTTCACTCCCAGGTCTCTGAACGTTAGAACCCCCAGAGCTCACTCTTTGTGTATTTATCTGTACTCACTAAGAAATCTCATCCAGTTTCGTCTTTAAATACTGCTTATACATTGATGACACACAACTGTGTAGCTCCAGAATTCTATATTGTAGATGTCAACTCACCATTGCTGCATAGATGTTTACTGTGCATCTCCAATTTAGTAAGTTCAAAACTCAGCTGCTGATATTTTCCCCACCCCTATTTCTAATCCCCTTGTAGTCTTATCTCAAATAATGGCCATCCCATTCTTTCAGTTTCTCAGGTCAAATACCTCATGCAGTCCTTGGCTCTTCTCTCCCTTCACAGCCTCTCACTAAACCTTGTCACATCTTCCTTCAAAATATCTCATAATTCAGCAACTTCTCAACAGTCTCATTACCACCATCCTGGTCCTGATTACCATCAACCCTACCTGGATGATTGCAAGAGACTCTAATTGGCCCCCCTTTTTCTCTTTTAACCCTGTTCAGTATATTCTCAACAGAAACCAGAGTAATCCTGTTGTCCTATACCTTCCACAAGCCCCCCATCTCACTCAGGGTGTAAGTCAAAGACTCTATTCAAACTAGCAGCCCTGTTACCTGAGTTCCCTTCCTTATTCACCCCTCTTATTCACTCACCTTCAGCTTCATTCTCCTCCATACTCTTCATCAGTCATGCTGGGTGTGGTCTCAACATGACATGGTTGTATTTGCTTTTCCTCACCCTCAAATGTTCTCCCCCCAGATCAGCAGGACCTGTTTTCTTACTGTCATCATGTCTTTCATTAAAACTCACCTTCTCAGTGAGGCCATTTCTGGCTAGCCTATCCATAAAGCACTCATATACACAAACTCCCTTGGCCATCCTATGCTTTAGTTTTCTTTTTCACACGGGTGGCCTTCTAACATACTATCTATTTTAATTCTTATTCTTTTTGAATTGTCTGACTACTACCCAAAATGTGACCCTCAGTGAAGACAGGGGTTCCCTGTCTGTTGTGTTCCCTGTTGTATCCTTAGTACTTGATCAGGGTTTGAGTAGGTGCTTAGCAGATATTTGTAAAATGTAACAAAGAATTAAATGGTGGAGATTTTATTTTCCACATAACTTTTAAGTGGATCAAACAACATTAAAGTTTGATAGAATATCAGAGAAACATGCCACGCAACCCTCCAAACATTGCCAAGGCCTGAATTTCTTCTACACTTTGCCCTTACACTATCTTCCCCCAATGCATAAATACCTTCTTATCAACCTGCTGTTCTTTCTCAGTTCATTTTGTGAATTTTTGAAAATATAAAGGCAATAATTATGAGTGAAGAGTATTTCAAAAATCAAGAAAGTGTATTAATAATTTCAAAATCACATATACTTCTACCACCCACAAACCACTACAAATAAGATTTTGCTGTGTTTGATTTTAGCTGTCCTTCATTGTTGAAATCACACTCCTTGTTGAAAATATTGGGCTGTTGGCAGATTCTTTCTTTTTATCCAGACACAGTTTTTGCCTCTTTGAATGTAATGACTGCCAAGCTGGATTCTTGGTCAACAATTACTTCCTAGTGACTGTATTTGCATTATTTGCATGGATTATTAAGAAAAGACCATATTCCACTCATTTTAATGGGCAAATGTTTTCTAATTTAGTTTCTTCCCTAATTTTACATATTTTTTTCTTATAAGCTTAATTATTTAACTTTAAAAAATAAGAGTCTTACCTAGACTGAAAATCCTCAGTGAATTACCCAGCCATCTTGTTTTTTTTTTTTAATTTTTAAAGATTTTTATTTATTCATTTGACAGAGAGAGAGATAGTGAGAGAGGGAACACAAGTAGGGGGAATGGGAAAGGGAGAAGCAGGCTTCCCGCTGAGCAAGGAGCCTGATGCGGGGCTTGATCCCAGGACCCTGGGATCATGACCTGAGCTTAATGACTGAGCCACCCAGGGCCCTAACCCTACCATCTTGTGTCCCTGCTATTGACCTTCTCTAAGAATTAAGACTAGAGCTGTTTTGGGCAGTATCGCTGAGGATAAATTTATATTATCCTCAAAGTTTAAAAGTTGGGATACATAGTCTACATTTGCCTCACACTTTTCTAACTCTTACCTGACTGCTTTCTCCAAGTCCAATTCATGTCTCATGATAGGAAAAAGGCAGCATAGAATTTTAGAGCGGCATGGATCTAAGAGGTCATCAAAATATCTTTCTTTCCCTCATGCACCCACTTGCTCCTCCTTCATCTTCACCCTCCTCCATTTAGAAGTAAAGAAACTTTTGCAGAGAGACTAATTGAATGGAATTGAATACAAATAATTTAAGCCTCGGCTATCACTTGTTTTATATGTCTAATATTGCCTTAGTAATTGTGAGATCTATCTGAATTGTCACACAATACTGTGTATTTATTCACAAAAGGTATATTAATTTGTGTTTTTGCCTAAGAATAGCATAATCGTGAAATTAAATGGTCTCTCAGCTTCCCTCGGCACCCCACATAATCCACTGTACATGTAGATGTCAAATGGGGATTATTTTTTCCTCTGCTACCAACTGTGCCAGGTGATCAAGAGTTGACTTTGCTGTGTTTTACAACCTGGAAGTCATGGCTGAAACGTGGACTTGGTTTCGTTTTGTTTTGATGTGCAGAATGGGCTGTCTCCACTTCATATGGCTGCACAGGGGGACCACGTGGAATGTGTGAAGCACCTGTTACAGCACAAGGCGCCCGTTGATGATGTCACCCTAGATTACCTGACAGCCCTCCACGTTGCTGCACACTGTGGCCACTACCGCGTGACCAAACTCCTTCTGGACAAGAGAGCCAATCCAAACGCCAGAGCCCTGGTAAACCTGGCCTAGTCCACATTAACAGCATACAGACCGAGACGAGTATACCACAGTGACTGACCAATGGCCACCAGCAAAGCATGGTTACAGATCTGTAGTTAATTATCTGAGTTCGTTACCTCCCACAAGTAGCCTGCCTACTTCATGCCTTCACAGTTTGCTATTAAGTGATGGTGAGCAAGGACAGATTGAGGAAAACACCAAGGCAACATTTCCACAACTCGCGAGCTGCAGACAGATATGAAACCTCTGGAGTGATAAGCAATTTTAAATGGCAAATAGAAGTTGAGAATAGGAAATCAGAAAATAAATTCTAAACACCTCTAGATAGAGTCAGAATAAAAGTGTGAACAAGTTGAATGTCATTAATCTCTATTTGGGAGGAAAAAAAAAGGTTTTAAAGTAGTGAACAGATTTGACCATGTAAGATACAGTAAAATGTAAGCCTGTATAGAGTTCACTTAGAGAATGTCTTTATTGACCTGATTCCCTAAACACAGTCTAATGTAAAAGTGATGCTTAGCATTTTACTGGTCCGGGAAGCATTTTATATAAATTATTCCAGGAATTGCTCAAGAGAAATCTACATGAGGCTGTCCCTAGAGCAGCCTCTGTATTTCCCAAGGTCTAATATTGAACAAATCTTCCTTGCTTCACTTACATTCTAACAATAATCATCAGAAGTATTAGGCATGTACTAATTTATGCTCTTGTTTCCTAATTCTCAAACTAAAAGCAATTGTTTTATTCTATACATTTACATGGTTAATGCTGCTTTAAATTAGTCTTCAGACAATATTTAAAATGAGAGAATGCCATAAGAATTATTAAATAATAAATCTTAGTTTTATTAGAAAATCTTCCATTGAAATCCATTTATTCCTTATTGCCCAGGAAGCAAATATACTTTTAGGGTTATATGTAATTATGAGAGGATACTTACTTTCTCATAAGGAGGAAAATACTCATTTTCAATAGGGTAGTGGTCAATAAGCTTATAAAACATTACAATCTCATAATTAAAAATCATTTGAGTGCTATACATTTTTGTCTGGCTTACTACATAGCTCATAAACAGGAAATGACTTAACAAACATTGTAAAGAGTAGTAAGTCATTAGGTTAAGACAATATGCTTTCGTGAGAACTGTGAAGTACAGAAAAATATTGACTGATGATCAGTCCCCACTGGGACAAGCAAAATAACTAACTGGCAGAACAGGTATAACTATTCTATATGTAGGGATCATTGTTCGAATAAAAATTTAATACTTACACATAAGGATTAAGCATGTTAACAAATTTTTATGTAATTGTCCCCAATTCCTACACATTGCCTAGTTTGGAAAGTTAAAAAATGTCTTAGAGACTTCTCCACATTCCTTTGCCTCTGAGAGATATCCTCTTCCAGTTATTCCAGAAATTCTCCTGAAAATATTCAGGAACTTAATAATCATGTTTTTTTTTTTTTTTAAGATTTTATTTATTTATTTGACAGAGAGAGACACAGCGAGAGAAGGAACACAAGCAGGGGGAGAGGGAGAGGGAGAAGCAGGCTTCCCGCAGAGGAGGGAGCCCAATGCGGGGCTCGATCCCAGGACCCTGGGATCATGACCTGAGCCGAGGCAGACGCTTAACGACTGAGCCACCCAGGCGCCCCAATAATCACGTTTTTATAAAATAAAATGTATCTGATTGGCATTTGTTATAAAAACTTTTTAACATAAGAAATGTAACTTCTGGATGTCAAATATTATTAGCATAGTGATTTCTGGTAATATACAACAATTCCTTACAAAAAGTTCTTAATGGAAGATATATAACTTCTGAATATGAAAAATTATTAATGTAAATAATGATTTCTGCTAATTTGCAACACCCCCTCCCTGAAGCAAATGGTAGCAAAGCTGAAACATTTATTGTAGAGACAGTCATGCCTGTAAGGTGTTGAAGTAAAACAGACCAGCAGTTTGTAGGCTTTAAGAAATGGCCTTTCATCAGATACATACATGCTTATCTTCCATGCACCTTCAAGCCATTTCATAACCCAACCCATCAGTATACTTGAAAACACCTTAGAACTTCTAAACTATCATTGTCCCTCTAGTTTTCCTTCTTTGCAGAGCAGGCCCATGGAGTTTTCTTTACTTCTATTTTTCTCAATAACCACACAAAAAGAATTATATACCAGCCCACCACATAGCAGCCAAGTTCAGTGCCTACAGGAACACACCCCCACTTTTCTTTCCAAATCCCATCACCTACAACATCAGAAGAAATGGTTAACATTACGTGACGATGTAACATTATTGCCTGCAATGTGCCCGCATGGAGTTGTGTGAGGATCGTTTCTGCATGTTTTCAACTAACTTGATTGTCTTTTGCACAGAATGGTTTTACTCCACTGCACATTGCCTGCAAGAAAAACCGCATCAAAGTCATGGAACTGCTGGTGAAATATGGGGCTTCAATCCAAGCTATCACAGAGGTAGAACAATGTTTCAGCTTGTCACGAAACATTCCTTCTCTTACTCCTTCTTCCCCTTCCTGTCGCCCATCCTCTGTCCTCTTCACTCAAGTCTTATTTATCTGAAGAAGTCCCCATGGCCCCCACCGGTGCAGAGGAGTAAAACTGCTGTTGCTTTGTTTCGCAGTCTGGCCTCACACCAATACATGTGGCTGCCTTCATGGGCCACTTGAACATTGTCCTCCTTCTGCTGCAGAACGGAGCCTCTCCAGATGTCACTAACATTGTGAGTATGGCTTGGGTCAGAATAACCACAGGGAGAAAGAGCGAGAGGAAGAGAGAGTATGGCTGTTGGTAGGGATGTTTGTGTGTATGTCATCAAAGCGAGCGGCTGAGCTTTGAGCAGAGCCTCCATGATCCCAGGTTACTGAAGTACTCACCAGAACTTCACTGAGAAGAAATGGGTTAGGAAAACAAAATGGGAGTTGGGGAAGCTGTTTCAGCTCCCTGGTGCAGATGGATTAAACATGCATCTGAAATACATTTATGAAAACAAGATACATTTTGAATGAAGGATTGGTTGGAATAAAATCCAAAGGACTCATTCCAGTTGCTTGAGTGAATTCTATTCCCGGTAATTTTGATTAACATGTCAAGTCAGTACCACCATCAATCATAGGAAATGGTTAACCAGAGATAGACCCATAGGAGGGATTTCTATTTGATACCAAATTCTGTCTCCTTCAATTACATGGATTTTTCATTTTCTAACCTTGATTTTTCATTTTGATTTGATTTTGTTGGCTAGAGTGGACGGAGTCCTCTCTTACCTGAAATAATTATACCATTGAAACTTTTTCCTATATCTTAAAATGAATGTTAGTCTCCAGACAACTTTTATTCTGCCAGTAACTACTGGATATCCCAGAATTCTTCTACCTAATTTAAATTAGGATTTTTACTTCCAACTTCCTTATTATTTCTTTCATTTTCTTGGAGTCTGTTCCCTTAAACTTTGATCATTTAATGCAAATTTTCTCCTTACTGTGCACAAGGTATGGTCATGTATTTGAAGCTCAACAGGGACCACTGGAATATTGAGATTTTTTTTTAAGTATGCAATAGAAATAACTCTCCCCAAATAAACATCAGTGCTTATTATTGAGTCATATTTTCAAAAGCAAGTGATTGACTATTGTTGTTAAATTTTGGTGTATCATTCCATTTAAGTTGTGAAACAGAATGTTCAATGTCCCTTTTCATTTGTATTCCCTCTCACATTCTCATTTCTTTGCATTTTACACATTGTTTCTGTGCTAAAGTTTCTGATACATGGACAAAATCATGTGAAATTAATTTATCTGGTTTAAGTATTATTTAATACTCTATATAATTCACAATTGGAGCATAAAACCATTAAATAATTGAAATATATTCTGTTTGTTTCCCTAATTATAGCTTATGGATCCTAAAGTAATATTATTATACATTAATCTTTAATTACTCCATTAAGGATAAGAGTAATTTCAAAACATGCCGGTTTGAGTTGAACTTTTAGTCACTTCTTAGAACTTTAAAAGAAATCAACATCACCCTTTTTCTGTGCAGAGATGATGACCACCTCTCTTTTTTAAATTGATAGCTGTATGAACTAGTAACTTTCAAGAAAAGTACTCTGTATACTTTCCCACTATACTGTATTTTCCTTATTTGTATTTCATTGCCTTCAGGATCAAGGTGCAATGGTGATACTGTGTTAAATTATGTTATCATATTATAATAGTAACATATACAAGAATACTCTATCTGATACTTTATTGAAATCCCCTAGGTTAATATTTTTGAGGGGAGAATTTGGTACAATCATTAAAGAAAATCCACATGAAATGGTTGCGTGATTCTGTGGCCACTCTTAACTTGGCTTTTAACTGGCCAATTCCAAATCATTTGATGGTTATGGATTTACTCCATATTCATATGCTCCCCCTTCTGCAAAAGAAAATGCAATATAGGCTACCTGTAGATTTTAAAATTAAAATAAATAAAATATCAATTAAAACAATAAAAATGTTTACATCTTCTAGGTTCGTAAAGACTCCCGAATTTCATAATTGCTTTATCAAACTTAACTTCTACCTACCACTCATTATAAAGTTCACTTTGTTTTATCTTCTCATTTGTCTATTACACATTTTTTCTCTTCAGTCCCCTCAAAACAAATACTTGAGAGGCACTTGCTAATGTAATCCTCTCCTCAAGATATTTCCTCATTGTTTTTTGTTTGTTCATTTTTATTTTTGTATTATATGTCCTTCAGGGAGCAGATACCATGTAGATAGATAGGGTTGCCAGATAAAATACAGGACTCCCAGTTAAATCTGAATTTCAGATAAATGACAATTTTTTTTTTGTATAAGTATGTCTTATGCAATAGTTGAGACATATTTATACTAAAATAATTATTCATTGTTTGTCTGGAATTAAAATTTAACTGGTCATCCCATATTTTTGTTTGCTAAATCTGGCAACCCTACATTTAGAGGAATTTAATTTATCTCTAGCAGTGGGATGCCTATGAACTTGTACATTCTCAGGACATGAGGATATAGCCACTGGATCCAAAACTCTGTGCAGGTTGATTAAGAAACTGTGTGAACACTTATTGCCTGCTTGCTGTGTCAGAGTTGGTCATTTCCTGACCCCAAAGTACCCCACCTTTGGAGCCTTTGTGTGTTGCCTGAAATCATGTTGCATTTTTGAATGCAATGCTGTCTGTTGTGCTTTGATGCTTTCCAACTGATGCAGCCAAAGTGGAAGTCAATGTAGCTGTCGGCAAAATCAGTTTTAACAACTGAGAAGAGGGGCATGAAATTTAGTAACTGCTTTGGATGTGTGCATACCCATTCTCTTGCCAGTCTTGTTTTTGTCTCAAAATTCACTCCAAGTGTGAGATGTACCAATAACTCAATCATGTGCAGATATTATTACTGCAAAGCTTCCTTTCCGGAAAGCTCACAAATGCACTCTAAAACCTAGAAAGCTGAACTACCAGTTGTAATACATCCATAATCCAAAGTATTCATTGACAACCATGGGAGTAGAAAACTAAGCACTTTCGGGGCTGTCTAGAGTACAATGTGAGGTATTACCAAGTTTTCTCATATAAAAATCATTGGACTCACGGCTAAGTTCACACTTCATATCATGTTTAAAATTTCCCCCAATACTTAAGTGAATGAGCTTAAGATAAAGAAAACAAGGCTGTTGAGTAAGATAAGGTGCCCAACAATCAAGAAATGGAAGTTACTGAAATATCTTTATATATATTTTATATCATTATAATATATCTTTCATTTTTTATTTATAATTATATATAAACAAGGGTAATATAAATACAAAAGGGTAAGGACAATTTACAATAAAAATCAATTACCCCAGAGTCATTAAATAAGATTGAACAAGACCATTGCTTTAAATCGGAGAGATGTATGTGTGTATACAAATATATCTAACTTTTCTTTGGCTATAATGTTTAATACTTTAGATTAGGTTTTATAACTAACTCATTGATTTCAAATGTATAAATAGCATAAAAATAAATCATTCCAAGTATATAATAAGGATATTGGAAATATTAAGACTAGTATTGGAAACATTTTACATTGTAAAAACCCCTTATTGATAAAGTTTGGCTTGTAAACTAAACATAATGAACCTATCATTAACTAGGTACTCAGGATGCCTCTTTGACTTAACTTCTTATAAAGAAATTTATTTTTGTCTTTATTAGTAATTAGTAAAATTTAGTAAAATTGCTATACTTTTATAAGACTTAGCGTAAGGATTTGAGGGCTTTTTGCTGTTGTCAAATAGTTCGACCTTAACTTCATCTGTTTAGACTAGACAGGTTTTAAGTGATACAGAAAACAAGTTAGAAATCATGGTTGTCCAAAGAGGAAAAATCTTGCCATACACCCAAAGGTTGAAGACAAATATTGCTACTCCAATAATGTGATTTTTATAAGCCAACACACTCCAGATACATTTACTTTGCAAAAGTCAAAACATGTCATCATTAAAGAAGGCCATTAGAAGATAAATGAATTAATTATCAACAAAAAAGAAAACAATATTAGACGTCCAGTTTAATGCTTTCAAAATCAAATCATTTGAAATGAATTTTTCATAACTTCATAAAGAATGAGTCTCAGATACTAGGAAAAAAATTACCTGTGAGCTATGTACCAAACTTAAGTTGTGCAAGGAATCAGAAGAAATTATTTACTGGAATTAGTCAGAAGTATCCAATTACCACAACTGACTTCAAGATCAATTTAGCTGATTTGGAATGGTTTACTTTACTTGGTTGAAATAAGCTTTATTTTCTAGAATAGTTGTGGTGACTAGAAGTAATCATTTCTGTTCCAGTGTCTTGTTTTTTTCTTTTTTATAACTGTAAAATTGCTTGGAAGTATGAACCCCTGCCTTCTTCAGAACTACATGGGGTTTTAAAATACGTTGATTAAAACAAAACCAAAAACCTTCTCTCTTACAGGCAGTAATTAACAGGCTTCTCAATGACAAAATTTCTTTCATCTAACCACCATCCTTCATGCTACAGCTTAAGCTACCATTTCCTGATCAGTGTGCCGTATCTTGATGTGGCACGAAGATACTTGTGGAATGACCTGATGCCCAGGGCTGCCCACCTCAACACATGACACTGTTAACAGATGCTTTACTCATCTCTTGGTAGTTCTCTCAAATAACTGTCTATAATTGAATATGATCATTAATAATAGGGGGACATCCTGGGCAGATCAAATTTCTTATGTAAACGGTCATTGTCTAGCCTTATAACACAAAGACAAATCCAATATGAAATAGTTTATTTCAGAAGTAAACTTTGAATTCTGAAAAAAAATGACTTATGTATGGTACAAATGACATGATTCTTTTGCACTGTGTTGACCTGATCTTCGGCATCTAGAGTTTCTCCTTAAAAATGGGATCAAGTTGTTATCACATAGTCAAATGTGATGATGACAGATTATAGGTTTGAAGGATAAAAGAAGACTTCATATCACCTAAAGCAGTTTAAGTTATGCCAGATTGACTATGAGGTTAAACCTCAGGGTATGCTGGATATTTGGGTAAGTTTACAGACTGAAAAAAATGAAATAAACATGTGTTTTGTCCTTATGAAGATGGAGAAGATACAAAACTGTATTTTTCCAGACTAAATAATTATGAAATAATCATGCCTTTTCATAGATTTCCTAAACCTTTGGATTGATTGCTGAATTTCACAAAAAGGCACATTTTTATCCTTTACCATACAGAGCAGTGGGTTTCCTTATGACTCAATGAGTTTTGTTTCTTGGCAGCGTGGGGAGACTGCATTGCACATGGCAGCCCGGGCAGGGCAGGTCGAAGTGGTCCGATGCCTACTGAGAAATGGTGCCCTTGTCGACGCCAGAGCCAGGGTAGGTATGGGTGCTCGGGGTTCTCTCCTATTGTGCGCATGAGTTCCATCTTTAAGAGAGAATGCTATTCTTCATTTCCCGGATTTAGAAATGCCATGGACTGTAAGTAGAAGCATCAATTCAGTAGTTTTTCAGGCAGAAAAGGAAATGGTATAGTAAATATACACAATAAAATGCACCCCAATTTCAGAAACATTGACATTTGAAAAAAATATATAATTTAGTATCTAAGAAATGTGGCATTGAATAACCTAGTAATTTTTTAACCTATGAAAACATTTTTACATGTATTTTTCTTTTCATGAATTTTTAAAAAATGACCTATATTATAGAGATACTATGAATATTAAAATTGATTTCATACCATAAGGCCAATCAAATTTGCAGACATTACTTACTAGTTACTTAAAAACAAATTACACTCAAAGTTTTAATGTTGTACCTTTATCTGTTTTATTTTCTTCCTTTCTGTAATGAGTTCTACTTTTCTTCTTACTCTGATTTTACGCAGTTAGACATTCTGCTCTTCCGCTATTCCAAAATAAAATTTTGGCCCTGGAGATTACTTGATCAGATTCTCTTGTTCCTGATTGGCTTCTAATCCCTTTACAGGTTGATTTTTCCTTCCTTTTTTTTTAAATTCACTTTCCAATTGCTTTTTTCACCTTCTTCCTCTACACTGAATATACTAGTAATTTTTATCAATATACTATATCTTCAATTGCCTTTTCCACATCATTCCATTACCTTTTGTATTAGCATCTTTGGGATTCTCGTAGAATATTTGAAGACTTTTTCTCCTTCAATACTTGATGTACCTGGGCTAGAACTCACTTCAGCTTGAATTGTGCCATCATGACTCCCTTTTGGAAATGGTATTATATTGGAATGAAAGCATCTGCCTAGAGTCCTACACATTGTCATTTCAGGCAAGTCATTGCACTTCTGGGTCTTTATCATTAAAATATAAAGGTTGGACTTAGAAACCTTGAAACTCCTTTCCAGACTTTCTTAACATTCTCTGACTCTATGAGTTTAATAGCATTTTTTCCACAGATTTTCATGAAAAATCCGGTGAAACATGGGCAGCCTTGATATTAGCCTTTTCCTTTTGGATTTTATCTGCCTTTTTATCCATTGTGTGAGTAGTGTAATTAATGTTCTTTGGTAATCATCATCGATATTTTATTTTCTTATGTATTTAGAGCTTTTGTTGTTCAAACTGTATTCTTCCCAGCCTTGGCATTTTTCTTGTTTCTCCCCCACCCCACGACTATTTTTTAAGAGCAGTTTTAGGTTCATAGCAAATTGCAAGGAAGTTACAGAGGCTTCCCATATACGCCCTGATCCCACACGTGCATAGGCTCCCACGTTATCAGCTTTCCCCACTAGAGTGGTACACGTGTTAGAATTGATGAGCACACATTGACACATCACAATCCCCCAATCCATAGTGTACATTAGGGTTTACTCTTGATGTTTCACATTCTACCGGTTTGGACAAATGTATAATGACATGTATCCATCCTTATCATGCAGACTAGTTTTACTGCCCTAAAAAAACTTCTGTGCTCTGCCTATTCTCATTTCCTTTCCAGGTTACCTGGCATTCAGCTATTTAAAAAAAATTATGGTCAATCAATGTACTCTGAGTATCATGAACTTCAGTATTTTTATCAGAAATTGTGATAATATTTCTGGTAAATGTTTGTAATTTATATTTAATGACAAAAGGGTTTCCTGTTTATCTTTCAAAATAAAACCGTTTAATATTTGTCTATATTCAAATTTTAATTTATTTTTAACAGAAATTTGCTTATTTTCATGTGTCTTTGTCAATTTTTTTATGTTATCAATTTAGCCTGTTATTATTGCCTTATGCTTTTCTGGATACCATCTGAAACCCCTTCCTCCAAACCACTAGCTAAAGATTCTTTACTTTGAAATATTGTAACATTTATTCATTTTTTAAAAATTTTTACATACAAATTCCATCAATTCTATTGTTCTGGTGTTTTTTTGTTGTTGTTGTTTGTTTTTTTGTTGTTTTTTAAGAGAGAGTTCGTGGGAGTGGCGAGGGGCAGAGGGAGAAGGAGAGAGAGAATCTTAAGCACGCTCCATGTGGGGCTCACTCCCACGACCCTGAGATCATGACCTGAACCAAAATCAAGAGTTGGACGCTTAACTGACTGAGCCACCCAGGTGCCCCCAATTCTATCATTTTACTTCCTTTCACAACTACGTTTAGTGTCATGGTCTACATATGTAAATAAAATCTTTAATTTTTTTATTCCTCCTTGTTTAAATATCAAATGTCATGATCCTTTGTTTTTTCAACTCTACCACCTATCCTAAGTTGCAACTAAAATTCCTTCCCTATAGCATCCTTCTGGTTGCAGACAGGAGAAACTACCACATCCTGATAGAGCCCTGCTACTGAAAGGTCATTATGTATGACATCACCTGGGGATCTTTTTAAAATGCAGAATGAACTCAGTAGGTTGGGGTGAGGCCCCAAATCTGCATTTTTTTTATTTAAAAGATTTTTTTTTATTTATTTGACAGAGAGATACAGAGTGAGAGAGGGACACAAGCAGGGGGAGTGGGAGAGGGAGAAGCAGGCTTCCCGCTGAGCAGGGAGCCCGATGTAGGGCTCGATCCCAGGACCCTGGGATCATGGCCTGAGCTGAAGGCAGACGCTTAACGACTGAGCCACCCAGGCGCCCCCCAAATCTGCATTTCTAACAAACTCACAGGCGATGGGCATGTTCCCGATCCCAGGATTATACTGAGCAGCAAGAAGCTAAGGTTTTCCTTTTCACATGTTCTATTTTAAGTTGTAATTTAACCATGAGTTTCTACTTTTTTTAGCCCTTTAGGTTTGCCTGGAAATCTTTGATGTTAACAAATGTTAACATTTGTACAGTGGTCTATACTTCACAAAGCATTTTAACACGAATTACCTTATTTAACACACAGAGCAACCATGTGTTGTAGGGTGGCTTAGGGTCCTGAAATCCAAAATTGTGCTGTCTTTCCTGAGGTCATAGAGTTAGAAAGAGTAAGAAAAGGGTTCTTCCTTGATTCTGGATCTTTCTCCTAGCTTTTTTCTGCTGACGTAATTATCTCCTTTTTGTCTATAAAGAGAGACCTTATCTCTCCTATCTAAACAAACAACAGGATTCTAATTAGTCACATTTCCCACCTGGGCTGATCACTATGGCCAGAATATAGTACTAAGCCTGGGATCCATGCCCGTTCATGTGGTGCATCCATGAAGTGGAGTGAGATGAGTAGCAGACCCTCCAGAGCCACATGGAGTGGGGGATGCCTTCTTTCCCCAAAGGAGGGAGGGCTCTTCCCAGAAAAAGGGTGTAGGGGTTCTTGAACAGAAAAATGAAAATCTATCAGTTCTGTTTTACCTCTTGGTTTCCCAGCATGCATACCTACATGCATGCACTTCTGAAACTCTCTCTCTTAACCTAATACATTGCTCTATCATTCACTCCCTCCCAAAGGGGAGATGGTCAGCAATTATACTCAGTTACTATGCTGAACTCCAAGGGCAAGATCTCTGGGTAGTCTGTATTCTTCTTAATCAGGTTTAGAAATAATATCTCATGGTTATATAATCATGGCGCTACTCCCACTACATAATGAAAGAAAAATAATTTACCACACCAATGCCTCTCATTTAAAAAGTGCGAGCTGCATCCTCTTGTAAGTCAAGAGCATAAGGCGATTTTGCTGGACAGACTAAGAGACCAGGGACTGCAGGGCATAAGTTCATTGGTCAGTCAGTGTGCTTGCCCCCGGACCCTGCCCTCACAAAGGTCCTTCCTTGTCCAGTATCCTCCATGGATATGACTGAGAGGACCACTGGGGCCCTCCCATTGGGGAGCTCTCTTACTTGAGGTGCCTATGTTCTGTTGGCACACTATGGAGGGCTGGCATTTGGTTTAGGGATAGAGCAATCACAGGGCCCCGAGGCTTAAACTCACTTGAAACTTAATTCACCTTAAAACTTGAGTTAGCTGCCAGTCGATTTGGTTCCTGAGAATCGTGTTAGCTAGGAATTAATGGCAGAAATTTGATCAAATCTTTGAACCTTGTCTAAGCCATTGCTATTTCTGTCTTTTGGTAAAGGAGTTGGGGCTCAGCAGGTCTTCCTAATTTTGGAAGACTATAGCTTGTGGGAGTAAGGCAGAGCTCATCTCTTCCTGGTCCAGGCTGTATCACAGTCAATGACACTTTGTGATGAGGGAATTATTACCCCTTATATATGGAAGAGGCCTAGAGGATCAAGGTAACCCTCCCTTTTTAAAGCCCTTTCCATGAATATTATTTTCTGCGCTTTCCCAATTCTTTGCCTTGGCTTGAATTAACTTTAGTCTGGAGCAGCAAATTCAACTTTTGCAGTTCAACAGGGAAATAATTACCCAAACCTTAAAAGGTCTTATATCTCTAGTTACCAGTGGAAAGACTTTCTAACCAAACTTGTTTGTTCTTCCCTTTTTTGCTTTCAGATAGGACTGTACCAAAAGTTGAAGAAAGTAGGCAAGGCAGTTTATTTCTTAAAAAAATTAAAAACAAAAACAAACAAACAAAATCAAGTACCTAAATGCTCTGGGGTCTGAGAACCAAGGGACAAGAGTTGATAATTTAACCGAATAGTTGGCTGCTACCGGCTCTGGATGAAGGTGTCTTCATTGCCCCAGGTCTCCCGCTCACTCATCAAGAACATCTTTTAGATTATGTCACTTGCAATACCTGCCTCTATCAAATTGTGCTGGGTAGATGTGCAAGAAGGGAAACCCAGAAGTGACAGATGTTCATGATAGCTATTCTTAGGTTCTTCAGTTCTTTTACTGTTGTTTTGTTCTCTATTTATCTTTGTAATTTAATTTCCCCCATTTGTCTATTTTCTTCTCTGCTGTGTTTCAGAGAACAGTTGTATCTTCTGAAGTGTTGTCAGTCTCCTTTCCTATTGAGAGTCACCTCATTCTGTTAGTTTTCTCAGTGGCCAACTTACTGTGTCTATTTCTGTAGGATGTATAGGCCAATGAATGTCTTTGGAATCCAATGCCTGAATTCAAGTCCTGTTTTAATAGCCTGGTGACCTCGAACAATCCTGGAGAACCACTTTAATTCGCCTTAACCTCCGCTTTCCAGAAAATGGTCTAATAATACATCTTATGCCTTCCTTTCGGGTCTTTTGTAAGAATAGGATTAAGTATGCACTGTACATGAAGGAAGGTTATAAATTGCATTTTTAAAAAAGATTCCAATTCTATTACTAAAACACTTGTGTTATTGTTATTTATTACTTACTTCTCACCACCCTGAAATTCATATAATGCTATTCCATCTCCTTCTGTGGCTCCCTCTGAATACTTTCTTTCTTATACTTTAAGATACTACATTTATTTGAACAGCTCTTCCCCACTCTATTATATCCTTTTTCCATTCATTCTTAGCTTAGAAAGCTGACCCAGCTTTTCCTTCCTCACTTTGATTATGACATGCCCTTGAACACATTGTAAAGACATACCTTCTTTTCATCACTAAGGTTATGCTCAATTTTCTTTTTATAAAAGAATGGTTTGGCCTAGTTCTCTTAACACTGAAATGAAAATATTTTCTGACTACACATTAGAGTCAGGTGATTTCTTGAGCCTCTTCCAACATATCCTCCCTATTTCTTATACCAGCTATGTCCTCTCTGTGTTTCTAAATGAAAAGCACTTGGCAAATACTTAACCCCCTTTGCTTCTTGCCGGAGTTCCATTTCATCCTGAAATCCTGGATGTAAGTCCCAGAACCATCTGTAATGTTTCCTGGAACATTAAAAAAAAATCAGATCGTAATATCTTATCTGAAGTCTCTCCTTGAAGAAAATGACCAGTATTTCTATCCTCGGCTTGTTTGAGTGGAGTAAGAACAGTTTTCCCAGCATCCCTCATTCTTTCTCTCTTGATATAGTTCCCAGAATAAATACTGTCTCTTAGTGAAAGCTTTTGGATGAGAATCTAGGTCTTAGTACTTCTGGACTAGATTTCTTTCTTATTCAGAACCACAAGTTGGTTTATATTTAAGCATAAGTGAGGGCTGAAGCCTTAATGAGTTGAGTAACATATTGGTGTGCCCAGGAAACAATGACTAAGTTCATGGAAGTACATACTACTAAGAAAATCTAAGAAAGATTTTTGTGACCAAACAGGTCACCTCCATAACAAAATATAAAATAAATCGTGGTCAGAGTAGTAATAATTTCCTTTTTGGGTAGGGGTTCCTAGAGATTCCAAGAAGACGTCAGGAAACATCTGAGTGAAATGTGTTATCAGTGAAGTCTGGCTTGTTCTGGCACTAATTTTTGACTTGACTTGAGTTGTAGGAGGAACAGACACCTTTGCACATTGCCTCTCGCCTGGGTAAGACAGAAATTGTCCAGCTGCTTCTACAACATATGGCTCATCCAGATGCAGCCACGACAAATGGGTACACGCCATTGCACATCTCTGCCAGGGAAGGCCAGGTAGATGTGGCATCAGTCCTCTTGGAAGCAGGAGCAGCCCACTCCTTAGCTACCAAGGTAAGGGGATGGCTCCATGACAACATGGATGAAGAGGGATCCTGAGTCAGGCTTCCTCTGTTCTACTATCCACAGTATCAAGAAGGGTAGATCTTCTTTAGGCTCTGACTTACTTCTTTCTATTTGAATATTTTAGATTCATTTCCTAAATCATCAAAGGGGATTTTGAAATCCCATATAATATTTTCAATAACCAGTGCTGGATTCCATCCTTCTAAGTAGTATTGTTTCTAATACAGGTGTCTGGTGCCTTTTTAACTAAGATTATTTCCATAGAGCAAGGGCTACTTTCTCTTCTCTTTCCATTAGAAAATCTATAATGTATTCCCAAGAGAAAAAATAGAAGATTCCCAAATACATTGAACTAGTATTACTAATGAAGAAAAGAAAATTGCATTAAATTGGCAATAGTATATTTGCTAAGAGTTTTAGTACTATCTAGAAGTTCACCTTACTTGATTCTGCCTTTTTCCAGCTCTGGTATCAGCTGTCATTCCCATTCTGCTCTCTGATATTTATCAGCTATATTCTTGCTTGGGTATTTACGGTGTCTAAATAGAGCTGGGCTAGAGAAGCACTTTATTGGTTGTATATTCTTTGTATACACCAGCCTGAACTTTACTTATGTTCAAAGTTTCATGCTAGGGCAGAATAATTTTTTTTCCACTTGATACATTCTATTTGAAATTCACTACTTGGATATGACTTAGAATAAAACATGAACACACTCAGCTAATCAGAGCAAAAGAAATTGGATGGGTACAGAAGAGTAGAAAAATGAGACAAGTTTAAAGTCCACAACAAGTGTATTGTTTGCAAGGCAAAATAATTCCCATAAATACAACAGTGATTCATCTTATTTAAAAGACATTTTCAATTTGCTCATAGCAAATAGTCATGAGTACTACATCTGAGGGAGAAGTATGAACTCAAGGAATGTTGTGGCATCTGTCCTCCTAGAAGTAGAAACGGCCCACTAGCCATTATGACTTAATCTGGTTGCCTGTGGCTATAAAACATGTTTTAATGTAAGAAACTGATAATTATTCCAATGCTGAAATCTGAAGAGCTGAAAGGATTTTAAAAATCTTTTTTTTTTTAAATCAGAAACTAAGCAACAAATGTAATAGTGATAACAACAACCCAAGAAAGACTGGGTGATCATCTCACCAGATGAAGGTGACAAATAAATTCAGATATGTAAAATACAGAAATAAAGAATACAACATAGTGCCTTGCAAAGATTTTTAGAATTTAAAAGATATATCTAAAGCCATAGTCAAGTACTGAGGTTAAATGGAAGGAACTATTAAATTGAGCAGTTCAGTAGTGGAACTCACTGGGGTTCTGATGAATAGTTGACTCAACATCATTAAAGCTATTTGAGTGTTTCTACATATCAGAGGGTAAATGAAATCCTGAGGAAATTAACATGGGGAAGGAGGAAGATGTATGACTCAAGAGATGCTTTCCAACCCCAATTTTGTGATTCTACAGTAAAGATTCTGTGTGGTTTTGTCTAATAATATGTTCCAAATTTATAAAGGGGTTGGATCACTATTCCAGCAGGACTTTATGGACAAGGCATTTCTTTTTCTTCCTTATCATGTATTTTTTTTTCTCAAAGAATTCTACTTCATCCTGAGTGTCACCCCAATCATTGTGTACATTGAGCAGAGGGAGAACATTAACAATAAATGTTGACTGAAACGGACTAATGCAAGAGGAGGAAATACTTCCTATATTTGTCCCACATTTGGAGAAAGTGAAAGAATCACTCTCCTCCAAGGACTGATTAGTACCAAATGTTCAAAAAGAAGCGAAAAGAAAAACAACATTTTAATTAAACATAATTCGTGTGGTGACACTGTGAAAGGGCAGTATTGTTTCTTGGGAGAAATTCTGTATTTTGATGAGGGCTTCAGTGGTCCCAAGGATAAGCCGTACCTTAGACCACCTACACCAGGCACATTTGCTTGGTGTGTTTTACAGGCCCCGGTCAGCGTTAGAACTCTTCCACTCTCACTTTAGTGCCAGAAGAGCATGTGGTTAGACTGTCTGGCCAAGAGGATGGATTTGAGATCATGGTGTAGGAACCGTGCCATCCTTGAGATCTGAGTCCAGGGACTTGGCTGTTTTTGTAACACAGCTAATGACGGAGAATGACATTAGTTAGGCACACAAGACATTGAATCTGCACATATAAACATGGGTAACAGAGCATTCTTTTAAAAAAGCTTTACACTGGTGTGTTTAAAAGTCTGACAATCAGCTCAAACTTATGCCGGAAGTAGAGTGTATTTAACAAAAGGAATTGGTCTTTTATACAGTGTGGGTCTTCTGGGAAAGGGGCTAGATAACAGGATAGGAGGTACTTTTTAGTAGTGAGCATTTTTCTTCTCTGTCGACCATTTATCTTGCTATTTCTTCAGAAAATGCAAATCAACTGAATCACAGTAACAATTTTTTTACCAGGGCTGCTGAAATATCCTAAAATTTAAATGAAGAAATTTGGAATTCAGATATTATAAAAAGGATAGAAAAAGAAGGATTGGAGAGAAGGCAGCTATTGTCTCAATCCTATTAATTTTAGAAGCAGGAAAAAGACAAGCTGTCTCCACCCCTGCCCCCAATCACTAAAGAGAGCCATTTTAGGGACACCAGTGACCTTTATAAATTTCAAACCTATAAAGTCAAATTTCAGTTTGCAAGCCCTTAAAATAAAATCTGTTTTGTTCAATCGATCAAGCCAAACTCTTGCATGTTAAATTTCCTTCTTTAGTCTAGTCCTTGTTTATGGCTAACAGATTTAATGCTTCTAATATTTTTCCCAAATAGAGACTCAACATAGTTTGTTTGCTCAGTATGTTAACAAACAAACAAAAAGATTTTGTTAGGAGTCACAAAAATAAAGATGACATTTTACTTTTGTTTCTTCACATTTTCAGAAGGGTTTTACTCCCCTGCATGTAGCAGCCAAGTATGGAAGTCTGGATGTGGCAAAACTCCTCTTACAACGCCGCGCTGCCGCAGATTCTGCCGGGAAGGTAAAGAGTTTTACTAACACATGACAGTTACGTAACTCAGTCAGGTTGGAAGCTTTGGAGATCTGTACTTCAAGATATTTTTCTCAGTCTTCTGAAAGGAATATGAAGGCGACTGATGAAACTATGCCAGATAGACACGAGGGGGATATCTGCCCGTGCGTGACCTGTCCACATCCACACTAATTTAGAAGGCATTTAGAGCTGTGCCTTCAATGTGTGTCCTCTGCACTAAATTTAGAAGAATCCTTGCAATGCTAATGTAGTAATTCTTGCATAGCATTTCAGACTTTTATTTACGGTGGCTATCCAGATAACGTGTGCCAACTTACACTCCACCAGACATTTTCAGTTTTAGCCAAGTTTCTAATATGAAAATCATTAGGTATTGATTTGATTTTTTATTGACCATATTAATTAATTAACATGGACTTAATCGATACCAGTTTCCATGCATTTGGGTAGCTTCAGGGCAGCTCACACTAATTTATTAATGCTGAATTTAGACACACCCTTTACAGAACGGCCTTACCCCGCTCCACGTTGCTGCTCATTATGACAACCAGAAGGTAGCACTGCTGTTACTGGAGAAGGGCGCTTCCCCGCATGCCACGGCCAAGGTGAGGACCACAGAAGAGGGTTGGCAGAGATAGGGTGCAACTATAATCAGACTGCACATGGGAATTGTTCTTTCATTTTTTAAATTTTAATTCCAGTGTAGTTAACCTACAGTTTTTTATTAGTTTCAGGTGTACAATAGAATGATTGAACACTTCCATACATCACCTGGTGCTCATCATGACAAGTGCCCTTCTTAATCCCCACCACCTGTTTCAACCATCGTACCTCCCCACCCCCCTTCATTACCAGCAGTCTGTTCTCTAGAGTTAGGAGTTTATTTCTTGGTTTGGCTCTGTCTCTTTTTATCCTTTGCTTGTTTGTTTTGTTTCTTAAATTCCACATATGAGTGAAATCTTATGGTATTTGTCTTTCTCTGACTGACTGATTTCACTTAGCATTATACTCTCTAGCTCCTTCCATGTTGTTTTAGGGAATTGTTCTTTAAACACATGGTATGGTATAACTGCAAATAGTCCTAGTGATAGTAGCTTTTGGTACTGACTATTTTTTATTATTATTATTTCTACCAGTTACTTCCACAAAGCCTTTTAAGATTTTTTAAAAGTCGGGGCGCCTGGGTGGCTCAGTTGGTTAAGCGACTGCCTTCTGCTTGGGTCATGATCCCGGAGTCCCGGGATCGAGTCCCACGTCAGGTTCCCTGCTCAGCAGGGAGTCTGCTTCTCCCTCTGACCCTCCTCCCTCTCATGCTCTCTGTCCTCATTCTCTCTCTCGCAAATAAATAAAATCTTAAAAAAAAAAAAAAATTAAAAAAAAAAAGATTTTTTAAAAGTCAGCATAGATTAAGGGGATATGCCTACAAAACAGTAGAGGTGACTTTTACTGCTAACATGCAGTGTTTTAGAGACTAAAGTTTTGAATTTTGAGAAATGAAACATAATAAAGGCAGTAGGTTTTTCCTTTTCCCCTATAACCGGAATGTTATGACATAACATAACCTTTTTTTTTTTTTTTGCTTATTCCTTTAGGCCTCAATTTTTTCATTATGGTATATGAAAGGCTCTTCGTTTCTTTTTTCTTTAAGTATTTCATCCATGTTAACTCTAATACACATTCTTTTAAGTTCTGAGACTAGGAATTCCTTTTTGATGTATATATACCACCAATTTCTGAGACAGTGCCAACTGAGACTTGTACCAACGGACAGGGCATTTCTCACTATTTGAGTTGCCCCTTTATTATGCCAAAAATATGCATGAATCTCACATAATACATGAAATAATCACTATATCTTTCATTAATTCAAGCATATATTTTATCAGGATTTATTTAAAAAGTATTTATTGTGTTAGGAAGATATTCATGCTATGTTAGATGACATAATAAAACAGCACAACTCCCATTTATTTACCGAATACTGTACCTACCACTTTGCATGCACTATCTCATTTAATCTCATGATAATGCTATGAGATTGGTGTCATAATAATTTCTATTTTACAGATAAAAAAGTGAGATTTGAATAGATTAATTTGTTTGTCCAAAGTCACTTGACTGATAAGTGATAGGGCTGAGATTTGACCTCAAGCAATTTGACTTTAGAACCAGCACTCTTTTTTTTTAGTTGTTTTTTTTTTTTTTTTAGTAATCTTTACACCCAATGTGGGGTTCGAACTCACAACCCTGAGATCAAAAGTTACCTGTTCTTTTGACTGAGCCAGCAAGGTGCTCCTAGAACCAGCACTCTTAACCATTAGGTCCACTATGTCCCAAAGTAGTGGAGAGAGAATTATTCTACTTCTATTATATAAATATGTATATGTGTACTCATGTGTCTATTTATTTATTTTTTATTATGTTATGTTAATCACCATACATTACATCATTAGTTTTTTGTGTTTTTTTTTTAAGATTTTATTTATTTGACAGAGAGAGCACAAGCAGAGGGAGACAGAGGGAGAAGCAGGCTCCCCGCTGAGCAAGGAGCCCGATGTGGGACTCAATCCCAGGACCCTGGGATCATGACCCGGGCCGAAGGCAGCCGCTTAACTGACTGAGCCACCCAGGTGTCCCGACATCATTAGTTTTTGATGTAGTGTTCCATGATTCATTATTTGCATATAACACCCAGTGCTCCATGCAGAACGTGCCCTCTTTAATACCCATTACCAGGCTATTTAAATTATACATATACACATATAATAAAATGGGATATTCTATATAAAAAGTATACTCTGTATAATACCATATATTTTGTATATATTATATATGATATAATATAAATATACATAACTTTATAACATACCTACATATACATCTACATATATACATATACATGCATATTTTATTGGTACCAATATACACTAATAATAAAATATTTTAACTATCAAAAGAGGAGGGCAGGGGCACCTAGGTGGCTCAGTCGTTAAGCGTCTGCCTTTGGCTCACGTCATGATCCCAGGTCCTGGGATCGAGCCCCGCATCGGGCTCCCCGCTCCACATCGGGCTCCCTGCTCCACATCGGGCTCCCCGCTCTGCGGGAAGCCTGCTTCTCCCTCTCCCACTCCCCCTGCTTGTGTTCCCTCTCTCACTGTTTCTCTCCCTGTCAAATAAATAAATAAAATCTTTAAAAAAAAAAAAGAGGAGGGCAAATATTTATAATTATGCATATCATTCTTATTCCTTTATACCCTTCTCTCAGTAGTCTCATCAATTCTGCATTTATTTGATGTCTTTCTTCATCCTAGATGATAAACTACTTGAGGACAGTAATCATGTCATATTCATCTACATATCCCTAAATTATCTCATATAGTATTATGTGGATTCTCAATACATTTAAATGAAAGAATGAAGACTAAGCAACTATTTCAATGGAATAAAAATACCTACTCCTTTAACATGCCAGTACTTTTTTCATTAACTCTCCAAGCTGGCCATCCTCAATATAGATATGAAAGATTTCATCAATACCCAACAACACTTTATTTGAACTCTTACTATGTATAAAGAAAGAAGTGTAGTAAAACTTTGTTCTCCTCCCACAAGGTACTTTCAATCTACTTGGGAGAGAGGACCTAAATTATAAAATAATCTGTATGGTTTTCCCAAAAAGACAAATATAGCCCTGATCTCTAGCCTGTACAGTGTATGGTCCTTACTCTTAGGTACACACAGAGTCCATAAGACCAGGTAGAGCAACCTCTACTCCAGAATCATAGTAGGGTGGTGTTCAGGAGGCTCCTCTAGTATCTTCCACTCATCTGCCCCAGCCTGTTGATGAGCATGAGTCCTTCAGTTCTGGGGCCACTCCAAGAGGCTTCCAGTTGGTTGTACCCCCAGCCCCATTTCCACTTTTTTTTTTTTAAGATTTTATTTATTTATTTGAGAGAGAGAGAGAATACAAGCAGGGGGCAGGGGCAGAGGGAGAGGGAGAAGCAGACTCCCACTGAGCAGGGAGCCCGATGTGGGGGCTAGATCCCAGGACCCCGGGATCATGACTGGAGCCGAAGGCAGATGCTTAAACAACTGAGCCACGCAGGCACCCCCCCCGCCCCATCTCCACTTTTGACTCTGTATTCACTGCAACCACTTGCCCTAGCCAGAGACATAATCCCTTGGACTCTAGAACCTGTTTGCTTCTTTCTACCAGAGCCCAGAAGCTTTTCTTAGTTTTCACTGGATTTTTTTTCTGTGTGTGGTTATTTGGTTCCAAAAAATTTCACTCTATGCGGAGTAGGAGGACTATTTAGATCTTGTAGATCAAGTATCTGCTGGACAGTCAGATCTCTTATATTGCCAAAATTGACACTCTTTTTAATGATCTCTTATGTTGTTTTGATAAAACCTCCTGTCCTCCTCCATGTAAGTCTCTGACTTCCTAACCTTGGTAGATTTACTCTGATAATTCACCTAACTTTGGTAGAGCCCACGTGCAGGAATGGGGGACATTTGGACTGAAGAAAACACACTATAGCAAAAAAAAAAAAAAAAGATGCTAAACTTACAGGGTCCACAAAAATTTATGTATCCTTTAATTTAATAGAGCCCATGGTCCAAGTGCAGTGTTCTAGAACACCTGGAGCATCTGGGACCAATGATCAGACCATGAACAGGCTTCTAAGGAGAGCTGCCAAATTTCCTCAGCAGCTTAAAGAGAAATATCATTTATCTGAACTGAAAGATGCTTATTTTTGCTTGGAGAAATGGGGCAGAGTAGATAGATCAGATCATTGAGGATCAAGATTTGATGATGGTATGTAAAGATATTTAAGTTCTCAAAACTCCTTTTAATTTTTGGTACCCTTTGCAGTTAGACTTCAGGAAATAACATAACCTAAAATTATCTTATGATAGATTCACAAGAAGCAATTGATCGTTATGCTGTCTTTACCTTCATTATATCACAGTTCATGGCAAGGCCACTCTTTTTAATTTCTATTACACGTTTTTCATGGAAAATTCTACCAGACTTGAAAAAGGAAAGGAAAGGAAACAATATAGGTTCCATACTAACATTTGTTCTAGAGGTCTGTTTGCTTGTTTTTTCTTTTAACTAAGTATAGGGATTAACGTTTGGCTCTTGTAAGCCAAGTATGAATTCCTCTGGTCCTCTCTACAAACTGCCACATAAAACTAGTATCCTCATATTTCTCCTTTTGAGCGCACAGGTTGTAGAGACAAGTGGAAAATCTAGGATTTTAATAGGACACAGGATTGATATAAGCCAATTTTGTTGCTTAATATATTTTCCACTAGAATGCAACCCCTTAAAGACAGGGATTGTGTCTTGTCCACCTCTGTATCCCTATACCTAGCACACAGCCTGGCACATGCTCGCAACTTACTAAATAGCTATCGAATGAATAAAAAGTACAATCCACCCAGAAGCATAATAGCAGGAGTGTTATAACAAGATCAAAGAAAGAATTCCATTTTATTCTGTACTACTAAAACTGTGTCTGAAGTATAGCATTCAGTTCCAGGTTGCACAATTCGAGAGCACTATTGACAAACTAGAATCAGTCTAGAACAGGTCATCCTTAATGGAGAGGTCTAGCAATGGGGCTTTTATCAAGAATAGTTAAAGGACTGGGGAAGTTTAACCTGGAAAAGAAGCCTAAAGGGAGATATGAAAACCATCTCCAGGTATTTGAAGGACAGTCATGTAGGAGAGGAACCTGGCTTATTTTATGTTGCTCTGCAGGAAAGAACCAATATTGTAAGAAGAAGTTGTTAAGCTTTGGGGCTTTTGTGTCTATACCTGTCTTAAAATAGAATGGGTGCCTTGTGATATTGGTTGTAAAGATTTGGGTGTTGTTAGATGGGAACTTGCAATGGGTAAGAATTTGGATTTACTATAAACTCACTTTATAACTTTTCTGTTGATTAGAGATTCTTATTTCCTTTGGAGATATATATTAGGGCAAGTGCTAAGCTTACAAGATATATTTGCTTTATTTTTTTTTTTCTAGAATGGCTATACTCCTTTACATATTGCTGCCAAGAAGAATCAAATGCAGATAGCTTCCACGCTCCTGAACTATGGAGCAGAGACTAACATTGTAACAAAACAAGGAGTAACCCCACTCCACCTGGCTTCACAGGAGGGGCACACAGATATGGTCACCTTGCTTCTGGATAAGGGAGCCAATATCCACATGTCAACCAAGGTATTGTTTTTGCCTCTTGTTTTAGCCAGGAGTCTCTCAGATGAATGTAGACAGAAACCGATCAAAGATAACTTGGAACAGAAGGAGGGGATGTGTTAAAAGGAAACAGAGATTACTTCTAGAATTCAAGGACAGTAACAGTCGGAGCCTTATGAGGAAAAAACCACAAGGAAGCAAGAGGCCGACTCTCTGCCTGTATGGCTGCATTTTTGAATCTTGACTTTTCCCTGCAAGTCAGTTTCATTTACCTCTCTCTACAGATCTACTTTCTCTGTTTCGTTGTGTATGTGACCAAAGTGGTGACCCTATAGCTCCCAAGAGTTAACATCACGGCAGTTAAAGCAGTCCGTCCAGATTGCCATAGTACCTGCTGGTCTTAATTCCAAATTTCAGACAGAAAGAGGGAGAGTGAGAGAGAGAGAGAGAGAGAGAGGTGACAGTTCATTTGGGCTCTTGCCCAAACAACTGATTCTAAGCTCTTGGTCCATGGCCACTACCCAAGCCATTCTCCAGCCCGGCTGAGCATAAGAGGCACCTGGGGGCTGGGGGAGGGACGCATGCAGGGAACTCAGTAAAATATAGATTTCTGAGCCAACTTTAGCTTAGTTTGGGTGGTTCTGGTGGTGGCGGCCAGAGAATCAGTGTTTTTAATAAAGAACCTCAGTCATTTCAGCCTTTGTAGGCAAGCATATTAACTATAATAGAGTAAGAGTGAGGAATATAGGGGGAAAAGACATTATTCAAATATGGAAATACTTGGATTTTTACAATTACATGTCTGTCTATACATTTCCCTCTTTCTCTACATATATATCTGCAACTCTACCTACCTACCTACCTATTTAATGTATATCTATTTTATACTTTATGTACTCCACTGGAGTCAGCTTCTGAGAAACTAAAAATTGAAGCCTATATTTACAAGTTAGCTCATCACTTACAACTCTTAATGCTTTTTGTAACACAAAGTATAGGTTTAGTGAAAATTAAGTTTCTTAGGATTTTTCACAAATACACAAGTACTGTGTTTTCTACATCTCACTGTTGAGCTAATTAGTGCTTTTGGAAACTCATATGTGAATTGGTCTTAATAATGTTTATCAGGGGTGCCTGGGTGGCTCAGTCATTAAGCGTCTGCCTTCAGCTCAGGTCATGATCCCAGGGTCCTGGGATTGAGCCCCACATCAGGCTCCCTGCTCCACGGAGAGCCTGCTTCTCCCTCTCCCACTCCCTCTGTTTGTGTTCCCTCTCTCACTGTGTCTCTCTCTGTCAAATAAATAAAATCTTAAAAAAAAATAATGTTTATCAATAGGTTATGTAGCATTATTTCCTTTAGAAATAGTTTTGAAAAAGACAAGTTGCCTGAATGCCTCTAGAGTCCTATTCTGTGTCTTTATCACTCAGAAGTATTCCAGTAAATCCCTTGCCCTTATACGCTTCTTTGTTCTTTATCAGAAGTCCTCATGGATCTTTTTTTAAAGTATAGTGAGAGTTACTGATAGAGTTATTCCTCCAAAAGATATTTGCATTTTAACAGAAATGAACATGCTAAAGCCTTATGGTGAAATTCAATGCCTCAGCTGTCATTAAAGTCTGGGGCATGGATTTCCTTGTGGCCATTGACATCATGCCATCCAGGTGATCATTTCCCCTACTGGGGATATTCTCACTAAGACCAGTTGTATATGAAGGGGGCAGATAGTGTTTATTGTCCGTTAAAAACAAATCTTCATTTGAAAATAAACACGAGAAATCCATAAGCAAGGAAAATTTTGAGTAGAATGAAATTCTAGACATTTCATGAAACTGGTCATGTGATGCTTCTGATAGTGCTGTTTTTAATTTATATTCATATCTGGAATCAGTTAACTATGTCCCTCCCTAATGGTATTCTTCTAAACATATTACTTCCTTTGAGAGGGTTTTAGCAGTCAATCAGCAAATATTTAATGAATATTTTTGACTTGCATACTCCACAGTGAAGAAATATATTCAATTTTGGACCACAAAGTAATTATGTTATCTTTATAACAATGATTTCAATATTAGATTTGGGTGCTATCCTAAAAAGAGGTATGATGTATTTGTCACTAGAGTAAATCACCATGTAATAATAAGAACCAGTTGTAGAGGGCGCCTGGGTGGCTCAGTTGGTTGAGCGGCTGCCTTTGGCTCGGGTCATGATCCTGGAGTCCTGGGATCGAGTCCCGTATCGGGCTCCTTGCTCAGCGAGGAGTCTGCTTCTCTCTCTGACCCTCCCCACCTCATGCTTTCTCTCTCTCTCAAATAAATAAATAAAATCTAAAAAAAAAAAAAAAAGGAAAAAAAAAGAACCAGTTGTAGAGTCCTCTAGTGCATCTTAGAAAATAAATTCCTTTTTTTGGCACGAATTCCTTCAACATCTTCTATTTTCTTGATTTATTAGAAGAGTTTTCATAATTTGATTTAGGTATACAAATTTATCATAATAAATTGTAGAGGATTTTCATACTGGCTGTTAGTTTGTAATCTTATACTGTAGAAAATCCATTCTGCAAATAGTGTAGAAAACAGCACATATATTTGACATGCCATTAAAAATGTCTTCTCGATATATGATGATCATTTCCTTTAATAGTCACTTCAATAACATTTTTAAAAGACCAGTTGTCTCCATAAAGAGAAATATTTTTGTTTGCTATTTTCATATGAAGAAAATCAGAATGAGGAAGAATCTTCTGTTCCAATATTCATATTGTTTATACTTTAGAACTAGATAGTATTTATAAGGGAGGACATTTTAATGCAAAAGGGTATATCTTTGATCTCATCCTGATGGTTTATGAAACTCAAAGCTGAGCTCAGCCAGAACTGTAAGGATTAAAAAGCCCCAAGCCCTCAAAAAAAAAAAAAACCTTCTCTCTAGTTGGAGAATGTTTTTCCCTCTGTACATATCACTTATGTTTTTTAAAGATCAGAGGACTTATCCATTTCTAGGAGTACACCCTGGCTAGAGATCATGAATTTTGAAGAACCTGGCTGACTGTGGAAAGGCAGATCTGCAAAGCCACAGTCAGGGGGGCTGGTAGAATCTCCCTGGACATGAATTGGGAGAGTGGGGGTAGGGGGAGTTGCCAACTCGGTCGGAGCTTAAGTTCGCTAACTCAATGTATAGCTGCAGGACATACAGGGAGGGATGAATATACTAGGTATTTGAGCAGTTGCAGGGGGGAGAGAAACATAGGGTATGAGTATACTGTTAGCTAGAATATAGGGCAGAAATGTTTGTTCACTGATATATTCAAATACCTAGAATACCTCCTGGCATATGAAAGATTCTCAGAAAACACCTGTTAAATACACAAATGATTTACGTTTTAAAGATACTCTTTTCATTTCAGTTTTGTGTGCTGGAGACTACTTGCACACATAGTGAGGCTGCTGGATTGTGGCATTGACTGAGGAAAGCACCCTTTCCCTCTCCTTTCTCCATGCTTCCATCTTGTATTAGTTCTTAACTGTATTTGAATTGTATATACAATTAATCAGAATATTTACTTGATGTATAAATGCCAAACATTTTATATAAAACTGGCCAGTCTATGGTGCTATATATAAATGATGGGGTTACTTTTATTTAGCAGTTAGAGGAACCCCCAAAATAGTATACTATCCTTGAGTGCTGGAGAAAACTGTTCTGAACTCGTTTCCTATAACTCTGTACATTTTTTACCTTGATATAATATTTTATTGATGAAAATATAGATTATTGCTATGGTTAAAAAGTAGAAGTAGTAGTTGGTTGATTATTTAAGGGAATAAATAGATTCAGCAGGAGGCACAGATGGATTTGAAATGAGTGTTGTTTGGAAGCTTATTAGCTGAGTTATTTTAAAGTTCTCACATCATAATAGAAGTACCCAAATAAAGAAAATGTAATTTGTTGATTAACTTAGAGAATATGTCTTAGAAAGGCATATTAACTTGGAGTGTTTGTTTTAGAGATCAAAAGTTGCAGGTGCTAGGGAGAGGCTATGAATTTTCCAGGATTTTTTCAAGACATGCTATTATAGATGATGAAACATATTTTCTTCCTCAAATGTACCCATTTGCTTCCATTCTCTCTATAGAGTGGACTCACGTCTTTACACCTCGCAGCCCAGGAAGATAAAGTGAATGTTGCTGACATTCTTACTAAGCACGGGGCTGACCAGGATGCTCACACGAAGGTAAAGTGAATCACTTTCAATATTGTGACAGGTTCTGATTTGGATGACTCCCAGTAGCCCCCATTCAGGTCACCCCCAGTCCAAGCACCCTTCCTCAAAAGTCCATTCTGAATTAATTATGATTCTCTTTTACTCACAAATCTGTAATGGTTCTCCATTTTTGCCAGAATCAAGTCCAAATGGAGATCATGATATCAGGACCCTTTATAAAAGGATTCTAATTTTGCTGGCTAAGTCAACCTCTCTCCCTTATTGCTCTGCCAGTCCCGATGACTTGCTCTTTTCTTCCTGTATTTGCTTGCCTCCAACCCTTGGTCTTGAAAATGGCTTTTCCTTCTCTATGCCATAAAAATTTTCAAGCCCACCAAAGCTACATTTTCATGCATCTCCTCCAGATCCTCCCATCAGACTCAGTTTTTCTTCTCTATTTTCAGATCCAGTTATTTGTGTCTCTCTTTTAGCTCTTTGTCAGATGAAGTCATACACATGTCTGATTTCCTTTGCTGGTGTTAAGTTCCTTGTGCTCAGGGATCTGTCCATATTTGTATCCACAGGAAGTGTAAATAATCTGCTCAGTAATATTTATACAGTGGAATAGAATCTTTACCCTTCCTACCATTACTGAGATTCTACCTAATCCCTCTCCCTTTGAGTATTAACTGCTAGAGTATGTATGCATTTATTTATTTATATATTTATGTATTTGTCATAGCTTGGTTACACCCCTTTAATTGTGGCCTGTCACTATGGAAATGTGAAAATGGTCAACTTTCTTCTGAAGCAGGGTGCAAACGTCAACGCAAAAACCAAGGTAAATAAAATCCTTGTACTCATTTTCATTTTCTGTAAGCAAAGAGGTTCAGCCATATGAATACTTCACTAGCTCACCATAGCTACAAATGTATTTTTTTCCTTCTTAGTTCTTCTAAAGTGACTTTGAATGAGCAGTATAGTTTTGTGCAGGTGTTTGAGACTTTTCATTCTCAGAGCCTCTGTCAGCAATGTAGGTTAGCTTCAGAACTACTTTTATTATAGAGCTTAAGTAGCTCTTATCCAGTTAACAATTTACTACAGAAAAAAAGAAGCCTGCTAGATAGAACACTTTGATGTTCTGGCCAATTCTTTATGTTGTTTCAAGGCCTTGGTCCCCCTTCCTGAAACCCCCTCCTTCCGCATGAGGAAATATAGACAGGCAGCTGAGACTCTGTGCCTTTCATTTTTAAGATTTTATTTATTTGAGAGAGAGCATGTGTGAGTGAGCATGTGAGTGGCGGAGGGGCAAAAGGAGAGAGAGAATCTCAAGCAGACACCCTGATGAGTGTGGAGCCCAATGTGGGGCTCGATCCCAGGACCCTGAGATCATGACCGGAGCCGAAATCAAGAGTCTGGCGCCCAACTGACTGAGCCATCCAGGCGCCTCTCATTTTTTAAATTTTAAAACTAATATTCATTAAGTGCGTGGTAGGAGTCACATATACATTATATATGACTTTATATATATTAAATCATTTAATCCTTAAATAGCACCTCATAGTCAGGTGCTATTACCATCTCTATTTTACATAGTGAATTTAAATAACTTATCTAAGGTCACAAAGTATTAGTTGGAAGAATTGGAATTCCAACCCAGACAATCTGGCTCAGGGCCAAAGGTCTTAACTGTTAACTGTATACACTGCTCTAACTTCCACATCACTACAGGTCATTAACGGCAATTCATTAGACCTAAAATCTTATCTGTCGTCATTCACTCTCCTACCTGCTATCAAATCCTGTTGCTTCCTTCTCCTGAGGAGTTCTCTGATCTAGTCATCCTTTTCCAGGATTTTGAGCCTCTATAATGTGACCTGATGTAATGTAGGTTGCCAGATGACCACTTCATAACTTCCCTACAACTGAACTAGTCTATTCGTGCTTCACTTTCTTCCAACTAAATATTTTCCTATTTTACCCTCCTAAGATGCTCTTTTACTTATTTAAATCTCATCTATCCTTAGACTACAACCTTTATAATGCTTTCTCACACTACCTGAACATTTTGATTACGGTCCTATGAATAACAATAGTGCTTCCTTTTTAAATGCACATGTAAAACATTTTTGTTCTTAGTACATAGTTTTAAATCTCTTTGTGTTTTTACTGGTGATGCATTATAAAAGATGTGGTATGTTCTAATCACCTCCTCTTGACCTCCTGAGGGAAGGATCCCTCCGTCTAAATATAGAGGAGATAGCTGAGAATAGGACATCCAATATAATGTAACATTTAAATCCATTTTCTTTCACTTAAAAAATGTTTTTTAACCTGTGATACCTTTCACTTATTTCTCCCAACTCCCCACCCCCTGCCTCTAGCAACCATCAATCTGTTCTCTGTACCTATGAGTTCAGATTTTGTTTTGTTTTGTTTAGAGTCCACACATAAGTGAGATCATACAGTATTTGTCTTTCTCTAACTTATCTCACTTAGCATGATGCCCTCCAGGTCCATGCATGTTGTCCCAAATGGCAAGATTTCATTTCTTTTTATGGCTGAATAATATTAGAGTGTGTGTGTGTGTGTGTGTGTGTGTCCGCAATTTTATTTATTCATTCATCCATTGATGGGTACTTAGGTTGCTGCATATCTTAGCTATTATAAATAATGCTGCAAGGAACATGGGAGTGCATATATCTTCTTGAGTTAGTGTTTTTGTTTTCTTGATAAATACCCAGAAGTGGGATTGCTGGACCATATTTTTATTTTTAATTTTTTGAGGAATCTCCATTCTGTTTTCCATAGTGGCTGCACCAGTTTACATCCCCACCATTCCCACCAACTCTGTTACATTTGGAATATCACATAGTAATGCTTAGTGAGGCAATGATGTGTAAGGTCTGGGTTGGAAGTTGTCAAGGACAACGCAGAACTGACTTGATCCCAAATGTTTTTACCCAGCGGTAACTGAAGGGTCCTATTCAGCAAAGCAAGGCTGGAACATAACACCACACTTCAGTACACTCAGATTGTTTCAAGGGAAAGAGAAATGAATAATACAACTTCCGCTACTATGTATAATATAACTTGCAGCTCCAACTTCCTTGGTCCAAAGAAATATGTAATTACATGTTTATTTTTTTAAGTTTATGTATCAGAAATTCTTAATGCAATGTGTGAGTGGGCTCAACTAAATTAGTGTGAGTTTTCGAAGTCATCATTCAAAATGCTAATAATTAGAAACATAAGAAGATATGGAAGTCAGTCTTTTTATATTCTCTTAGAAGCAGAAACAAAATCGTGTCTGTACATCACCATACTTACAGATGAATTAAAAATAGTTACTTTTAAAATTATAAACAATACTATTGACATTCAAGATTCCACACTTCATCTGACTCTAGCATGAATAGCAGCTGCCTAGGTTCTGAGCAGTTCTTGAGTTCTCATGAAATTGTACTTTAGGCTTATTTAAAAGCTCTAATAGGAATTCCCAGGCATCAGCACCCAACACCATTTTCTGCTGAGTCAGATCACACATAATCATACAGGAAAGATTCCTATTGGAATCTAGGTCTTCTCCTGAAAGGAATAAATGCAGCTATGCAATGAGACTTTGGAGGAACTTGAAAACAGTTACCGTATTTTTTTGTTAAGTGTGTGTTTGTTGAAATAATATTTACAAGCCATACATATTGTCTAGATAACATCGTTTACCTACCTGGGGTTTGGTATGCATTCACATAGACATTTGGTTAAGAGAAAAATCTCATTTTAATTTTTCAGGGTTTTTTTTTTTTTTTTTTTAAAGTGAACTCTGTAGATTTTACTTGCTTTTAGAAGTAAATATACCTTTTAATATGTCTTCAGGGGAGTGGATAGATACATAAATCGAAAGATGTTCTTTTAATAAACACTTCAGAATTTTTTTCACACAGAATGGCAATTTTGGAAAAGGAATTGTTTTCTGCCTCACATCTCGTGTAACTATGGTTACTAAAAATTTGTTTTGTTGCTATGAAAATGTAAACATGTATTGCCTTTAGTCCTCAAAAATTCATGATCTGGTATAAAAATCTGGAAAAGTGAACTTTTTTATGAGACTATTAGTTGTTTAAAATTAAAATGAAATCCTATACATCAGCTTGAGGAAAACTAGATTTGGTTAATTAAATGATTAATTTGCAAAAAGCGTTTAGAACGTCAGCATGTAAAAAAATTTTCTTTATAAAATATACAGCAAAGATCATAGAGCTCTTCAATGAGAAAGAAAAAAAGTGAAATGTTTGTCAGCATTTCCATAGAACTTTAGATAAATTTAAGTTTCATGGGCAACATATATAATCCTTCACCAGACTTGAAATCTTGGCTATTCCCAGTTTGTAAACGAGGAAATGGAGGGTTAGAGGGATTTAGGAATACGCTAGAAGTTGGTAGAACTGGGTCTAGAGCTCCTAGGAGAATGGGCCTAAGACCGTGGATAAGCTGCAACCGAATGTTCCCATAAAAGTTTTTAAGTTGCTCCAGACTTCCCTAGCAAATATGCTCATGCACCAGAGGTTTCAGGTAAAGGTTAAATCAGGCCCGGGAGACACCTTCCTGGACACTGTGTGCCTTGAGGACTCAGTAAATTGTGAGCTCTTGGGGGCAAGAATGCTACTCTGGCATTATTAATTTATGTAAGCACAGTGTCTCCTATTTAGCACATAGCATGTGGTTAGTAAATGCTTGCTAAATGAATTAAGTTGGTTGATACTGAAGAGGTGAACAAGTTTGGTTGGTAGAATATTTGTAAACACGATGAAGAAGAAGAATTTTCAGGGAAAAAAAATACCACTTACTTTATGCTTCTCAAATGTCCATGAATCACCTCATTTGAGAGCAGAGTCCCTGCAATAGCAATAAGTTTCTCAGAGACCCTGTCATGGGCTTCTATTTCCAGGTTTCCTGGGGTGATGCCATTGGAGGGATATATAGAAACATGGCAGAGCTGATGATGTTCCAGACTGAAGGACACGCAGACTGATAGACTCTCACAAATACAGGGACATCCCCGTGGATGGAAAGGCCACAGCAAAAGCATAGAAGGAACCATGTGGCACCTCTTGTATACAGACAGACACTTTATGTAGACAGGAGTGGCAAAAATGCATGTTGGTCATGCATGAGGCAGCAGTGACACGAGATAAAAAGGACATAGACTCCTACAAGTTTATGGTGTGAACAGGCTACTCAGAACTCAGAACCCAAACAACGGATAAAATTTTATCAGGGTGAGGCAGGTAGATAATAAAAAAAAGTTGTCGGATACCCATTGGCTATCATGATCCACACAGGTTCTGAACCTAGAATGATTGCAAAGAAATTACTTAACTGTTATTTTCCATTTCATCATCTCTGAAATGGGAAGAAAACATTTATTCAGTCATTTATTCATTCACTCAGTCACTCATGATTTTTGAGACACCTCCTTTGTACCAAGCACCCTCATTTTTAGGATGACAATAAAGATTAAAAGACAACTACAAGGCCTGGCATCTGACACAAAATAAATGTTCAATGAATGATATTAATGTTTTGTTCGCCTCCAAGGATTCCAGTGCCATGTGTAATTAACGTGAATACGCAGCCAACCTGCGCCGTACCCTCCAACCACCAGAGTTCTGAGCAAGATTGGCTGCGCACTAACCTCAGTAGCAATTCCTCACAAATCATGGATTGCAGAGCTTTCATCGAAACTTCCAGTTTAGACCAGAATGTTAAAGAGAACTTCATTTTGTGGCCCACTCAGCATCCAATGAAATCTTCCGTTCTCTGAGCGTGCCCTTCTTTGACCAAAGCCGATTCAGATTTACCTCCATTGATTTAGAATCCCTAAAGCTGGCGCAAAGATTATTCGAAAAGTCATGACAGGCAGTGTGGTTTGTATTACCGTCTGCAGCTTTCAGTTAGAAACATGTTACTTTCTTTTTCCCCAGGGAAGAAATGGTAACGCTCTTTTGTCATTATAAATCTCTCAGCATACCCGTTTTTAATGCTAATTAAACTATAATAAGAGCTGTAAATTGGAGTTTGTTAGTCTTCCTATTTCATCAGCTAGTCTTTTCGCTTTGTTTAGCGGACCATAAGGTGGGAGGGAGGGTTTGCTGCTGAGAAATGGGGTTGGTGGGGAAACTGAGCTCCAAATGCGCATCCTCGATGCTTTCGTTGTAAGTAATGCTAAGAAACTCAACGTGAAGGCTGACCTAGTTTTCCTTCTCCTGCTGCCAATCCTGCTGGGTCCGTGGCCACCGTCACCCACAGAACGGCTACACGCCTTTGCACCAGGCCGCCCAGCAGGGCCACACGCACATCATCAACGTCCTGCTGCAGCACGGGGCCAAGCCCAACGCCACCACCGCGGTAAGCCAGGCGCCCCGCCCCGCAGCACGCGGCCGCCGCCGCTCCCCCTGCCCGCGCGCCCCGGCGGCCGCTCGTCTGAGCCGGTTCCGACGCAGTCCCCCTTCGAAAAGCCGCCAGCGCTCCGGCAGGCCCGGGGTTTCTGGGAAGCCTTTCCCGAGATCAGCGTGACCCCCCCGGCAGCGCTTCCCGGGAAGGGAGAGCAGCCGGCCTGCCGCGGCCGTCTCTCTCGGGGGAGCGGGCGCTGCGCTTAGGCTGCTGGAACGTGCTCTGCTTCCAGCTGGTGCTCGGATGTGAGCGCGACGCCACCCCGCCCGCCCGGCCTTCTTAAGGGAGCCCGGCTGGCGAGGCTGCCGGCTTAGACAAAGCTCCTCGGGACGTGGAGCCACTGAAATGTAAACCGAGCGGTGCAATTAAACAAACCGGGATCCCCAGTGGCCGGCGCTGGAGCCGGAGTTCCTTGCTTGTGTTATTTTGCTGCACTGTGAGCTTCTGCACAGCTGCTGCTAAATCTGTGACTGAGTTCCCCGTGGTAACATCTTACCTGCAGCAGACGGCCTGACCTCTGACGAGGAGTAGCAGTCCTCGGTACTGCCTGGTAATTTTTGGAGGCTGCATCCTCCGTTCAAGAGGTACTTTCCTAAACACAGTGGAATATTTGTAGAGATGTTTGACAACCTCAGGGTTAAAGCGTCAAGTGCTTCTTATTAGAAGAGCAGGCAGATGCAGCTTGTTGTTACCATGGTGACCCGGGCTATAGTCTAAAGAAGTTACAAAGAGATTCAGCTGTAATGGTAAAAACTAGTGATTTTCCTAAGCTGTGCCTTGTTTTGGAAGGAAATGCTGGCTCATGGGGAGCAGCCGGTGAGCTCATTGGCTCACAGCACGGTCCTCCCTCTCAGTTCTCACTCTTTCTTTCACTCTCTTCAGAATGGCAACACCGCCTTGGCGATTGCTAAGCGCCTGGGCTACATCTCCGTGGTCGACACCCTGAAGGTTGTAACGGAGGAGGTCACCACCACCACCACGGTGAGTAGAAGGAGCTGATGGGCTTTGGTTCCATTGTCTTGGCTTTCAAGCCACATACTTTTGCACTTATAAAATGTGTTGAACTTTTGGTTTGGAACTTCTCTGGGTGAATATACATACAGTACACCGTGGAAGTATGTGGAGGTAAGTGCATTTACACAACTAATATGGGGGTTTTAGCTTCCTTTCGTTAACATAAATCCATATAAAATGTAAACGTAATTGTATAATATTTAGTTCCTTTTTCTCCGACTGCTTCTTTGGGGGGGGGGGGGGCTGCTCTGCCCTTTCACTGTAGTGGGGTGTGACACCTACCACTGGGAAAGTGGTAGGACACTCCAGAGCAAACTGCTGATCTTAGTCAGGAGGTCACGTCAGCCTCTGGAAAGACCCTGATCCTCCTGATACTGTGCTGATGACTGGGTCAAATGCATTCCCGTGAGAGCGGTTCCTCCTTACTTTCTTCTTATTTCTGATGATCATTTTTTATTGAAAAAGGAAATTGGTTGTACTTAGTAGGTCAACTGTATCTGTATCATGACAGGGCATATATTCAAAATTTTTTACTTTTGCTGGTTTGAATACGACTGCTGATTCTTTAGGAGGAGCAGGGATCATTGACGGCCTTTGCCAGAGAAACTCCAGGAGAGTGAAGACATGGGAGTCCTAAGGCTCTTGTCCCATTCAGTTGGAGCAAAGCTTAGTATGTGTGCTGCCGAAGCGAGCACTGGAGCAAAGCTTAAAGGAGGCCTCCCCATAGGGAGACTCACAGCTGAAAGCAGAAGTGCTGTTCTCTTTGCACTTATTTATTAACTTTTTTTCTTAAGCATGGACTCTAAGAACAGCAGCTCTTTAATTTCTCTTTCAAAATAGAAAAATAGAGTGACGGTAGAACATTAGATGTTGTTTAGAGACAGTAAGATCACAAATCTACATAAAATATCTGAATGGGGTTCTAGTAAATGCCTTAGGTTGGAAAGGATGGGTATAGAGTTTTAGAACACTTGTTTCTTTTGACAGATATGTGGAAAAAGAAAGGAATTTTATTCTTCAGACTGACTCCAAGTCCCTGTTGACATTGAGGCAGATGGAATACAGTTGGTTTGATGTGAAATTTTTAATAGAGTGGAGTATGATTTATTAATGAACTGTGAGACACAGCCTGAATTTAAATGGGAGAGAATAGTACTGCTTGTTTTCTCAAGCAGAGTCTTAAAACCTTTGGCTAATACACCACAATATTTTTAAAAGATTTAAAGTATGGCTTCAATAAATTATATAGGAGGAAAACAAGTCTTGTCACTACCCATCACTATACTTCTGAGTTGCTCTATATGGCTGAATCTTAATGGCTTCTTCTTACTATAATCATTTTTTATACCAGGAAAATCTTCATATTAGGGACCTATACATATGTGTCTTTATTTGGCATCTTTGAAACAATGTGCAAATCACAGATAAGTGGAGACTGTAGTGGCAAGATTGGCCAAGTACATCTGTTCTTGGGAGTCATGTTTTCTGTAATCTTTATTAGCTCAGATCACTGGTTATCATGCACATACATTTTTATCAAGGGACCACTAGATGGCAAGCTTGCATCTTTTTTTGCTACTTGACTGCTTTTTCTTCCATTCATTTCATTAACTAATTCATTCCTTCAATATTTATTGTATATAAAATATGCTCTGAGCTCTATGCTGAGTGCTGAAGAGTCATCAGTGGTGAAAACATTACCCCCCCCCCCCTCCCCAGCAGCTTACAGTTTAATGGGAGTGGAGGAGGAGACTTGGGTTTTGTAAGAAAATAAATTCTTTAACATCAACAAAGCTATGGAACTCACATGTTCAGTTTCAAAGAGATCCCAGGCCCATAAATATTACTTAGAGTGAATGACTTTAACTATATAGATCTATATTTGAAAAGAGAAGCAATTAGCTTGCTAAATACTATGACTAAACAAGTTCAGATACCTTTCAGAAATTAGACGTGGAGTCATATCTCTGCCACATCTAGTTTGAGTGGAATACAAAAACTACTTTTAGAGCTCCCTGTGAGCTTTTCTTCTGTTCTGGTAACTATTACTCTCTGCCCTGCCCAGCTGAGCATTTCCCCAGTAAAAACCACTATACTTAGAAATCAAGTTTCTAGGTAAAAAGCTGACAAACAAATATAAAACATAATGGCATGTTTGCTTTTAGTTGGGGTAAGAAGTCATTGTCCACATTAACTAAACAAGTACCCCCTTTGTCTAAATGGGTAATTGTATTGGTAACGTGTTTTGACGATACCCTGTTTTTACTTTCTGACTCTCTTAGAATTGATTCTTAGAATTGAGTTTTATTGTTTGGTGAAATTGTTTGGGGTGAAGGATTGAAAATATGAACTTATTCCTGTCTCTTATGTGAGCCTTCTTACTTTGCACTTCCTCTCTTTGGGAAGAGATTTTCATTCATACTTTTTTTTCACATAATGATATTAATGGTATTGAAAATGAGTATTTAGTGATTACAGATATGGCAGGCATTGAGGCTAGATCTAGGATTCAAATTTAGGTTGTCAGATTCTAAAGTCCATGTTCTTAACCACTCTGACATTACTGATCTTGGCTTTACTAAATGTAGCTTTTTTTTTTTTTTTAAAGATTTTTTTTATTTGGTGGAGACAGAGATATCGAGGGCAGGAACACAAGCAGGGGGAGTGGGAGAGGGAGAAGCAGGCCTCCCGCCGAGCAGGGAGCCTGACGCGAGGCTGGATCCCAGGACCCTGGGATCATGACCTGAGCCGAAGGCAGACGCTTAACGACTGAGCCACCCGGGCACCCACTAAATGTAGCTTAACATGAATTTTGTGAAAGAGGTGTTTTCACCTAGTTTTCTATTAAAAACAACCTACCCAAATAGTGCTTTTGGTTGATTTCCATGGAGGCATCATATTCAATATTATTTTCTAAAGTGAATTTGGAATTGCTCACTGGTGATGGGCCGATATAGCACACTAGACAAATAATTATGTAAAATCAATAAAATTAAATTTAGTTTGATGTTATTACCATTTAAATGTAATTACAGTTACACAACTAACATACAAATCTCACATCACTGGATTTGTTCGATGTGCCTTGAGCAGCTGTGTGAGTTCTCTTCCGTCAAAGAAAGTTTCCTGTGCTAATCCTCCTTCCGAAGTTCTTTACCCCAAAGTATGAATAAAGTCATTGTGTAGGGAGAAGAGGAAGGCAGCAGTCTGTAAAGGAGAAACCACTGCTTCAGAAATTTTTGAGACATTTTGGAATTGTGGTTTGTTTCCTTAACCTTTGCTTTTCTAACTTTACTTTTGGGAACCCAGCAGGGGATATGAGGCAGTTTAGCATTCTCCCAGGATTACAGTCATTGTGTGTTTGCTGGAATGGGCCTCAGAGTGCATGGGACACATTTCTGGCAGTAGAAGCCACCAAGCTCAATTGCCTAAGGCAGTTTGGAAGACCGAGATAGTACTCACCCCTCTACTTATTAATCAGCTGTCATCGAGTATTTGTATTACTTGCATAATTTTGAAATGATCATGGTTTAAGTTGCATATAATCATTGATATGTAGACCCCAAATTACTAAAATAAAAATGACATCATAAATTGCGGAATAAACTACTAAAATAAAATGACATTTTATTTATATTACCATTTAAAGAGTGGGGAAATTTTTGACAGTTAAGAAATGTAAATATTCAAAGTCCTAAATCTTATTTGAGGCTCTAAGTCAGTTAAAATGGGAATCATAATGCAGTAAATCCACCTGAAGTCATTGGACACCTCTTGAGGTGGAGTCAAGATCTTTTCTTTGAATATAGGTCCACTGACTAGAAGGAGGCTAAATGATCATTCTTGCACAAAGAACATCGATATTACATACTGTACCCTATAAAACCTATATCTTGATAGTATTCATCCTGTATATACATATATATTTTAAAGATTTATTTATTATTTTTTAGAGAGCATGCACAGGGATGGGGAGGGGCAGAGGGAGGGAGAGAATCTCAAGCAGACTCCCTGCTGAGAGCATTGATCCTGACACAAAGCTGCATCTGAGGACCCTGAGATCATGACCTGAGCTGAAATCAAGAGTTGGACACAACGGACTGAGCCACCCAGGCACCCCAAATTCATCCTGTATATTATCTTAAAGTGACACTATTCTGAGTGCAGAACCTTTTTAAACTTTTGACATACTTTTTTTTCCCTCATCTGCTTTAATTGTCTCAACTACACCTAATTGAGTACAAATTATTTTTGGTGACTCACATTTGTTGAGATTTCCAAACCATTTACATTAGTTTTTGTAGAAAAATATTTACATACTGTTTAAATTATTATAGACATTCTATTAACATGTATAATTGGTATAAATACGTTTGGGAACAAAACCAAATTTAGCCTGTTGCCCCACTGATGGGAGCCATTGTGTGTGGGCATTAGAAGGTGGCATATTAGCCAAGATCACTCATCACGCTGGGGTGACTTGGTGAGTATGTGATACAAAGGAAATAGTTGGCGAGGGGTGCGGGCCAAGTGGAGGCCGGCTATGCACACTTCCTTTTGCGTAAAACAAACCAGATATTATCTATTTACAGACAGCACGTTAAGGACTCATGTTTTATTTTTTACATCTTTTCCACATCACAATAAATATTAAAAACTCATTATTAAGGCTTCCATCTATCTTATCCTATTTATATTGCCGTATTATCTGATTTAATTACATACTATTAAATTTGTGCATAGTACACTACCCATTTTAACTTTGAAGTGGTTTCTAATCTTGACTATAAACTCTTAGGTTCTATAGCAGACGGAGTTGCCCGTGATCATTTAATTATATCTTTGTTTTCTATGTACTATTCAGATGCATTTGTATAAAGCCATATTTATATTTTGATAATCAAGTTTTCAAAGTTCACTCCATTTTAAAGGAAAATATATATCTCTTATAACATTACTCATGAGTAGGAAGACTTATTTATCATCCATTCAACAAATATTTATTGATGGTCTTCTAAAGGTCAGTGCTACATCATGAACAAATGCATACTCACTACACTGCATATAGAGGGCATTTTTATGATCTATAACAGAAAAATATCTGTGACCAGTGTGATCACTGTGTGGTACTTTTTCTGTTGCCACATATGTTTGCTGGTAATAACTTTGATAGTATTCAGTGACCAAACTAAAGCAATGGTATTTCCACTTTTAGAAATTCCAGTCCAGGGGCACCTGGGTGGCTCAGTCATTAAGTGCCTGCCTTCGGCTCAGGTCATGATCCCGGGGTCCTGCGATCGAGCCCCGCATCGGGCTCCCTGCTCTGCGGGAAGCCTGCTTCTCCCTCTCTCGCTCCCCCTGCTTGTGTTCCCTCTCTCGCTGTGTCTCTCTCTCTCAAGTAAATAAATAAAATCTTTAAAAAAAAAAAAATTCCAGTCCACTCTTAGAAATTCGAGGAAATTATAGTCCTATTATCAGTGTCTGAAAATATAAATTAAGTACATCAGGCAATAGAACTTATTTAAAAAATATTTCCACCACTTATTTTCAAATAGAGAAGCATCTTCTTGTGAAATGTTTCCTAAGAAGGGCAAATACTCTAGAACATCTCCGTAAAATAAGCTTTCTGGTGTAGTCTAATATGGTAGATATCCCTTCACATGTTTGAATCATTTTATCTACACTGAGAATCTTATAAAAAAAAAGTTTCAGAAAAAGCTTAATAGGTTATCATTAGCTTAATAGGATGTCACTGTCTGTCCTATATTTTAAATGCAAATCACTTTCTGCAATTTATACACTTTTCCAAATGGGTTGCAATTTGAGCTGCATGATAGATCCATCTGAGCAACTTTTTCATAGCTGAGCCCTCAGGGATTGTGACTTAATTGTTCTGTGATGGTATCCAAGTGATGGTATTTTAAAATTTTCTCTAATAATTTTAATATGCAGCTAGAGTTGAAAACCATGGATATAGAACACAGGTTTTAATTTATCCATGTTAAATTTATAAATTAATTACTATTAAGATAAGTAAATGAGGGGGCGCCTGGGTGGTGCAATCGGTTAAGCATTGGACTTGGTTTCGCATCAGGCCATGATCTCAGGGTTGTGAGATTGAGCCCCGCATCCGGCTCTGCGCTCGGTGTGGAGTCTGCTTCAGATTCTCTCTCCTTCTACCCCCTCCTGCTCATGTTGTCTTTCTCTTTCAAATAAATAAATAAATCTTTAAAAATAAAATAATTAAGTGATATAATAGTCTTCTTAAGTTTAAGAAATACTTATTGACCAGCTATTATTATGCAGAATTTTTTTTTTTTTTAAGATTTTATTTATTTATTTGACAGAGACAGAGATAGCGAGAGCAGGAACACAAGCAGCGGGAGTGGGAGAGGGAGAAGCAGGCTTCCCCTCGAGGAGGGAGCCCGATGTGGGACTCGATCCCAGGACCCTGGGATCATGACCTGAGCCGAAGGCAGACACTTAACGACTGAGCCACCCAGGCGCCCTATTATGCAGAATTTTTAATGGATGCTTGTCTTTCCTGAAGTTTAGTTTTCAGTGAATAAGACATTACAGAATTATTTAAACATCATAAGCAACATGCAGGAAAGCTGAATTCAATACTTCAATCTCCAACTGTGCCTTCATCAGGATAACATGAGACTTTCCTTACTTTCTCAGTTTCTTCCCATTCTTTGTTTTATCACCCCAAAGAAAATCTATTTAGTTGTTATGTGGATTTTATGTATATTTTGCCTAATTTTGTATCATTGATGTATTTGATATATATTTGAGAAGCACCTGCTAGGTTTCAGGTTCTGTGGAAACAAACTGACTCTTCAATGACTCACTCTCTCATGTGGGAGCAGATAAGGCACAGACCCTTGTGTATGGTGTGGTGTATCCCATGTCGTCAGATAATCACAGTGAAACAGACTCATCAGGGAGGATTGGGGAATGTCTCTCCAAGAAAATTACATCTGCTATGAGCCAAGAAAAGAGGTAGAAGAATATTTCTGGTAAAGGAAAGAATATATGGAAAAACTTAGAGGTGTAAGAGGATGTGACCTGGAGACACGGCTGCAGCATGGAGAAAGAGAGAGGAGGCCTCCATGCCTCTCCTTACTACATCACCCGGCTCTTCTGAGCCACTTTGTCTGGCTTGTTTTCTGAGGAAATGGGGAATAACTGAAAGGGCATGTAGTGTCACATTATGATTTCATCAGTCCCTCTTGACACACGGATATTATACAGGTAGATGTGAATATATTTTCAAAGTAGTTGAATTTCCTCGTAAATCTATTTGAAGTTCTCTACTGCTTTGGGAAAGAAAAGAAGTTGGTGCCATTCAAAAAAGTCTGTAGTATCCATGTAGCAAAGCTTAAAAACCTAAGACAACCTGTTTACCCCTATATTTTCGTGACTTTAGTTGAAGATTTGACTTATTTTGAGAGATTAGGTTTTTAGAGTTCCCGTAACGATGCCACTCAGTGCACTTACTACATTTTCAGTGCAGACACTAGAGATAGGATTTGAGACTTGGCAGTCTGTAGGTGATATTTAAAGTAGTGTGATTTGTTTTTGTTTTTGTTTTTTTTTTAAATCACTGTGGTATCCCTGGTTGTCTAAAACAGTGCCAGCATGTGGTAGGTGCTCAAAATGTTTCTTGAGTGCCTGAATGACTAAAAAGTTCAGAGGCTCTTCAGTTTTAAGATGAATTTAATATTGAATTACAATTATAATAATGATGTTACACTAGCTGATATTTATTGAGTGCTAACATAGTCCGAGCACTGTTCTTAGAACTCGTATGTATATTATTTCATTTAATCTTCATAACAATTTTATGAAGTAGTAGTATTATCCCTGTTTTATAGATGAGAAAATTGAGAAATAAGGAACTTGTTAAGAAATGACAAAGTTAGAATTCGAACCCAGGCAGCCAGTCTCCAGAATCTGGTCTCTTAACCTTACATCGCCCATCAGGAATGGAAGGCAGTGAACTTGGCAACTCTGGGGTGCCTTTGTGGAAGGCGAATAAGCAAGAAACCAGAACTGTAGACCAGTGAAACGGTCTACAATTTGATTGACTCTCTACTCTTGATCCTCTGATCCCAGAAGAGATGCATCACGTTTTCCGCCCAAATAGTTTGTCTTTCACGTTGTTTACAACTTCTTTTCCAATGGCTTTGTTTTTAATAAATTACGTATGTTCATTGCTTCTTTTTAAAGCTTTTCTGGAGACATTACTTAGTTCATTTTAGGGAAGCCCTGAAAACATTTGTCTGCTTTCTTAATATGACTAATTATTAATGCCATCACTAAAGAATTTATTTTTCAAATAGGAACTCAAAATAATGAACTTCTTCTTGTACAACTTCACTGGAATCAGTCATCATTTATCTTCAGAAAGAACAAATGAATTTTCATGGAACAGAGTAAGCTTCCAGAACATACATGTAGGAAGATGAAATGATCAGGGACTGATGGCTTGCTGATGCTATCCACGTGACCTCCCCTGTGATTCTTTTCTCTTTTGTTTGATTTTAACTTGCGTATTAATGATTTTTTTTTCTTTCCAGACTATCACTGAAAAACACAAGCTAAATGTTCCTGAGACGATGACTGAGGTTCTTGATGTTTCTGATGAAGAAGGTAAGATTTTTATTTGGTCTTCATTGTCTTACACAAAGACAAGCCGTCCTTTTCCTCAGGGACTAAGCTGGTACAGTGGGTGTGGGTGAAAGCCTCTTAACATTTAAAGTCACTTTTTCACCTCTGTTTCAAAACACCTACTTTTGTCCTTTGGGGAAAGAGGATAGTGATTAGTCTATTTTCAATGGGTGTTATCTTTAATGTCTTACTAAATAACAGAACTGGAAAAGGGGAAAGACACTGGAAATTGGCCATCTGTTAAAAACGCCTACCTGATAATACAATTATTATTCATACGTGTTTTAGTTATGTTAACATACTTTTTAAAATTAAAATGCCTTAAAGTGAAAGACTTTGAAGTATATTCTCTCAATGGTATATTGAGAAATCTCTGTTTCTGATTGGTTCAAATGATCAGAATAAATCATAAGTCCAGAGGAGAGGAGGCTTAGATAAGGTTAAAAATAGCATGTAAGTCATACTAATTCAACGTAAGAATTTGATTCTTTAAGTCATAAAATATGCTCTGTGTAGTTTTAGAGTTGATAAAAATTATCTAAGGTAGTGGATTTCAAACGTTGAGAAGCCTGTTGCTCTAAAAGGAGTACAAGGGACTGCCTGGCGTGGGGATGGAGCATTGTGCTGCAGGGTCTGTCCCTCCACGAGGCTTTCTGGCTCCTTACCTCTACTTCAGTTAGAGCAGTTGACTTTTCTTGAACCAAAAAATCTGCCAAAAAATCATGAATGCAGCAAATGAGGTATGTAGCCAAATTTCAATAGTACCGCTTTTGGTCAAATGTGTATGTTTGAAAAATTATTGCCATAAAGAATAGTACTAGTTAAAACTTGCCACACACTGGAGAAGGTCCAAACACTCCCCACTGCAGGCAAAGAGAAACTCTGCCGAGACTAATCTGAGGGAAAGAGCAGCCAAAACCCAACAGCAGAGTGCACACAGCACACATCAAAGACATTTCCTGAAGCACCAGGCCCTGGACAGTGTAGGACCTCTTCTTCTTTTTTTTTTTTTAAAGATTTTTTTTTTTCTTAATTTTATTTATTTGTCAGAGAGAGACAGAGTAAGAGAGAGCACAGGCAGGGGGAGCAACAGAGGGAGAGGGAGAAGCAGGCTTCCCGCTGAGCAGGGAGCCCGATGCGGGACTCCATCATGGGACTCCGGGATCATGACCTGAGCCGAAGGCACTCGCTTAACGACTGAGCCACCCAGGCGCCCTCTATGACCTCTTCTTAATACAGCATTACTCTCGGGAGCGGGAAACCTAACAGGCTTTCCTAATACACACAAGACAGAGATCTAGACAAAATGCCAAGTTGGAGGGACTCATCTCAAAAGAAAGAACAAGAAGAGGGCACGGCCAGGGATCTAATTAAACCAGATATAAGTAATACGCCTGAACCGGAATTTAAAATAACAATCAGAAGGAGACTAGCTGGGCTTGAGAAAAGCATAGAAGATACTAGGGAGTCCCTCACTGCAGAGATAAAAGAACTAAAAAACTAGTCAGGTTGAAAAGAATAGTACTATTCTCAATAATAATTGCTTTTATTGAGAAATAGTAAAAGTAGATTTTTAGGTCCTTCAAGATGTAATCAGAAGGTGAAATTTTACATTGAGGTGTCGTTATTTGGAACTAGTTCGTTCACCGATCGGTAATAGGCACTGAGTTATCTCAGCTTTTGTAAGAACTTATGACAAGAATGAGCAAATGTTTGGTCAGTGCGTTATTATAAGTAAATTAATAATTGCCAAAGTTAGCATTTCCAAGTAGTATAATAATTTTGTGTTCCATCCTAATACTTGCCAGCTAATTTTAGTATTCATATATGCACATCATATTTTGTTTTGTGGGATCATCTTTCTTAACAGCCTTTAAACAGTTCGGTGACAACTTTACTGATGGGGAAGCACTTAGTGATTCAGGTACCTTTAGAGGAAGTTATTGGAGTGAAAGCTTTGCTTTTAATTTTTCTTAACTGGATAGAAGCAACTTGCTTAATATTTAAATCTGGGTGCCTACTACTAATCTGTTTCTTTTGAAATAGCATGGAGTTGTATATGTATGCATGTGAGTGTGTAGATTTTATTAACTTGGAAGCTTAAAGCCATAAATTGCTTATCCTATTAATGATTTTGCTTCTGTTGTTGAGGCCTATTAGTATCATTAAATTTTCTAATGAGCATCATATAAATATTTTACCAAAACTAATCTCTCTGCTAAGAATACACAGAGAAAAAAATAATTCTTTGTAAGTTGACATTTAACTACCATGAACCTGTTAAAATTAAGACTGCTTGACTGAATGTACTTCATATCATTCTTGGCTAAAGATAAGTTTTAGATGTGGTTAAAAAATATGTGAAATTGATAGTTATAATGTGATTTTTGAAGGTAGCTAGGAATAAAAATAACCCTTAAAATTATTTAGGAGGAGCTTCAGCATATAGGGAAAAATGAATAATATAAAATATTCTATCTACCAAGAAGGATCCAAAGTGCATGTGGTATCACTTGAAGCAAACTTCTTACATGCAAATCTAAATTTATAAATCAAATAAATTAGAGTGATTATTTAATTTAAAAATAGTTTATTTCCTAAATAATTGTTAAATAATTCCAGTGCCAATGCATTCAAAGTATTGAGTGGGATTAAAGAAATTCCATTTATATAAAATAGCTTTTTGGACCTGCTCATTGCCTAATATAAGATCTAGCTATAATACCCTGTATACTTTTATTAAAACTGTTATAGATTAGAGTTTTTAGTGATAAAAAGTCTTGCTTTTAGAGGAATATTGGCTAATGATCAAGAATATCTTTTATGGTGAGAGAAGAAGCTTTGCTTCCTTTAGACCTAGCCAAAACCTTAATAACACATTTTTCCCCAGAAAGAAATTCAAGTTGAAAAATTTTTATGTATACAATATATTTGAGTATTGTGAAGTGACTTTTAGTGCTAAGAATTAGTATAAAGAAATTTGGCTGGTTGATATTGCCAACGCTTCAATGTTTTATGGGCTTAAAATGTTTTCATGGAACCTACCATTCATATGGACAAAGTGCAGCCACATGTATTTTAAAGGTATTAGCCTATTCTTGCCTTTTTTTTTTTTTTTTTTTTTTTACAGCTCTTCTGTTTTGATAGTTGTGTGTATTATCAATACTCAAAAGAATATTCAAGCCAAGTATAGATGTCCTTTCAGGCTAACTTGGTATAGTAATCAGGATATCCGCTCATGAATCCAATCAACAGATAGTAAAAGTGATGTTACTACTGTGTGTAAAGTTCTATCACTGCTACCACTGGGGCATCAGAGGTGAACACAGGGCATGCCTTTATGCCTTTATAGACTGGGAGATAATGTAGAAGTTAAATGAAATATAACAGAAGGCACTATGTCATCCACTTTTCATATCTGCCTTGGGAGCTAGGGAAGGAGAGACCTAGCACAGTCCCGTGGACTTGCCAAAACTGAGAGATTAATAGGAAGGTGACACAGGTTTTAGAGAGTGGGGAAGGAACAGTATGGAAGGTCCTGAGAGGCGAAAGCACGAGAGAGAGACACAGAGTGGCAAAATAATCCAGTCATTCAATTTGGCTCATGCATTAAAACATACTGGGCTTCACTGTGAATGTTTGAATTCTTAACTGAAAAGTCTGGGAAATTAGGATATATTAAACATTTTGATTAATGATTGAAACAAATCTGATTTTCACAAAGATTAAACCAGCAGTGATACACTAAAGGAGTGTATTAGGAAGAAATTGGAAGGACGCACATATATTTGACAGAGGAGAAAACATTTACTAAACATCCACAATGCTAGGTGCATTGTCTCATTTAATTCCCATAGCATCCACATGAGCTAGGCTATTGATTTCCCCTCATTTTTTTTTCAGGTGAGGAAAGGCTCACCTGAACAGGACGAGACTAAGACTTAAACACATTAAGTAGTTTGCTCCACAGTACACAGCTATTAAGTGGTAGATGGGGAATGTAAACCCAGTATGAAAGCTGTTATAATAGCTCAGTCATACTATAAATAAGTCCTGATGGAACAACATGGCAGAGAAATGGAAGGAAAAGATAGAAATGGGAATTCAACCTGAGAGTATTGTACCGTGCAGATGAAAACACAGCTGTAAATGTAATCCTCTACATCTTCATAGGATCATGAGCTGAGCCCTACCTTTGCTGACTCAGCTCCACAGCAGTAAGTTATATGGTGGGGCTCAGGGGTGATAACACTTATGTAACTAAAATACCTGTAGAAATGTGACCCATGTGTCCCACATACTCAAAGGTTTGTGCATGGATGGTTTGTACAAACTCCTCCACTGGTTCTCTGGAATGATGTGTACTAATGATAATCAGGAGAACTCCAGAATGGCTGAGTGTTACGATGAAATGTAGAGGAACCATCTGTTATCTCCTTTTGTCACACTTTGGCTGTGAACTCTTGACAGTGGGGCTCCTCACTTCCTCCTTGTATGACATGACAGATACTTCATCTAACTATGGATCTTTTTCATAATAAGAGTAGAGTTAGTCTTCCCGAATGTTAACAAGTTCACATATTTTTTTTTTCTGGAAATAATTTAGACTTATATCCAAACCAGACAATGCCTGTGTTTTGGTAAACTAATTCAGAGAATTGTTCTTAGAATTTTTTTCTCCCAGAAATAAACAAAGGGGTACCCCAACTTATTTGACTCATAAAAATACTCCTATGTAAAGATTTACCAATTACATAAGAGGAGGGAAGTACTAGAAACAATTAAGTTCTATAAGGCTTATAATAAGATGTCTAGCCTTGATTTGATCACTGTTCAGACACTAACTTTCTTCCTGGACTTTTTGCCATTGCTCACCATCATGAACGTTAACTTTTGCCAAGTTACTTCGGGTAGTATTCTCTAAATAAGTAACGCGTATTACTCTTTTATTCTCACTGTTTGTATTGTCCTCCATGACCCCTTACACACGAGCCTCTCACCTAAAGTAGTGTCAACCTCTGCCCATTAAAACTGAATCCAAACAAATGATCAGCTCCAATTCCTTCTTCAGTGACTCCTTCTCCAGCTTCACTGAATTTCCTAGGAATATCACAAGAAATTACCACAAACTTGGTGGCTCAAATTTATTCTCTCACAGTTCTGGGAGTGAAAATTTGATGGCGGGACCATACCAACCTCTGATACTCTAAGGAAGAGTCTTTCTTGTCTCTTCCAGCTTCCAGTGGCTGTCAGCGATCCTTGGTGTTTGTTCCTTGGCTTGTAGACACATCACTCCAAACTCCGCCTTCATGTGGCATTTTCCTCTGTGTCTCTGTCTAAGAACACTCTGATTGGAGTTACCCAATGTGATCTCATCTCAGTCCTTAACTTAGTTACATCTATAAAAGCCCTATCTCCAGAAAAGGCCCTATCCTCAGATTCCAAATGGAAGTGAAATTTTGGGGGGACGCTACTGAACCCCCCCACACCATCCTAAAGTGATCTCTGTCCTCTGACCTTTTTGGTTCTTAAAGTTGACCAACATCATGCATTTTGTGTTTGACTGTAGTGTTATCTGTAGATTGCTGTTATTGCCACATCTTGCTTTGTGAGGGAACACTTTTTTTAAAAATTTTTTTTAAGATTTTATTTATTCATTTGAAAGAGCGAAAGAGAGAGCACAAGGAGGGGGAGAGGCAGAGAGAGAGGGAGAAGCGGGTTCCCCGCTGAGCAGGGAGCCTGAGATGCGGGACTCGATCCCAGGACCCCGAGATCATGGCCTGAGGTGAAAGCAGACACTTAACCTTCACCCAGGTGCCCCTTTTCACTTTAAAGAAGAAAATATATGTAAGGGTGGGCAGGAGACCCCTTTAATAAACATAATTTTAAAAACTTTACTCATGTTTTCCTTAGAGCTATCAGATTTATGAATATTTAAACACAGTACAATTACATTTCTTTCTTTATGATATATACATTTAAAAATATTTTTGTAGGGGCACCTGGGTGGCTCAGTCAGTTAAGTGTCTGCCTTCAGCTGAGGTCATGGTCCCAGAGTCCTGGGATTGAGCCCCACATCAGGCTCCCTGCTCAGCAAGGGGGTTTGCTTCTCCCTCTCTCTCTCCCCCAGCTTGTGTTAGCTCTCTCTCTCTCTCTCAAATAAATAAATAAATAAAATCTTTAAAAAAAAGAATATTTTTGCATAAATGAAGTTGAGCTCATATTTCATTGATGTGTCACACTTTCACCATTTTGTATTAATAAAAACAATAGGTAGCAATTAGTATATTCTGACACTTGATTACACATTCTTATATGTTATTTAATTCATACAACTACTGTGTGAGATAGATTATTAGTATCATTCCCATTTACTAGTTGTGGAAATTGAGGCTCTGGAAGATTAACAGGCCAGTAAATAACAGAATTAGAATTTGAATCCAGGTCTATCTGATTCTAAAGACTCAATTTTTAATTAATACTCTGTGTAGCCTAACTCATTATGCTAAAATGCAATAAAGATCTAATGGTGTCACTGAAGGAGCCATGAAAATATTTTTAATGACGAGACTTATTATAACTGTCAAATGTTAAATGCATTCACTCTGAGACAAAAATCTAATGGTTAATAAATTATATCTCCACTTACTGGAAGGTCTTTTTTTTTAATCTGTCATTAGTTTTAAGTAATTTAAAGAGCTAATAATCCTTTTATATATACCTGAGATCTTAAGATCATATATATAGACAAACAGTGAAATGTCAAAGACATATATCTTTCTTACAGTTCTTTAATGCTGTACCTTTATAAATTAGTGCTGATTTAGAACAATTACTTGAAACAAATGAGTATAGAATAATGAATATTTAACTTAGTTTATAGGAATGAAGTACATTCCTTCAAATTGTCCTTTACATAGATCATCAGGCTTAAAGTGTGTGATTAGTGTCTTAAGGAGTCATCAAAAATAGTTTCTCTCAGCTATATTATTTATTTCTCCATGTCAGTATATTAATGGCATACAGAGCACTTCTGTGAATGAGGTATTACTTATTGACTCACCTGAAAAAGATATTTTTGAAAGCATTCTATTCCTAGTCACAGGCAGGGAATGTACCCTTACCATTTGATCTTCTAAATATGAGCTACCACACTTAGTCATCTCTTTCTGCCGCTACTTGATTACTTAATTCTCTATTTTCCCTGTCATTCACCTTTGGGAAGCCACCTAGTTTCCAACAAAACATCCTTTTTATGCTCTGTAATGTTTTTAAAATTAAATTCCAGGTTGTTTATTAAAATGTCACAATCTGCTCACTTTGTTCTAGTATTCTTTCCCTAATGTGCATATCTTGTTAATCCTATAAATCATATCCCTCCACATACTATGTCACATATTTTAGAGCAGTAGATATTTCTTTCTATTTTTTGTTAAGGTTTTATTTATTTGTTTGAGATAGAGATAGTGAGAGAGAGCACGAGCCAAGGTGGTGGGGGAGAGGGAGAAGCAGACTCCCCACTGAGCAAGGAGCCCGATGCGGGGCTCCATCCCAAGACCCTGGGATCATGACCTGAGCTGAAAGCAGCCGCTTAACCGACTGAGCCACCCAGGTGCCTGGAGCAGTAGGTATTTCTTAGCATATTGCCAATGACACGAAGAGACTGTTAATGCCAGACATTATGTACAAAATTATTGGAACTATGTCTAGAAGTTGAGTAGTCTACATAGTGGACTATGTTAAATAGTACAAGCTATAAACCAGCTATGGTAAAAAAAAAAAATGAGTAAAGAAAATGGATATTAAGAGAATTACAACTCAGGCAATTCTTTCTTCTTGGTAAGCAATTGGAAAATGGGTCAAATATTGTTTCTCTAAGTTTTAGCACTTTGTGGTTGCATGTGTTCTGTTTTCTTCGGGTGTGCGGTGTTCAGGTGATGTCCATGCTATTCTGATGTTTTTTCATGATCATCATCCTATTTTGTAGTTAATACTAATACTAATCCTCTGATTGCCTCAAGGTGATGACACAATGACAGGCGATGGGGGAGAATACCTTAGGCCTGAGGATCTGAAAGAACTGGGTGATGACTCGCTACCCAGCAGTCAGTTCCTGGATGGTATGAATTACCTGCGATACAGCTTGGAGGGAGCACGATCTGACAGGTATTCACCGAAAGCTGACATTGGTATCAGCCAGAAGGCAATGCAACACTTTTTCATGATGATAATAAAAAAAAAAGTAGACATAATTATTGATACTTAGCAGGTACTGCCCTGCTCTCAGCATGTTGTATCTCAAGCAACATTAAGTGCCTATTTTAAAGAACAGGAAACAGGCCCAGAGAGATTAAGTAACTTAATAAAAGTCAAACAACTAGTAAGAAGCAGAGCAATGATAAGGAAAGAGCTCTCTACATTTCAGTATAGTGTTTGTAATCATTTACCACTTTTTTCTCTAGGCAATTAAAAAGGACTGTTTTACCTTATGGGTGTTTTTGTTAGTGGCATAAATTCTGTGAATAAAAGTATTTTGTGAAGAAGGATGAAAAAGAAACAAATTCAGGAGGAAGATGCCTGAAACTGACTTTTTCATGAAAAAGAATTAGACCAAAATCCTCCAAGATCTTGAATACAAAAGCAGTCTGAGCAAAATCTGAAGGAGCACAGGCTTTATAGACAAATCTGAAGAGGTTCATGTCATATTCTGAAGTATAAAATCAATGTTATTTTCTGATTATTACTAACTAGCACAACTGGTGTTTGTTATTTTTCGAGGCAAGCTGAATAAGAACATCCCATGGTACCTCATCAAAGGATTGACTGCCAATTTCAGTTAACATATGGTTGTCCATATAGTGTAATGTTTTTCACTAATCAGTAATCTTAGGTTTATAGTTTTAGTCTTAGCTGTTTTCTAAGCTGTAGTTAACACATTCATAGTCTAAGAAATAAATACCTTAAAACGTAGTTAATTCTAAATGGATAATTAGCAAAAACAGATTTTTCTTGGGGTTTTTCCTTGAGCATCAGTGCCTCTTCCCTACTTTTTTTCTTTCTTTTTTTTTTTTTTTTTTTTTTGAACAATTCAGTGTGCATGTAATAAGTGCCTTTCTGGGCTGGCTTTGTGGTGGGTGCTAGAGATACAAATGTGACCAGGACATGATTGTTAAAATCATAGTCTGATGGGATGTGAGAGAAACTAGGCTAGTGGTACCCACAGAGTACAACTAAAGCCCCGGGGCTCAGGTTTCCTGGAGGAGATGAGGCCAAACTGAGATACAGTGATGGGTAATGATGGTGAGGAAAGGTAGGGAGGGCATTTGAAGCCTTAATGAGATCATGAGCAAAGGCTTATGGTGTATGAGAGAAAGAATAGTGCAGTATTGGTAGAGTAAAAGTGTGAGGGAGGGGAGATCTTGTCCGCATTTTGGATGGATCCCTCTGACTATAAACTTAAACGATGAATTTTAGAGGAGAGTTGTCAAAGGGCCAAACCTGGCAGTTGCAAACATCTGAAAAACTATTGTAGGAATATTAGCTGAAGCTGTTAAGAGAAGACTTGACCTTTAACCTTGGTGATAGCAATGATGGAGAGAATTTGGGAAATGACAAATTTGAGAGCATATCTATGAGGTAAAAGCAGCCAGATTTGGTGATGGATTTCATGGGATGGGTGAAGAGGAAGATGGTTAGATTGACCCTTTGGCTTTGATGATGTAGATGGAGGGTGGTCCTTGGGGTCAAGAGAAGGAAGAGCCACTCGGGGTGAGAGTGGGGGGACTGGTGATGGGACCAGTGTTTTATATACTGGATTCTGACATACAGATAGATTTGGACATCATAATCTGAAATTCTTAGGAAAAGATTTCAAATTTCGATAAAATGAAATTTATGGCTTTACACAAATTCATAATAACCTATAAATAATCATATCACTATCAGAGAAAAAACCCTTCATTTTCAACATGGTCTATTTTATCAAGTTCTTGATCTGATCCTTTTTCCTTCTTTGAAAGTACTAGGTTAAGGAAACTTTAGAACAATACTTTCTATTAAACAGGTTCATGGTATGATGATTCTACTTAAACTGAACACTTATCAGCATATAAAGATGCGGATATGAAACAAACAAACCATGGTCTGTTCTCCAGGTCCACACTAGCATTTTGAGAACCCCAGATTGTATTCATGATCTCCTACATGGAGATCTCCTACATGCCTGTAGGCAACATCTCATTTTCATGGATTTCTTGTTTCACTGATTTTTAAAAAATTTTCTTTATGTAATTCAATGGGAGTTTTCTTTTTTTGGTAACCATTTTTACTTTTTGTTATTTATTTGGTATGCTTTCAATAGTACCATGCCCAGGTAGGTATTAAATAGCATGAAAACACTGTGAAACTTCCTGAATACATTCACATTTCCCTGCTTTCTGTTCAATGTGTGTGTGTGTGTGTGTGTATGTATGTATGTATGTGTTGGCAGGAGGTGCTTATATTCTAGAATTATGGATTTATTCTCAAATTAGGATTTTCATGTATTGAATTGAATAACTGAGCTAGAAGGGTGAATATATTACTAGAATACAAGTCGAAGACATGCCCCTGGCATGACTTTGTTTAACTGTCACAGCTCCACCTTGTGGTTGATAAAACATTAGCATGGTTTCCCCAAAGGAACCTCATCAGTCTGTGCATGGTTGGAGATGGTAGAAAAACCATTCTGATGCCTAAAATGTACATGGATGCAGGAGAACACAAATCAGAACAATTTAATGTACATGGATAAAAACATATCCAAGTTCTTATTAGTTAGATTTTGTGTCCATTTTATTTTATTATTGCTTACAAATTAAATTTAATGTGAAACGCAAAGTATCAATGAGCCACAGAAGCTTTTCCATGCAATAAAGCAAACACACTGAAATTTTTGGATGTTCACTAGTTTAATAGGGTTCAAAAACTTCATTAATTGAACGTCTACTCCTACAGCTTACTAAGATACTGATTATTACATTTTTCAATGAAATTACAGACCACCTATGTCCACAGAGTAGTTTACTGTAGTGCAAAGAAGTAAAATTTAAGACCGTAACATAACTTTTGGCACAACCCTTCATTGAACAGCAAGTACAGACTTATACTCCTATAGATATGTGTTATTATAAATTTATGAACTGAACAGGATGACCTCTGACTTACCGAAAAAGAAATGTGTTGGATGGTAAAGTATTTAACCTTGTTTGTAATGTTTTAAGTCAGGGTAGACAATTTTTTATCCAGAGACTTGAATTATTCCTGATGTTTGTGCTGGTCATTATTCCATTAGAATAATTTCTCTACTGCTGGAATATTCTAATTTTATTTATTTAAGTAAATTCTATACATCAGAAAAAAGCAGTTAGAAACTATAAACATTGATTAAGCATCCAATTAGTATTTTAGAAGGCAGTAAACAGTAAACCAGAATAAAATCATAGAAGTAGAGATATTTAGGCATAGTTCCAGCTTACTCCTCCTTCCTCCCTCCCTCTGTCTCTCCAACTTTTCTCACTCTCTGTCTCCATATCCTAATATTTTTCTCTCTCTACCCTAATCTCCTTTTTGGTTGTAAGTCAATTCTATCTCTTTCTTAGTTTTTCTTCTCCCTCTCTATTTCTTGTCTGTTGGGGCTTTAGGAAAGACAAAAAATAACACCGATACCCCTTTTCCCCACCTGATTCAAACCAATTGAGAGATAGACCTGGGTATCAGATAGATCGATATCACAAATCCACCTTTATTACTGGTGTATTGAGTGCAAAATGCAGCTCTGTGCTTGCAGCCAAATGAGCTGTTTCATACCTCATTCCTAAGTAGACAGACATCCACCCAGTTCTGGTCTCTCCCTGAGGGTGAATTGGGACCTGTTTATGAAGTGCACCATCAAAATCCAACTGCACACCTGTAAAACCAGCCCCAGTATCGGCTGCCAGGACTAAAACCCCTACGGATGGTCTCACTAAGGCGTCTGGGCTGCCCCTGCCTTGGCTGTGTCCGGAGCCTCAGTCTTCTTCAAGAACCTATATAACATAAAATAGTGAATTACCGAATTATATTTAGATTTCGTTTTATTATAAACAAAAATTTATACAAGATCAGACAGTCAACTCCTTTAATTCATGTCACCTACCTTCTAATATTCCAGGTCTACTTGGGGGGCATAAAAACTACAGCAGAGGGCGCCTGGGTGGCTCAGTTGGTTAAGCGACTGTGTTCTGCTCAGGTCATGATCCCCGAGTCCCTGGATCGAGTCCCGCATCATGCTCTCCGCTCAGCAGGGAGTCTGCTTCTCCCTCTGACCCTCCCCCCATCTCATGCTCTCTCTCACTCTCTCTCTCAAATAAATAATAATTATATAAAAAATTTAAAAAAAAACTACAGAATAGGATGGAGAAGGCCCTCAAGTACTATGATTGATCTACCAAATGATGATTTCCTCAAAGATAATTGAAGTTGGCTATATCGACAGCTCATAAAAATGACAGTATGTGGCTCACAAAATTAGGTCTATTTGCAAAATGAAAATAGTTTCTACTAAGAAATATGCTAACCTGACACTTAGTCCATAATTCTACAGTGCTTCACTGGCCAAATACCTACTAGCTGAAAGTAAATGAAACTTTGCTTCTGTAAATATTGTGAAAGCTTGCATCTCTCTCTCTTTCCCTATGGGCTTTGGGCTACTATTTTGAATACAGATGTTTAATTCTTGGACTAATGTGTATAAAATACAGCTTGAGATATCAGTCTATTTGTCATTTGATCGTACAAATTGATTAGGAAGGAATGAATTGCACTTATGCAAATGTCAAGCTTTACCCATCACATTTGCATATATAATTCAGAACTCGGAAATTCAGGCTTCTCAAATATACAAAGCATCAATTCCCGAGGCCTAAATCCCACGTTGAAGCCAAACCTCGTTTTCGGCTGTGTCTCTGGCGGTTTGTTTCTGCGCTGACAGATGTGTCTGTGTCCTGGGTTGGTGCTTAGAAACGGTTTCTTGTGCTCTTGCATCTTACTGCCACAGCAACCAGCACTCTTTGGTGCCTCACTCACCACACAGAGGACATGCAAAGGGGAACAATGCTGCCCTTTGAAAGCATTGTTGGAGACACCAGAGACAAACAAGAGGAACTGCACTTCCGCAGGAAGCATGCATCTGGCCACAGTTCATTTCACTCTGTACCTTCCAGGGGAATGCACCCATGGTCAGTCATTCGCAGTTGGAGAGGAGGAGAATGAGGCATGCAGAGAATGGAGAATGAGTGAGGATGAAACCCGTGCTTCCTTTCTGTTCTTTCTGAGGCGGGTCTCATTCCTCCCCCCCTTAATATTTTGCTTAGTTGCAGGGAGATTGACATTTACCACAGATTGAAGCAGTCTCTTCTAGCATAATTTCCTGTGTGAATCTCTTGTCCTGGCAGTAAGTGAGCTGCAGTTTGCTGGTTTCAACGATTTCTGGGGAGAAAATAAATCAGATTAGAAGTATCAGATTTTAACTTCTGGATTCCCTTGTGCCCTTGCCATTGAGTGCTAGGAACCAGTCAAAAGATGTGTTCGTTTAGGTGTTGGACAGAGAGGGAGGGCAACACAGAGACCTGTGTTTCCTTCTCCCGCGGTGGCAATTCATGTCCCCCTGGAAGTTGCACTGTTAGCTAATAGCGCGCTTTTTTCACTCTCCCGCTCGGCTCATCCTTCCATCCTCCCAACCCTGCTCCGGCTGTTGGTAAATGACCATGGCCTCCTGCCAACCTACCAGCCTCCGATCCTTCAGTTCCGACAGGTCTCACACCCTGAGCCATGCCTCTTACCTGAGGGACAGTGCCATGATTGACGACACAGTTGTCATCCCCAGCCACCAGGTACGTGACTTTTTACTTTGTCATTTCAGCTTTCTGGAGAGCTTTCGGACGTTCCCTGTTGCCGGAAATGTCCAGAGAAAGTTTTTCCATCTGAAAAGAAATCATCTTAATTCAGTTGACGAGCTGGGCTAAGAGTTTGAGGGCTTTTCTAAAGTGAGATACAGCTTGTTACTTCAGCTCTACTGAATTCTTCTGTGGAGATTATATATAAAAATTAACATCTTTATAAAAATCTCTGTTAAAGGAAAAAGTGAGATGGGGTGCATTTAAGATAGAAAATGAAAGGTACAGGTAAAAATACACCTTATATTTAAAATTGTTATCTGTTATCAGAAAACTGTTAGAGGTTGTTATGGAATATTTTAATCTTAGGTGTGATTTTATCAGTTTCAGCTGGTTGGATATAGAGAAGTAGATGTGAATACCTACTCTCTTTCATGATAATTACACAAATGTGGTCTTAGGTCGATAGTATAATTTAAATGGGAATGTATTATAAAACACATTTTAAATGGCTCGGTCTTACATCATTTTTTTACATGAAAAGATGGTAATATCACCTTCCTGTGATAACTACTTTTTAGAGTTCACTATGTTTTATTTAATTGAAGGAAAGTATTTTTATTAAATCCAGTGTTCTTTGTATTTAGGTGTCAACTCTAGCCAAGGAGGCAGAAAGGAATTCTTACCGTCTCAGCTGGGGCACTGAGAACTTAGACAACGTGGCTCTTTCTTCCAGCCCTATTCATTCAGGGTGAGGAAATCAATATTATGTATCCAGATCAAGAGGTAAAAAGAGATGAGCGTGAAAATAACAGCTTTGTCCAGTAGCTTTAGCTGGTGGCTAGCTTACAGGGGAAGTGACCTTTGTTTAAACTTGTAAATGACAATGCTTTATCCAGTGTGGACTCTACCTGCACAAATGGACAAGCAAAAAGGGTTGAATTCAGCATAGAAAAACTATTGTCTTAAAATAACTAGTAGAATTGCATCAGACAGCTTGCTAACTAACCAGAATATACCAGTGGGCTCCTTACTATTCACATTTTGTCTTAAAGACATCTTAAAAAGAGGAGCAGGATCATTTGGTTTCTAGAAAGTTCTATGTACTAAGATTAACTGACTAGTTTAATAAATGCCTTTCCTCACATATTCATGCATTTAAAACAATGTCTACAGAAGTTTTAATCACAAAGATATATAGAGGAGTTCATATGCTGTTTGAAGTAGGGATATACCAAAAAGGGAAATTTGAATGCAACCAATCAGGTTCTCAGTCACCTTATAAAAGTCATCCAGATAATATGTAAGTCATTACTTAAGAAATGCTGCCTGTTTGTATAAACTCATTAAAAAGTAGGACTTTGAGTTAATAATTTTAAACATACTTAAAGATGTTTGTAAGGTGCAAGAATTCAATTATGCAGAAAATAATTTTCTTAGGGATTTTAAATTGTAACCCTCTTCACAATTGGTTTTTCCCTTACATTTTGGTAGTTTCAACTTGTATAGTAATTTTATTATTATATATAAACCTTAAAAATATTTTTCATTTAATCACTTTCATTTTCATTTAAAAAAGCCCCACTTGTATTTTATCTGTGCAGTACTTTGATTTAAATTACTATCCCAAACTCCTTATCCATAATCCCCAGAACTATTTTGAGTGGTGGATGCTTTCTTGTTTTTATTATTCTAAAATATTCTCTCAGAAAAGCTTTCGAAGATATTGTCATTACAAATTTGGGAACTTTTAGTCTAATTTTCTACTACAGGCTCATAGAATATAAAATTAGTTATACAGATATTAAAAATAATCATAATACTCTTTTCCTTGTTAAATAAGTAAAAGCCAGTTCCTGATGCCAGAGTCATTTCAAGGGAGTAAAAACCAAGTTAAACCTCATCCAAATTTACTAACATATTTTTAGGTATAAAATGAGATAATTAAAATCTGACATCTGTACATTATTCTAAGAGCATAACATTACATTCTGCTACTAAATTTCTCAACAGTGTTAAGGAGGAAAAGAGGCTTGGACCTACAGTATCAGGGGATAATAAAATCTAGAAACCGTAATAAAATATTTGAAGTCTATATCCAGCCTACAAAGTAACAAGATTATTTTAGGCAAAGTGTGATTACTATCAGTAGCCGAATTTGCAAGAGTCAAAGTGTTATCATAATACTTCAGTTTTCAAGATTAAGAAATCTTTTTTAAAGTAAATTATTTAAGTCTTTTAACTGCTGAAGGGCAATAAAATACCAGTTTAAGGACATCAATATACATACCCGTTGTATAAAACTAGATATATGCATAGATATATGCATTCTAGTTGATAACTTACGATGAAACAGGATCATCCAGTGGTTAAAAGTTAACCACTTGTTAAGATAAGGGTCTTTAAGCTCTTGTTCTGTAATAAACCAAATTTTCTATGAACTTCAAACATGATCATTGATTGTAACTAATTTTCAACTCTGGCTGTACATTAGAATCACCTCAGAGCTTTAAAAAATATACCAGGCCCCAACTCAAACCAATTACATCTGAATCTCTGTTGTTGTGGCCTGAGCATGGGCATTTTCTACAAGCACCAATAGTCCAAATATGTATGTTTTATGTATACACCGTTAGAAAGGAACAACTTTGCCTGATAAAGCTTTGCTTATTGGGGAGATCTAGGTAATTAACATATACCTAGTTCTCTCAAATGCTTTTTTCTTAAATCTCTTCCATTCACTTATTTCTTCTTCACACATTGTTGAATTCTAGAAAGTACCAAACTTTATGCCAGGCAGTAAGGAAAACAGATAAGTAAGATCTAGCCCTTACCTTTAAGAAACACACCTCTCTATCGTTGAAAGATAATTCGTGGAAGGGAGATAACATGATGGTTAAGAGTGTGCTTTGGAGTCAGACCAGTCAGAATTCAGCTCCCGACCCTGACACTCCGTATGTGACACTGGGCAGGTTATGTAAAATATCTGAGTTTCAGTTTGTCTGTAAGATGAGTGTTATATTATGGACCCCAGAGGGGAGCTTTATGGATTAAATGCTTCTTAAATAATTAGCATTTTGCCTAGAAAGAATAAGTACTCAATAGATTATTTATATAACCCTCATACACATCTTCTAAATCCTTCACCAATTGCAAATCAGTTAAGCAGAATGTATTCTGAATCCTCTAAATGACAATACCACTACAGTACAATTCATAATGGTGATGTTTAACTTGTTATTTTTATCAGGTAATCTGTCATCTAGTTAGGTCTCTAGCATTTGAATGAACACAGTGCAACAGACGACTCTAATGGGATGAATACTTACACGGAAAACACAATGATTTTGAGTGTCGTGGTATTTGAAAGCTACCATGGTATTAAAGTATATGAATAATTTTCATAATATCATCCAATAATGATTTCTTTTTTTCAACTTGTTCATTATACACGAGGCACCTGTGTAGTAGTTTCTATATATTTTTTAAGGAACTAAGTTTTTCTTTAATTGAGAGAATTCTTACGCCACTTCAAAATCTGCCCAAAATGTAAGAAATAAATGATTTTTAGACAAAGGAGATAACAAAGTCCGCTTTTTTATGTACATGCCACTAATTTTGTGTATAATGTTCTGTTTGATTCCATAAAGGGATTTTAGAGTAATAGAAGACACAGCTTCTACCAGTAGGCAGTATTAGTAATTTTCTTTTATTTTTCCATTGACTAATGTCGATGACTACAAAAGAGTAGGTATCAGTGCTTAAAAAAATCTGTTCTGCCCAATATATACAGCAAATATCTGGCAAAAGAAAGGCTCACAGTAATATTTTTGTTTTTGTTCTTTGGATTGTGTTCCTGATTCACAGTCTAATCAGTTTCTAGCATCCCAGTCATGATCATACCAACATAAGCTTGGGCAAGAATTTGAATTTTATAATTCTTCTCCATTTCAGAAGTGCGTAATGAATTAACAAATGAAAGGCACAGTTCCTAGTAATAGTTTTGTGATTCATTTTAAATGTTATTATTTCAATGGTATTATTTTTATAGTTCCTTAATGCCAGGCAAGTGCCAGCAATTAAATGCCACTTCATGATGTTATGCTACTAGAAGTCCATAAGAAAGTGATCTGTTAAAGGACTTCTTTTTCATAAAAACATGTTGACAATTTTGCTGTGAACCTAAAGCTACTCTAAAAAATAAAATCAGTTAAAAAAAAAAAACCTGTGCAGGCAACTAGCTCAAGTAGTGGAAGTTGATCTTAGAAACTCAAGGAAGTCAAGACTGTTTCTCATTTGACAGTATTAATATTTATCAAATATCTAGATCAGTTAATTTAGTTGTTTAAGTATTTCAAACACCCTAGTTTTTTTAAGGTACAGGAAAGTAAATTCCTTTGGATGAAGAAAATTATTTTCTAAGTGGCAAAACAACTGTTTTGTAAGGTTGGATTTCTGGTCCATTCAGCATGTATCCTTTTGTATATTGTCAGGTGTTGAAAACGCAAGTGAATCATATGAAAACTTACAGAAGGTTTTACAGAAGAGCAGACTCGGGTAGAAGAGGCATGAAAGGATTGTAAAGTGGGATTAGACAATATGACCAGTGAGGACAACAAACCACAAAGCAGGGAATGAAAGTCTTGAGAAAAGCACTCTTTGCATAGTTTTTTGTTACCTACTAGTAGGTAATTAATGTTACCTGCTCTACCTTAGAGTTGATGCTACTCTTTGTCATTGAAGCTAATCTTTAAATTGTGCCTCTTCTGTTTGCGTTTCTTTGGTAGAAGCCCAAAAGGGCATTACCATTATTTTGAAAGTATTAAAAAAAGTGTGAATGAAAAGTTTGGAGACAAACTATGTCCATCAAATCGAAGACTCTGTGACGTTCATTTTAAGAACCTTGACATTTTGCATCCCTCCCCCAGCCAGTGTTGAATAAGGCTACAAATCCAAATCCAATCCCTCAGCTGGGAGTCACTGTGAACCCCCATACCTTGCTCTTCTCTCCGCATTTGCATAGAGCTATATCTCCTTTGTATTTCCATCTTTTTTTCAATGAATACTGTATTGGTGTATAAGTAATATATTTCAGTTGAAAGTCACTTCTGATTTCCTTCTTTATATTTCACTTTATCCATTCCTTCTCTGTGCTAAAGTATCTGTTCTGTTGCAGCCGCTCCTCTCCATGTCTTGGTCGTGACAACAGCAGGTGAACTTCTGCATAATTCCTTCTCTGACCATGTGGCCTCCCCCTCTGCCTCTTTCACCATCACCTTCTGCATATACCCCATCTCAGGATGCTTTAGTGTGAAGATACCTAGCCAGAGAGACAGAGAGAGATTTATTTTCTCCAAATTGTGGCCATTGCTGAATTCCCTTTCTCTATGGTGGAAAGAAAGTGGGTACTTTTTAAAATTTCTTTGGAAATCAGGCGGGCTTGCACCAAAATTATTGTAGACCTACTGTGAAAGCCTGTTTTGGCCATGGGTCTCCACGTCTCCATTTCTTTTGTGAGAAAAAGTGCTACATAGAGCTGAAGAATGTCATTTCTGGCAATTATGCAAATTGGGTGAGCTATTTTAAAGTTATATTAAAGGTTATGATTTTAAGTGTCACTTAGCAGGGTTGTTTGTTTTTTTTTTTAAGCCATATTCTAGGTGACCCAAAGGCTGAAAGTTTATTAATAGTGCATTTCCTTTCTAGTACTGCTTTAAGTGCAACCTTTTGATATTTTGGAAATTGTGCTATAGGATGATGCTAGTCAGTGTTCTAAAAATATCTGTTCTTTATTATTTCAGTAAGGTTATTTTTAAAGGTTCTTATCAGACTGCTAATGCTAGTATTTTTTTTTTAAAGATTTATTTATTTATTTGACAGAGAGAGACACAGTGAGAGCGGGAACACAAGCAGGGGGAGTGGGAGAGGGAGAAGCAGGCTTCCCGCTGAGCAGGGAGCCCGATGCGGGGCTCGATCCGAGGACCTGGAATCATGACCTGAGCCGAAGGCAGACGCTCAACGACTGAGCCACCCAGGCGCCCTGCTAGTATTTTTATTATACAGTCATGCACCATGATACTACAGATTTTCTACAGATAAGACAATTTTTATTATCCAATTTTAGAAATTTTGTATCCCTCCTTTTACTTTTTCTGAAACACACACTAAATATTATGTTTCTATACATGAATACAGTGAGTGATAAATAATTGATTTTAACAAATTAGAGCCAATTTTTTCAAAGCGATTTCCCATCAGTCTTTCAGTCTGTAGAATTTGGAGGACGAGGAAGGAATTAAGGGAATTACAGAGGAGAAAGAGCTCATGATGTTGTTTTCTCACATAAACCCAGAAATCAGATTTAATTTAAGGCCCTCGTGCTATGTATATGTGGATCACTGAAGCACCCTGAAGATTTTTTTTTTTTTCCTATCTTCACCCAGTAACTAACTCTGAATGCTGTAATCTCCTCCCTGTCCCCACCCCATGGTCCTGGATGAATTAAAAGTAAACCTGAGGATTAGTAACTTTTGGGGTGGAGGACATGGTCCTCAAAAGACCAGAATCATTGTTTTCTGCCTCCTCTGAAGCATGTACCTGTTTAGCTAATCAAATTGTGTATTTGCAGGCAAATCCTCTGCATCATAATGGCAGACGGCTTTTGCTTTTTATTCTTTTTAAATTGTGATAACACTGTATTCTCACAATTTAGAAAACTTCAATAAGAATTTCTATTTTGCATGATTGCTGAATTTCATTTGGAGAGTAAGATATGCAATTAAAGCTGAGTATAGTCTGTGATAAATTTTGTCTGTACAGTCGTCAGTCAGTGTTGAGTGCAACGTGTGTCCACATTTTCTCCCAAACTGTTCGTTGACTGTTTTAACCATACAGCAAAAATAATATATCTTTCTTGGAGTAAAAGCAGTTTATTTTCCAAATAAAAATTCTTACAGAGCATCTGACAGTCATGACACATTTCAGTATGTTTCCTAAGCTTAGTTAACAGGAAATGGCACATAGAATTTTAACACCAGATCGCCGTGGAATTTATTTAGCCGAAGTCTCTCATTTAGTGGATGAGAAAACTAAAACTTGAAGACAGGAAGTGACTTCCTTGAGGTTACAGCAATAATTCAAGACAGAGATCAATTTAATGATAGATGACATCCAGGAAAGAGCATGGTGCTTGCTGCATTTTGTGCTCTGTGATAATAGTACCTTTATAGCTTATTTAAATAGTGAAGTTCATAAACTAATAAAAACCCCACCATCACATTAAACTGCTTTAGCAAAGTTCCTGGTTCATTTTAGATACCCAATAAAAGTTAGTTTCTCTGTTTTTTAGGTGTTGTATTGCACTATAATTTTTAAGAGACTCAAAATACATAAAATCATCTGGGTGTAGGGAAAGGAAAATGACGGGAACAAGCATTTATTGAATTCTAGATGCTTTACCCACACATGGTTTAATCCTCACTGCAACCTCAGTGGTAATATTACTATTCTCCCTCATCGACAGACTAGGCTTTAGTCTTCAAGCTCACAAGCAGCAGAGCTGAGCTTCAGTCCATACATATATCATCTCCCCTGTACATATTTAATTACATGTTTTTACTTTAATTCCTTTCATCTCCAAATGTTTGCAGGTTTATCTTGTCCCAGTTTTAATCTCCTGAAAATATGAGAAAATCATATTTACTTAATCATCTCTAGTATGTGAGCTGATTCATCTCATGACTCATAGCTTCCAGCCTTTCACTTTTTCCTGTGGTACAAAAAAGTAAATGGTCTCTTACAGTCTGTTTTTTACATCGCAGAAAAACTTCACTAATTCTGCCACCTATCCAAATAGTGAGACCTTCTGATAGTCTGGTATTTTTAATGAAAGTGTTCAAGTGCTTACCCAGTTGTATATTATAAACTATTGGGATTAACTAGCATGTTTTATCTAAAAGACTTTTCATCAGGACTTGAATCATTATTTCTCTTATTCCTTCTTATTTGAAACAAAGAATTCTTTTAGTGTACAATTCTGCATATTCAGCTTTTTTGTTAGTTGTTATTCTGCAATTACATTATTTGAGTTTGATTTCTGTATTTTCTTGCTGAATTTATAAACATTTTTATCAATTTTGACAATTAATATTCAGTTCTTCTAACCTTTCTGTTTCTCTCTTGACCTCTTTCTCTTTTTCTTTCCTCTCAACTCTCCTGCCTCTGACTCTCTCTCACTCCCTCTTCCTCCTCTCCCTCTCCATCTCCCTTCCCCTCACTCAACTCTCCCTTCTTCTCTGGCTGAAGACAATTCCCTCACCAGAACTTACCACTTTTGTTAGTCTGTTAGTTCCTTTAGTTAGTTGAGAAAGACACAAAGGCTTGTTTTCCTCGGATATGTAATTTTTCTTTTCTCTGAATTGTACATATTGGCACCTTACTTTTCCCCATTTGCTGTGGTTGGGTGCAGTATTTAAATATTACTTTCCAGTTCTATAGGATGCCGAGACACTTAGAGTTAAATATATCTACTTGCAGATTCAGTCTTTAAGTTCTTTTATTTTGATTTTCCAACCTTTGGTCTTTCTTCATGAAATTTTCACCCCTGATAAAATTGTTTCCTCTGTTATATTCGAACTCTTGATTTTTGGTTGCTCCCATTTTCTACTAATCATCTATCGGGGAAATAAACATATCGTGTCTCTTATTTGGGAGCAGGAAAAGACCTGTCGAGGGATATTTAACATTGAGTATAGTCCTTCCCAACTATTTTGCTATTTTATGAGCTGAAATATCGGAGTCTAGTAATTTGAATGAGTTCTGACTGGATTGGTTGTCCAGAGACCAAACCATTAAATTACCTTCAATTTTGCTGTTTTTTCTCTTTATTAGCTATAAATATATACTACTTCTTACAACTTGCTCTTCTCATTCTTCCATTCATTCACTTATTCAACAATTATTTATTGACTACCTACTGTGTGCTCCATGTACATTGTGCTAGGCACTGGGGGGACATAGGAAGAACAAGGTCACTGCCAGTATGGTACTTACGTGGCTCCCATTTGTGGTTATAATTCACTTCTGATTGACCAGGAAATGAAGTGATTCTGAGTAAGTAGAACCATCATGTGAAACCTGGGGCTTAGACTGTGAGCTGCTTGGCAGGAGCAATGATGTTTTCACTTTCAGGGTCTTCAGTTCCATGCAGGGCGCCCACCAATAGGAGGGTAACAAACATTGCATGCTTCTCAGGCATGGAAATGGAAATTATGGAGTAAATGAGAACAAAAGAGGATTTCAAAAGGAACAGTCAATGACACAAAATCAGAGAAAGTAATCAAACGTGTAGTTATTGAAACATTGTTACAGCTAAGAACATAGCTACTGTCATTCACCTTTTTAGAAGATGCACCCCTAGAAGACATTCTCCATATTTTTCTAGTTGGGGACATCATATAGGCCATAAGTCATCACTGGAATAAATATAGTGGAAACACAATAGCATGTAATATAAGTGTGAAAGTTCCCTAAATGCCTTCAAAAGGTAGAAAGACTGGTAAAATCGAGTACGTGTATTATAATAATTTCTTATGAGTTTGAGTCCCTGTTCTGTTCATCAGTGGTGATGGTAATCAAAAGATGAAAAAACAATTAGGGAAAGTCAGAAATATTGCAGTGTATCTAGAGAAACACTGGTTGAAACTTAGTAGCTTTGCCCCTAGTTTTTATAAAAATTGACATTAATAGCATGGTCAAATAAAAATAAATAAAATGGAGAAGAAACTTCTGTATTCATCTAGAAGTGTTATCAGTTTGTTCCCATTCTTTTGAGCAATACTACATTTTAAAACACAAATAGAAAAGATTTTTTTTTTAAGAATTCATACTTGGACTAGTAATAAGAAAAGCAGCCAAACTTTTTTCATTGTTTTTTTTTAATAAAGACCAGAAACATCCATTCTTGAGTATTGAACAATTGATTATACTCCCCACTTTTTGCCCTCTACTAAAAACTTGAGGGCTGGGTGTGAATGGTAGTTCTGGGCTGGCTCCTGCGGGGGGAAGGACGGTGACAGATCTACTTGTGGTCTCATTCTGCATGATGGGCTTCAGACAGGCACTCCAGCTCCTCTGCATCCATTTTTATTACTAGCAGTAGGATTTCTGTTTAATAGCATGCTTAACGAGTTCAGTGTCCTGCTATGAAGAAGATGTTAACATATTTTTCATCACTTGTCTAAAAATAACATCAATGTATTGTGTTTCCTATAACTTACCTGGATAAAATATCTTTCACATGTTTTAAATGTTGTCCTGGATGCAACATCTAGACATGGTGAAGCTGATGTAGTTCTTGTGCTGGTTAAGCTAGAAGTAGATCCATAATACACCTGTATGTTGTTTTCCTCTTTGTTTTGGTATATAAAATCTTGCAAATGCGATTAAATTGGGAAAGACAGTAATGTAATCTGTATAAGGGTGTACACACTGTTTGTTTGTGTCTTTGTGTATCTGTGAACAGCACTTGGATTGCCTGGTTTAATTTTCGCTCCTTGTGGAAGTGAGTGCCTCCAAGACTTAAATGAGTGTTAGGACTATCAGAGTGACAAGAAGTCGAACTAAACTGTATCAGGATCCATTAAGACTATCACGCAGGAAATATCATGAAAATTTAAAACTAATCCTTTCTCTTGGTACACTTAAACAGTCACTTGGATTATAGTTCTTTTATGCATGAACAATTAACTTAGTAAAAGAGCAAAATAATAGCCAGATAGAAGCCTTTACATTTCTAAATTTTTAGCTGTGATTTTCCACATGCAGTTCACTATAATTTGGGGAAAATCATGAGGCACAGATCTCTTCCATCAGCATGAGCCCAGGGTTTCTCTCTTCAAAACACAGAGTGGAGGGGATTTATAATCTTATTTCCTGCCCACCCCATCTTTGCTTCAGTTAGACCGGTATGGCAGAGAGCTTCCTACTTAGGAACTGAAAAAGTACATGTCAACCGGTAAATTGATTCTATCCAAAACATTTAATTTTTTGCTTCTCCTTCTCCTTTAGAATGCAGTAAGTTAAAAACCTGCATCCTGGGTAAGATGATGTTGGAGCAGGATGCATGTACATATATCCTTGGGAGAAGGCCTATGAATCTTTTTATTTTAAGTTATAGAATTATATTAAAATGGGTTGGACAAGATGTAATTTTGAAAAGTCAGATTGGATTAACTTAGAAAAACTGCAATTTTTTCTTTTCTCTCTACTCTATCCTGACATTATTTCAGCATGTGGATTTTTCAGGACACACCCAGACAGAAGCAGAAGTCTTTGCATTTATAATGAAAGAAGACTCATCAGTGTTCATCATATAATTTCATTCCATTTTCTAAGTCAATTGGACAGATTTTTAATTTACAGTTTGTATTTAATATCACCGATGTCAACAAAAACCAGCCAAATTCTTTAGTTACAGATCAAAATAATGCAAGAACTAAAACAATGACAAAAACAGAAATAAAGTGAAATAACTTTTAAGGACAAATATTTTGCCCCCATGCAAATACATTAAAAAGAACAAAGCAGTATGAGAAAAAGTTAACTTGACAAAGCTTGTTTATCTGCTTCTGGTATTTCAAGACGCAGCTGATCTTCTATTTTAATTTTTAGTTTCCTGGTTAGTTTTATGGTGGATGCTCGAGGTGGCGCTATGCGAGGATGCAGACACAATGGGCTCCGTATCATTATTCCACCTCGGAAATGTACGGCCCCAACTCGAGTCACCTGCCGCCTGGTCAAACGCCATAGACTGGCAACAATGCCTCCAATGGTGGAAGGAGAAGGCCTGGCCAGTCGCCTGATCGAAGTCGGACCTTCTGGTGCTCAGTTCCTTGGGTAAGGGTTTCTGATAAACCTCCTGCTTAGTCACCGATGAGCTTGTGTCCTCTACATGAAATCCCTAGGATGGAATGAAGAAAGGTACGTCGGTAACGTCGTGAAAGAAGATTGGCCCCTGTGAAATTAGTTAAAAATTGGAAGTAGCACCTCGGTGCTTGACTCCAGTCATATGCTGCTTATTTTAAGGCATGAATGAGTTCAACATTCAGGTGAATTAGGATTCCTTCTCTTTGGATATGACGATAGCTGCTAGGCTCCCAATGTGAATGATTGTGTTTTAGCCAATGGTAGGTACTTTTTTTTTTTTTAATCCTGAGACTCACATGGTAAAGGCATAAAGAAAAAACACTACTCTATTCCAAACCTAAATTTAAAGTCCTGTGTAGTTATGAAACAGAATGATTATCTTTGGAAAGCAGTGTTTTCTTTATAGGATATCCAAAAATTTACTCCATGTGACTTGTCGTTTCTGTTATCAAAATTGCTATCTTGAGTCTTAAAATTACACCGGTAGTCTCTTTAGTTGTAGTTTTTATTAAGATGACAAAACCAAGACTAACTTCTGCCATGCTCATTTTAGCAATTTTGAGCGGAGGTTAGCATTTCTTCCTTCTTCCGCTTGTACGGCTGTTGTTACATATGAAGTGGTGTCTCAATATGCCAAGAAATGACTAGCTGCCGCTGAAAACTGACAAAAGGATGAAGTTTTGGAGGGGGGCAAGTTTCAAAATATTTTGAAACAAATCAATTGTATTTAAGTCTTTTCATATCAAGTCTCTGTGCTCAAAAATTGGGAGGAAGTCCTATTTATCATGTACTCTTTGCTGGTGTTGTTTGGGGGAGAGGATTTGCTTTAGAACTTGGGGAAATGTTCTAAAGCCTTGTAATTTGGAGCAAATGATTAACAGGTTGCTGCAAATTATGTTCGCACCTGAAAAGGGGTGTCTGAAATTCTCCAATTATAGAAGCCACCTCCCATATCCTCCTAAATGGCCAGAGATTTAGAAGGAGCCCGTGAAGTTCTGGGTTGCGTCAGAAATGCCATTATGGTTGGACTACATTGCCCAATGATCCCTTTCATCTTCTGTACCAGGCCCCTTTCCCTCCTTTATGTTCAGGTAGTTTTAGGCTTTTTAAGAAACTCCACATCTGTTGAGGAATATTCATGAAAACATCTGCCCTCTCTGCAGAGTCAGAGTTTTTATTATATTCCCAACAGCTTTGTCTTTCCTGTGGAGCATATTTTTGTTGTTGTTGTTTATTTTTTTGGCTCATGCCCTGGCAGTGAACGTTAAGTAGGGACAGATCCAACACCTAAGTGTCTCCTTCCACGCGCCTCCATTGTACACTCTGGGTCTCAGTTCCTTGCTCTTTGTGACCAATGGAGGGGGCAGAACCAAACGCAGTGTGAAACCACATTTCACCCTGTTGATCAGCCGGGGTTCTGTGGAAAACAATACCTGAAGCTTACTTATGTTCTTTCTTTCACTGCTGCTTTGGATGTACTCAGTAAACTTCACCTGCCAACGGCCCCTCCCCCACTTAATGAGGGAGAAAGTTTGGTCAGCCGCATCCTTCAGCTGGGGCCTCCTGGAACCAAATTCCTTGGGTAGGAGTGACTTAAAACAAATTGATGGCTGCTGGCCCCCATTCTTCTCCTCCTTCTGCAATATGATTTCTCTTTTTGTCATCGTGCCCATGACATGTCCCTCCCTATGATTTAAATTCTGTATAACCTATCTTTAGTGGACCATTTCTGACCCTTGTGGTATGTGACTTTTTATTTTTGAGTGACGTTTTTTATATCTTTTCCCTTAAAGTGCTGTGACCTTCATTTTCGTTTAAAGCATGAGATCTGCCTAGTTGTACTACGTGCTAGTTATTATGATGTTGTTATGATAGATTTGAAGTCTGTATCAAAGCAACCTGGACTGAAAAATCAAAAGCCTCCATAAATTTTGAAAGTGAATGCGACCTGAAATCGTCAGGGCAGTGCATGTTCTGGATCCTGAGTCTAATAGGCATGGGACACAATTGGGCTGTCTGCTGAGGTGCTGCTCAGTTAGGGCACGCTGTGTCCACATGCCTATTATTCCCTTGATTGAAAAAAATATATATGCAAAAAACCATGAGTGCATGTCTCTTTAGTTCCCAAGTAGTTAACTTTTTGACATCTTTTCGTTTACAACACATCCAATTACGCAACATATGAGCCATTTTCCTTCTCAACCCATTTTGTCATTTGCACCTTGTAGAAAATGTTTTAGGAGATTGGCACACATCATGGATGTGCATGCACATTTCTTTTGGTTAAATGTGTTATACTTACATTGATCAAAGGAGAAGTTCCAGAATGCCACATGCACTCCCAGGGAAACATTATTTGGCTTAAGGTAGCAGCATGTCCCTTAAGGATTGGTGCCCCCGAGGTGGAGTGCTCCTGTGTGACCATCTGCTAGCCGATGGGCTCTAGAGGACAGCCCGCTATGCCACTGTGCCGGGAAAGAGAACAATTTCCAGGTCACTTTGCAACAGACAGAGTCAAGGTGCTTGTCTTGCTGTTGGTTAGATCTCGTCCACACTGAATGTTCTGCCTTACCGTGTCAGGCCCGTGATCGTGGAGATCCCTCATTTTGCTGCCCTTCGAGGAAAGGAGCGGGAACTGGTGGTCCTACGCAGTGAGAACGGGGACAGCTGGAAAGAGCATTACTGTGAATACACTGAAGACGAGTTGAATGAAATTCTTAATGGCATGGATGAAGGTACTTCATATTAAGGGTTTTAAAAGAATTCTAAAGTGGAAGCATTAAAATGATCTATTTCTTTTTTTTAAGATTTTATTTATTTATTTGAGAGAGAGAATGAGAGAGAGAGAAAGCATGAGATGGTCCAAGGGAGAAGCAGACTCCCGCTGAGCAGGGAGCCCCATGCGGGACTTGATCCTGGGACTCCAGAATCATGACCTGAGCCGAAGGCAGTCGCTTAACCAACTGAGCCACCCAGGCACCCAAAATGATCTACTGCTTTCTTATGACTTAAGGGTGTGTCTATGTGTGTGGGGCGGGGAGGGGAGGTGGGCTTGGGTATGTGTGGTCCTTGTGTTATTTTACTGCATTAGAGGATAATATGATCTCCTGTTTAAACTTTCTATTAAGGAGATAGGAAAATTAAGTTCACTCAAACATCTACATATAATTCAAACAAGGCATTAGCTGGGGTAGAATTTTATATACTCTCCTACACATAGAGTTATGGAATTTATTTTTTTCATTGCGGCTTTGATGTCTGTAAATCCCAAATCCAGCTTGGGCCATCTAGCCATAGGTTGAAATATCTCAGTGTGACTGGAGGGAATTGGCTCATTCTCTGGCCTCCTTAGGCTTCATAAAAACGACGTCCCAGTCCTAATACCAGGAGATGGGTTCCACTTTATTTTTTTTTTAAAGATTTTATTTATTTATTTGAGAGAGAGAGAGAGAATGAATAAGCAATGAGAAGGGGCAGAGACAGAGGGAGAAGCAGGCTTCCCGCTGAGCAGGGAGCCCGATGCGGGGCTCGATCCCAGGACCCTGGGATCATGACTTGAGCCGAAGGCAGACGCTTGACTGACTGAGCCACCCAGGCACCCCATGGTTCCACTTTAAGTAACTACACAAATGGGGCAAGTTCTTTGCCTAAGTGCCAAGAGCATACCAAATTTTGTGCAGAACTGGACACGCAGTGGTGTGGCTACTTACCATGTTTCCCAAACTTGCAGACTGCTGCCAGAAGCTTCGGGCGTGGCTTGCGGATAGTAAGTGTAGCCAGACAGCAGCGGCTTTAGTATTTCTTTCTGCATCCTGCTGAGGTGGAATAAGAATAGAGGCCAGGCTTACCCTCTCCAAGGGGTAGGTGGAAAAAGAAATTATGCCCTCTAGGTGCATAGGTCCGTATTTTCCAAGCAAGATAGAAAGAACAGGATTCTTCCTGATAAAGCTTGTTCCCTGCAATATTTAGCTGCTTCTGCTTCTTGGAGCCAGTTCTTTTGCCTGCACTTAGGTTTAGGATACTTTCCTCTGAGATATTTACCTGTCATTAACACTGCCATAAACACTGGCATCTTGTCCTTGACGAGTTCTGGTATAACTCTCTGTGTATAAAGCCTGTTTTAAAATAAAGAATCAGATTTTTGCATTTTTGTGTTCTCTGTGCTTGGAAATGCATTCTTTGGAAGTATGTTCTGGTGTTTGCCAGTGCATCAGTTTTCAGTTATGCATGATCAGATCCTGGGACTTCTGGCTTTTGCTCTCTAGTTATATTCAATTGTCAAGAAAAATATAGTTGCTGTTCCTGCCTCTAGAATGGATTGCAAATGATTTCCAAAAATAAACAACTTTCCGTGATCCCTGAAAATTCAGTGATCACCTTAGTGCAGATTTTCTGCCTTTTAAGCCAGTCTGATTTTTGTGTTGCCCTGCATATCTACATTAATGCGATTTACAAAGAGCCTCTTATCCTATCTTCCTGACAGTAGATGATATGGTTGGTCAGTTAATGGTTTCAGGGAAATACTCAAACCCTGAATTTATAATCACTGTTTTGTTTTGGTTTTTTTTAGTATGTGACTCTTTCAGAGACAACCATGTCACTAGAATAAATACACAAAGACAAACCTTACCCTTACAGGACAGATTTTATTCCTGCACTATTGCCCTGAGAACTGAAAGGGCCATATTTCTTCTTAAAACCGCAATAACTGGTTGTTGAGCGAACTTTGAAATTTGTGAAGAAAAGAGGTCCAGAAGCTATTTCCTGTACCTCACGTGAACCAAGAATAGGATAGGTTTGTTTCCATTCCGGGTTTGCCCTCAAAACCCCTCATTTCCAAAAGCAGGCTGCCCTGCACTCCTGCTTCTGGAACTGGATGCTTTCCTTTCACAGTGCCCTGGAAAGACCTAGTTTCCACGGAGAAATAAAACGTGCAGACTAAATGCTGATAGGTCTTGAAAGACTGCAATTTTTTTTTTTTTTCTGGTGTTGTTAGGATTGGGAGTCTTGCTTTTTAAATTTTCCTACTATTTAAAAAAAAAGGGGGGTGTTTTTGCTTCCACGCTTATTTACTATTAACTCTGCCATGGAGTTTGCTAGAATGCTTTTGGAAGGAAATCTTTGCTCTGTGAAGAAGATGGGTCATTTCTTGTCTCAGTGCTGGATAGCCCGGAAGACCTAGAAAAGAAGCGAATCTGCCGCATCATCACCCGTGACTTCCCACAGTACTTTGCAGTGGTGTCTCGCATCAAACAGGACAGCAACCTGATTGGCCCAGAGGGAGGCGTGCTGAGCAGCACTGTGGTGCCCCAGGTGCAGGCCGTCTTTCCGGAGGGGGCGCTAACCAAGAGGATCCGTGTGGGCCTACAGGTATGCCCATGTGGGATACAAGTTAACCTAACATGGGTTTTTACTCTAGTGATTCAAAATCAGCTTTTCAGGTGGGAAATACATGGTTAATGTGTCAAATTATCCCCAAGTGAGTAAGTTCTGCCCTTAGAGATTGTAGGTCTCCTAAAGTTTTATATGAGGGCTTAGTACTGAACTTACAATTGCCATATTTGAAGTCACCAAACTGATTTATGAGCTAAAAAGCAATGCATTGAGTAAGAAATTTGACGTAAATATAGATATATTGTTTATGTTACTATTTTTTTTCTTGACAAGGCTCAACCTATGCACAATGAGCTGGTTAAGAAGATTCTAGGCAACAAAGCTACCTTCAGCCCTATAGTCACTTTGGAACCTAGAAGAAGAAAATTCCACAAACCGATTACCATGACCATTCCTGTCCCTAAAGCTTCAAGTGATGTCATGTTGAATGGTTTTGGGGGAGATGCACCAACCTTGAGATTACTATGCAGCATAACAGGTGAGTCCCATATGACTATGTTAGTAGAAAGTTCTGAAAGGAGAAACAGATCATTGTAAATATTAAATTACCTTCGTCATCAGATACCTGTGAGGTTATATGCATTAATTCAGGAAAAGCATCCTACTTAACTAGGCAAGTGAAAGGAAATTAATATTTATCAAATACAGCTTGTATACCAAACTATTAGACCCTTTATATGTATTATCATTTCTGTCTTTATAGTGGTCCTATGAGGAAGTGTTAACCCTATTTACTGAAAAGGAAGCCAAGGCTGAGCGAAGTTCTATAACTTGCCTGAAATCATACCATAAATACTTGGCAGAGTTGGAATTCAAACCCAATTTTACATGCCTCAAAACCCAAGTTTCAAGCCTTCATTGAAGACTTTATGAAGTCTCAAGCCTTCATTGAAGACTTTATGAAGTCTTACATGAAAAATAAATAGCATCTTGAATAATTATACCCAGTAGTTCAAACATCTGTCTGGGAATTGGTTTGTCTTTATCATTGATCTGTTGAACTAACTTTGGAAAAACAAAGTAAAGGTTTTTAATGATTAACTGAATTTTGGTCTTTTCAATTAGAAGTTGTAATAGCTTTCAGACAACTACCATACTCCAGAAAGACATTCCCAGAACGTTGGTTTTTTCTGCTCAATCATACCACCACAAATGGTGAGAGGAAAAAATCTGCACAAATAACCTGTGTTAGGACTACATCATTGCACTAATAATTTCCCTATTTCACAATAACTACGTGTTGTTGGCATTCAGTAAATATACTGCTGTCAATAGGAATAATCACCATCCCTGGTTGTTTAGGTATTGTTAGAATTTTTTTTCCTTTCTCCTCCATATTGAAAGGAATGTTCACCCTTATTTTGTTCTATAATTCTCCCTTCTTATTAGTGTTTTTTTCTGTACTTATGATAGCAGACCATTGACACCTTTCCCCATAAATTTAATATTATGACAAAAATTTAAAATACACAGACTACAATGAGTATGAAAGGAAATCTTACACTTCACTTATGATCGCTTTCCCAATTATCCATTTCTGATTGTTACCAGCATTCCTGGGTGTCATTCCCATACTTTTTTTCCATGGGTATATGATTAACATTTTATAATGTGCAACATAATGGCATGGGAGTGAAAGAAGGAAGACTGAAAAATGTCTGTGGCACACCTGCCCTTATAGATGATCAAATGAAGATACCACCTGGGCCTAGACGCCATCTAATCTAGTTATTCCAGCCATAGATCTTCTGATAGGTTTGCACTTAACAATTCCTTAAATTTATTTGTTAATTAAAAAAAAAAACATGTTAACCAGAGTTTTAGATTTTTGTGTTTTGCTCTGTTATATGGTTCTGCTAAGAATTCCTATTTTAGAGGCTTGCTAGAATAAGTTTCCGTGAACTTTCTTTGATAACTCATTTCCTTCTTTAAGGAATTTTAGAGTCACAATTTTTCCTCATCTCAAACATATATTCCCCTACAATGCTTTAAGACTGTTTTATCCTTATCTATGCCAACGTAATTTCCCAGGAGAATGAAAGTCAATATCAGCCTCCATGGTGATCTTTCTGTGCAGAGGCCATCCTTCAGTACTCATTCACTCACCTTGCGGTATTACTGAGCTCTTAATATTTTCCAAGCATTTTTTTTTTTTTGCCAACCTTGAACTGCAAATTGAGAGGAAATTTTATTTCTTAAAAATATTTCCAGGGGCACCTGGGTGGCTCAGTTGGTTAAGCGACTGCCTTCAGCTCAGGTCATGATCCTGGAGTCCCAGGATCGAGTCCCGCATCGGGCTCCCTGCTCGGCAGGGAGTCTGCTTCTCCCTCTGACCCTCCTCCCTCTCATGCTCTCTGTCTCTCATTCTCTCTGTCTCAAATAAATAAATAAAATCTTTAAAAAAAAAAAATATTTCCAGAAAATATGAAGTTCAGGAACAAAAGATTATTTGGATTTTTGTTATTTTAACAAAGTATTCAGCTCCTTGGTTGATCGAAGTAGCTTTTAAAATCATCATCATTTTAAATTTAAAATGATCTTCAAAGCCTAGCAATTACAATAAAAGCTTCAGAGTATCAGTCAGATCTTAACAATAGAGAACAAACTGAGGGTTGCTGGAGGGGAGGTGGGTGGGAGATGGGCTAGGTGCGTGATGGGTATTAAGGAGGGCACTTGTGATGAGCACTGGGTGTTGTATGTAAGTGATGAATCACTAAATTCTACACCTGCAACTAATACTACAGTATATGTTAACTATCTAGAATTTAAATAAAGACTTGAAACATAAAAAAAAGAAAGTCAGAGACTAGAACACTTAGTAGGTAATTTGAGGCAGTTATTCAAAGAACCTCCCTTTAAATTAAGTTCCTTGAAAGGTAGTGTCTGCTGTTTGTTTTCAGTGTGTCATTTTTTAGCATGTCGTTTTTAGACATGTTGTTTCCAATATGTCATTCTGAGGGGTGGATGGGATGATATGGGTGAACACAGCCAGAACCACAAAGACTTTATTTTACAATTCAGAGCCTGGAGTTTTGCCTGATTTTTTTAAACAATCATATTATTTCAGGTGGAACCACTCCTGCACAATGGGAAGATATTACAGGAACTACGCCATTAACATTTGTCAATGAATGTGTTTCCTTTACAACCAATGTGTCTGCCAGGTATGGTTATGCAGCCCAGAAAAGCCCACTATGATATTGCCCCTCCCCATTGTCTTTTGTTTTGTTTCTTATGTTCTTTAAAAGTGAATCTTTTTGGTTTGCTTTTACACATCTGCATTTACTTTCATATTTTAAACTGGACTTGCTAACAAATGTAATAGTGATGAGACAATAAAGGACAACCAGTCAGATTAAAATCTAAGAAAAAGAAGGGATTGTGACCCTGACTCTGGTTTTAGTAGCCATCACTGATTTTTCCAGTCCCAAAGGTCTTAGGAAAGATAAATTTCCTGCTGTCAAAAAATAGCCTGAACTACTTTTTCCAACAGAGTAATAAAAACACAAAGCCCACCATGACTTGCTTAAATGGTTTCAAGGTTTCCATGACTCTTATGCATTCTAACACATGTGCATATTACCCATCTATTACCCAATTACATATCACACATCTGCTAAAAGCTGAAGCTATCTAGTTTTATGTCATGCACACACTAACTCAGTTGATTACCATTAGTTCCCATTTGCACTGGGATTAATGGATTGCTAAGCATGTCCCATTTAATTTGATTACTACAACAACTGTGTGACTTAAATAGAACAGGAGGTATTGTGGCCATTTTACAGATGAGAAAACTAAAGTCGAGAGTGGTTAAAACTTAAGTTTATATTCAAGGGGAAAAGAAAAAGTAGAAATTCATGAATAAGTCACTAATGGTACGGGGCAGTACCTGGGTGTGGTGTGGCATGTGTTTGTCCTTTCAGCCGCTCAGGCTCAGCTACTGAGTCTCGGGCTCTGTGAGCCACTGCGATCTGCCACTTAGGCATCTACACTCTAATGCAAGACATGGCAAGTTTTGCATGAGAGGTACCCCCAGAGGTATTAAAGAATTCAGCGGAGGGTATTTGCATCGGGATAGAGAAGATGTTTGAGAAGAGGTGACTTAAGAGACATGTAGGAAACTTATAGGCAGAATAAAAGTGGAAGAAAGAGGTAACATGAGCCAAGATGCCAAGATAGAATGCAGAAGGGTACTGGGGGAGAGCAACAGTGATCCATTTAGTCTGTAATGCAGAAGTAATGCAAGATTGTGCATTGTTTATGGAAAGCCTCGTGGGATAGACCGAGAAGTCGGTATTGTAAGTGTACTTAATACCAATAAATTTTACACTTAAAAATGGTTAAAATAGTAAACTTTGCATATATTTTACTAAAAGCCAATAAAGAAAGTGAGATGGATCAAGAACTTAAAGAAAAGAGAGGCTAAGACAGTAGGGCAATCTCAGGAATGTTGAAAGATTGTGGGAAATGAGTCAAGAGAAGGAGGGTGGGTGATCATTGGTTGGGAAAGGTTTCAGAGCCAGAGGATGTGAACCAACCTTTGAAAATGTATACATAGCAAATTGAAAAAATGTCCATGGTGGCCTCTACTTTCTCAGTGAAGTTATCTTAAGGCCTCAGGTGAGGAGGGAGCTCAAGGAGTGTCATAAAGGTTTAGCAAAGTTACTATACTGAATACCATGATATTTGAGGAAAAAGTTACCAGGCAATGTCACAGACCCAGCTGAGGCTAGAACTCATAAATTGGTCACAAATCCAATGATTTCTTCTAGGGATATATTCAGCAATATTTAGAAGTTCTGGAGCAAAAGCAATTTTTTAAAAATGGTATTATTTCCCCTTGGTGACTAGAGAGGTTGTTGGAAAAGAATGATGAAGAAAACCTGAGTAGAGGGCGCCTGGGTGGCTCAGTTGGTTAAGAGACTGCCTTCGGCTCAGGTCATGATCCCAGGGTCCTGGGATCGGGCTCTCTGCTCCTTGGGAGCCTGCTTCTCCCTCTGCCTCTCTCTCTCTGTCTCTCATGAATAAATAAATAAAATCTAAAAAAAAAAAAAAAGAAAACCTGAGTAGATTTTATTGAAAAGAGTTTCAGGAAATGAAACAAAGAGGAGAGGGAATCAAGGAAAATAGAAACTCTCATTCAGTGAGATACTTGTCATAATACCCAATACTGAGCTTACATGCTAGAAGATTCTAAAGCACTTAGATATAGTTCAGAAGACTCAATACTCAGAAGAGTCCCCAAGGAAGAAAATTACAAATACAGCATTTGATAGTTGATCTTAAACACCTAATCTTTCTCTTTTCCCCACATTCCCTTCTCCCTTCCCATCTATCCTTTTATCTTTCCTCCTTTCACTTTCTTCCTCTTTCCTTTAGTTTCTCTCATCTCCTTCTCTCCCTTTTTCTAAGAAACATTTAATGACTATTTTGACCATAGTGAAGGGACTGTTGTTTTTTAATTCAACTGGTATACTTTAAATTTCAGATAACTGATCTTATTCCATTTTGTAGGTTCTGGCTGATAGATTGTCGACAAATCCAGGAATCTGTTACCTTTGCATCACAAGTGTATAGAGAAATTATCTGTGTACCATATATGGCCAAATTTGTTGTGTTTGCCAAATCACACGACCCCATTGAAGCCAGGTTGAGATGTTTCTGCATGACTGATGATAAAGTGGATAAGACCCTAGAACAACAAGAAAACTTTGCTGAGGTGGCCAGAAGCAGGGATGTAGAGGTACTGTTATTTACAAAAATAATTTATGTTAACCTGTTGTTTATACCCTTACTAGTAGATTATATTTAAAATAGTATTTAATAAGTAGAGCCATTAAAAAAGAAAAAGAACAGTCCAGATTTTGATCAGTTAGTAGGTCAAGGTCCAAAGTCTGCCGTTTTTGCCAGTTTGGATATAGGGATAGTCTCAGTGTATGTGAGGTGGTAAAAGGACTCTCTTAAAATTATCTTGGGAAAAATTATGAGTTATTGGTAAAGAATGTAAGTGACTGTAATAGTTTAGGTATCTTTATCTTTCCTTGTTGTTTTTATTATTTTTAATACTAAAGGAAATAGTTGGGAAGTATATCCTTTGTGTAAATGTGAATGTACCATATCCAGGGCTTTTCTGCATTATTTATTCTTATTTCAGAATTTTCTATCTGTGGGCCTTTGGATATTAAAGTCAAGTAACCTGACTCATTACGATGTCAAAAATTACCCAATCAAAAATTTAAATTTAGGACTTAAAGAGATACTGGTTTTTTTTGGGGGGGGGAGGGTAACATGAAACAGTGTTAGAAATGAAAACATTAACATTAAATGCCACCGTGCATTTGAAGATTCTCGTACCAGTAAGAAGAGGGAGTATTAGCGCATGCTTTGTCACAGATAAGACAAAATGTTCATCAGCAATGTAAAGATTATGTATGTATATTTTAAGAATTTTGATGTTCCAAGTAGTACCACCACTTTTTATGTAAATAACAAGTAATAATTATAGCTATTATATTCTGTGTTATTTTTCTCTGTTTTTACCAGGTACTAGAAGGAAAACCCATCTATGTTGATTGTTTTGGCAACCTGGTGCCATTAACCAAGAGTGGCCAACATCATATCTTCAGTTTTTTTGCCTTCAAAGAAAACCGACTTCCTCTCTTTGTCAAGGTAATAAGACATGGGCTTTTGTAATGCATTTTACTTAAGATCAAGTAAGGATTTGACTTCCTTTAGTAGGAGACAATTTTGCTTTTCAGTCATTACAGTAATTTTTTAAAACCATGTCTGTGAAATTTTAAAGTCCTATAAAACTGTTTTTATTTTTGAAGTTCAAATTCAACCTTCATTTTATAACTTATAGACTATGATTAAGGCTGAGAATTAGGACAAATAGCCAGTTCATTAATTAGAAAAACTGGTTACTTTTTTTCCCAAATTTTACAAGTCTCTCTTTTTTTACTATCATTTCTTCTAAATATTTATGCTTACATTTTAAAAATTTATGAATTTCATTAATGTGGAGACCAAAAGAGTTCTAAGTGACGACTTTTTGTAATAAAAGCTCTCAAGGGACCCAGGATCTCACTTAATCTAGTAAGAGATTATCCCAGATAGAGCTGTGAACTGCGTATATTTTCATAAATTCATCCAACAAACATTTCTGGAGATACTTCAGTACACTGTGAATTTGTTGTCTCTGTTTAAGAATATTAATTCAACTTAGGAATTTGGCAGCGGTATATATACATTTCATTCTAGATTCCAGTTCTAAAAAGGGACAAAAATGTGTGATGGCGAGATTCATGAAATGAAAAGGAAGTAATAATTCTGTGCTCTATTTCTCCAGCCACTCATTTTTTTTTCTTGCTTCTCACAGTGTATTTCACTAATCTAGAAGTCCTAATGCTCAATCCTCACAAGATAGAAGCTGGTCTCCAATAGTTTTCACTACACGGTCTTCAGACTACTAATTCCCAGTTTGTCAGCAATGACTCATTTTAATCCCTTATGACTTTCCAAGCGTATGTCAGTAAACCTCTCAAGTTTTTTGAAGTCTGTTAAGCTTTCCCAAGATCTCTGAGTCCTTTGTTGTGCCATTTCTGGTTTGATTGTTTTATCTGATTGAAGATAGGTTCTTAGAGATCACCACATTAAATTGTAACTGCTGAGGGTAATGGGTCCATTTAACACAAATGGCTGTATAATTAAGCTAATACTTGATATTGTTGATGTGCAAAAGTCATTCTTTTTTTTTTTAAGATTTTATTTATTTGACAGAGAGAGACACAGCGACAGAGGGAACACAAGCAGGGGGAGTGGGAGAGGGAGAAGCAGGCTTCCCGCCCAGCAGGGAGCCCGATGCCGGGCTCAATCCCAGGACCCTGAGATCATAACCTGAGCGGAAGGCAGACGCTTAATGACTGAGCCACCCAGGCGCCCCGCAAAAGTCATTGTACAAACAACCAAATACAGAAATGAGCAAAGGACTCAGACATTTCTCCAAAGAAGGCAAACTGGTGGCCAATAAGCATATGAAAAGATGCTCAACAGCTTAAGGAAATTCAGATTCAAATCACAATGAGAAACTTTGTACCCATTAGGGTGGCAGCTGTTAAAAAATAAGTATATAAATAATGAAATAGCTAATACATGTTGGCAAGGATGTGGAGAAATTGGGACTCTGATCATTGCTGGTGGGAATACAAAATGGATGCAGCCATTGTGGAAAACAGTATGATGATTCCTCAAAAATTCAAACCTAGATTAGCCTATGATCCAGCAATTCCACTTCTAGGTATATACCCAAAAGAACTGAGAGCAGGGACTCAAGCAGTTACTTGCATCCCGGTGTTCATAAGAGCATTATTCACAGTAGCCAAAAGGTGGAAACATCCCAAGTATCCACTGACAGGTGAATGGATAAAAAATGGTATATACGTACAATGGAATATTATTCAGCCTTAATAAGGAATGACATTTTGATACATGCTGTAACACGGATGAACCTGGAAGGCATATGCTAAGTGAAATTAGCCAGACACAAAAGGACAAATACTCTGTTTCCACTTATAAGAGGTACCTAGAGAGGTTAAATGCCTAAAGTCAGAAAATAGAACGGTGATTGCCAGGAGATGAGGTGAAGGAGGAATGGAAAGTTCGTGTTCCATGGAAACAGAGTTTCAGTTGGTGAACATGAAGAAGTTCCGAAGATGAATGGTAGTGATGGTTGTACAACAGTGTGAATGTACTTATTGCTGCTGAACTGTGCATGTAAAAATGGTGGAAATGAGAAGTTCTATGTTATGTATATTTTAACACAGTTCTTTTAAAGAATGAAATTCTGTTATATGTTGCAATGTGGTTGAAGTTTGAAAATATTATGCTAAGTAAAATAACCCAGACTCAAAAGGAGCAAACAATGTATAACTCTTATCTATTCAGGGTACCTGGAAGAGGCAAATTTACAGACACAGAAAGTAGAATAGAGGTGACCTGGGGTGGCGGAAGAGAAGAATGGGGAGCTATTGTTTAATGGGTACAGAGTTTGTGTTCGGGATGATGACAAATTCTGCATAGTAGGGATTTGATGAATGCACAAGTTTGTGCATGTGCTTAATGCCGCTAAATTGGACACTTAAAAATGGTAAGCGTAAAAATGGAAATGGTAAATTTTATGGTACGTGTCTTTTACCACGATTTTTTAAAAGCTGAATGATTTTTAAAAAGTCATTCTAAATGAATATAGAAACAGAGAAAGGAACACCTCTAAATCCTTAGCATTATCAAATGAATTTATTTTTTCCTCATTCTCTTGAGTATCATCTAATTAAAATAAATAGTACACATCATAGGTGGGTGAAGTACGTATGCCTTTCTTGTTCAAGGTACGTGACACGACTCAGGAACCTTGCGGGCGACTATCGTTTATGAAAGAGCCAAAATCCACAAGAGGCCTGGTGCATCAAGCTATTTGCAACTTAAACATCACCCTGCCGATTTATACAAAGGTATTGTCAAATCTGTTGGAGTGCGGTTCAGTCTCTATAGGATTTAATTTTCAAACCCTTTAAAATAAGTAAAAGCAAAAGGACTGAATGCAAGCACATATAGCAGTCATTTTTGATTCCCTGTCAAACTTATGATTTTCCATTTAAGTAAGGAAAAAAGGTAGCTCTCCTTTATTTTGCGTTAAATTCACTCTGATGGAAACTTTTCTATCAATACATATTGGACAGGAAAGAAAATTTGAATTTAAGATTTAACTTTTTGGACTCATTTTTAAAAATAAATTGGCTTTGTCTTCACTGTTGTTTTTATTGCCCTTCTGGGGTGATACTAGTCCATTTGGCCCCAGCAAAGTATTATGAGTTCATTAGCTTCTGTTCACTGCCAATTCACAGGTGGATTATTTATTATTAAATTCAGAGCAACCTCATGAGATTTTATCTTATTGCTAAAATCAATTCCTATTCATCTTATAACCTATAATGTTTTGGGGGTATCAAACTAGTTTTTCAATGATTTTAGCATGATTAGTATAAAAAATACTCCCATGTGACAAGGGGTAGATTTGAAACATTGTTGAAAAGGAACACTTCATCAATTCCTGACCCAAAGTCTCCTTACCAGGTATTACTTTCTATTCAGACTGCTCACCATTACAGAATTCCTGGCTTACTCCGATAAGTTGAAGACAACTGAATGAATTAAATGTTGGGGATAACTTAATTTTTATTACTTAAAAAAACTTTAACCAATATCTTTTCAGTGGAAATTTCCCCCCACCCCCCATGGCGGTCTGTAGGGGGCTGCAGAGCTGTCAGTGTGTGTACTAGAGGTTGGGGAGGGGGATGAGTAATGGCAGGTAAGACTTGGAGGAGATGTAGAAATATATTTAAAACCCTAAATCTTGACTCCACAAAACAAAGCATTTTCGACACTTCTTTTTACCTGCTGTGGTATATTTTTCTTAACCAATTATTCTTCTAAATAGAGATCAGACACAGAGAGAGAAGCTTCATGTTTAACGTTGCAAATTCTCATTATATGATAAAAGTGAAATATTATCTGTATATGAAAACATATGTGTTATTCCAGTAATTGGAATACAGCAATAAGTATATCCACCCAAATGAGCATAATCCAATTTCACTCCAGTGATGGAAAATGTACTTTGGGGTTTGTAGATTTGTGAGTCACCGAAGCAGAATGCCAAATAAGAAGCACAACAAAATATATACTGCTGTGGGCAGTCCAACTGAGTGACGTATAAAGATGAATGAGCTTTGTCTCTGATTTCAGTGAACTTTCAGTGTGCTGTAAAATAAAGCATTTACTTTATTATTACACTATATTTCTAAGTTGAGACATATTATTAATGCCATGATGGTCCAGGACAGCTTTCCAGTTAGTAACTCAAAATAAAAAGGAAAACAATGCCAAACATTATATACACTTCACATAAACTTTAGAATTTAGTAGTTCTTTATTATAATAGAACTCCTAAATATTGCCTGTGTATTCAAAATATTTTTACCATAAGCTTATTTGTGGTCTTTAACATTTTCAGCTAGTATCTGTAATGACTGGGATATATCATCCCCATTTCTCTAGACATATGCATCAAATCCATTAAATATCCAACTTTAAGGCTGCTAGTAACCTCTAGGATCTGAAATGAGTATATTTGTAATTTTAGTTCTTTTGTCTAATAAATTAGTATACTTATAATTTTGGTTCTTTTGCCTCTTGAATCTACAGACTTTCACATTTAAATCAATCCTTTTAAATTTTTGTGCCTGTCTTCTATAAACTGTTAGTAGGAAGAAAACCAGAGTACGCTGATGGTATGCTTGCCTGTTGATGTTTGTTGGCAGTGTATTTGATCTTTTCTTCTAAAGACTCTCTACTCTTCCTGCTCTCTTTTTTCCATCTTGCATGGCATCTTGGGGCGGCAAGGAATCAGAGTCAGATCAAGAACAGGAAGAAGAGGTAATTGTATGGCATTGTCGCTTATTGATGTCTGTATTTGCTATAACCACTAATAAGAGCACATAGTTAACCTGTGTTCTTAGAAGGGTTATGCGGTTGTTAGTAACTGAAGGGTCACAGTTTTACTTAACCTCTCTGAGCCTCTGTTTTCTCATCTCATGGACTAAATTCAAAGGATAGTAAAGCTTTCTCTATAAATTGTTACCCTGTCTCTGTGCAATAATAAAGGTTTCTCTACTGACTACTGAAGGCCAAGCCATTATTTCAGTTCTCAAAGGTTGGTCTGGAGATGCTTGGAGCTCAAAACTTTTTTTGTTTTTACTATAACTGAGACATTATTTGTCTTTTGCCTCCTGTATCTCCACAAGCTGTAGAGGAGTTTTCCAGAGGCTACATTACATATGATGACATCATCAGTCTGACTCTGGAATGGGTGCTTGTGTATACTTGGGTTCTAGGAATTTCTCAGTCTTAATGTGTAAGACAGATATTTACTTGTATATATCAAACATAAACAGAAGTTCTTCAAGGTCTTCAATAATTTTTAGGAGTGTAAAGGAGTCTTGAAACCAAAAAGTTTGAGAAGCACTAAGACTAAAAACTTTAAGAAGTGTATAGTTCAACCAGTAGACTATAATATTATAATGCAGAACTCTACTAATAATGAGCACTTCTTATAAGGTAGATTCTTTATTAAGTGCTCCACGTACCTCATCAACACTGATCCTCACAATTGCCCTGTGAGGTCTGTGCTATCATAGATGAAGAAAGCCAGTCTTCAAGAGGTTGCCTTGAATAAAGAACCTTTTGAATAAGACTTCTTTGATAGTTCAGGCACATCTGTGTTTGTTTCCCTTATAAAGATTTGAATGCCCAAACATCATCATAGAAATGAAAGGAAATTCCTTCTACTTCCCTATTTACATATTGGTTCCTGCTTATAAGGTAGACAAATGCAGTTGTTATTAGTTGCACATAAAGATTTTCAAATATACTAGTGTTATATTTTTAATGTTACTTGATGGATTTGGGAATACAAAAACATAAAGAAAAATATAGTAAATACCCTTGTACCCACCAGCTTAAAATGCAAGGCCTTTTTAGTGCAGAGAATTGCCCTGAATTCACTTTTTACTCCTACCCTGGCCGCGGAGCAGGACAAGAGGGGAGGTGATAGCCTCATTGTCCTGCCATATAGAACCATATGCCCAGTAATTATGGCAGGACAGATGTCAACCTTCCCCTTGATTGTATAGCCACTCTTTGTCTCACATACTCAGTTTCCTTCGTGCACGTGGTGACCCCCTCACCAAACCTGTTCAAAATGGTACCTACACACCTTCTTAGAAGCGCAGTGCAACTATAAAACCATTTTTTGCTATATTTAAATGAGTTTCTTGCATTAGGTTTGTGATTGTTCTATTGAATATTTTCAGGAGCTTTGCAGGGCAATAGATCCAGTTTGTATTCTTTTCAGGATTTAGAATTTTGGCTTGTCATTAATGACAATGAAACTGCTACTTCTGTAGAATGTATTACCCTGGCATGCTGCTTGTTCTTTCCTTCTTTGTCTCAACTAAATTGACACTGTTTAACCCCCACTTCACTCTTTTCCTGGCCTTTTCCCTAATACATATGTATTTCTAACATCAAACGCACCCTGGATCATATCTTGCTAGAAATAACATTAAAAAGTGCTTTCCACCTATGAAGTCTAGAAAGGAGGTTTGTTTTTTCCCCAAAGTTGGGATAAGAATCAAGGAGACTCTCAGGAAGAACTGTAGCAAAGTACTTTGACCTTCCTCTAGCTTATGTTATCTCCCCATGGGTGTGATTATGAATAGGAGCTTATTTGCACATCAGGGGCTGTGAAAGCAGACGCAGTTTGTAACCATTCAATTTATGTATGTTTTCTTTCAGATCGATATGACATCAGAAAAAAGTAAGATTTTAAATAAAATTGAGTTTGTTTGAAAGCTGGCTACAATAAAGAGAAGCATGAATTAAAATGCAACTAGTTGCCATTACTAACCACTATAATAATTATATTTTTATATTGTCCTTATTAATCATTAATGTATATTTAGAAAAGCAGCTTGGCCAGTTAAATTACAAAAATACCTAATTTATGGAGCTAATTAGCAGTAAAATGCAATGATTATTCATCTAAGCATTCACTTTCTTTTGATACCCCTGTTAACCCTGCTATTGCTGTTATGCTTGTTTAGAAACCCACCCTACCATTTTTGTCCATTTGTTAGCATAACATTGTCATCTCATTTTTTTTTTAAGCACTGACATGACAGTATCACTTTTATATCAAGCAACACTGACTTCGGGAGAGAGCTCATTATTTTTGTAGGCTACACCTGCAAAAGTGATACTGTCTTAATAGTTCTCAGCTAAAGCTAACCCTCCCCCCCACCCCCACCACCCAGCACCTCTTACTGTGGTGAAGTATAACGGACTTCTTTAGGGCTGAGGCCTAACGGACTTTTGTGAAACTTTCTGGGAAAAAAAAAAAAAGAACCAGGAATGCAAAAATCAAAACCTCCTGGATGAAATTACTAATCACAACATTGTGCCATGATAGGGCTAATTTTAAATAATGATGCAAATCCTAAATATAATTTAGTACAGAGAGAACTGGTTTTTACAGACCTTAAGAGAGTTATCTTAGGACTCATTTTGGGTTTGTAACAATACATTAATATTTTAGTTTTGGGGCCTGTTTCTGGTGACTCTGGTTTCTTGTGTGGAAGAAGTTGAATTTTTCAGGTTTCTTTCTTGCTTCTATGCCCCCAAATAGTTGAGGAAAAAAATACTAATTTTTATTGTTTATTCATTTAAAAATTCATTTTGATTCACTGTATTTCAGGTTGCTATTCCCAAAAGGAGAAAACTTAGAACCATGTTTAATATGGTCATCTGGCCCTATGCAATGATCTGGGGCTTTTTTTTTTTTTTTTTAAGACAGTATAATGTAAATTACTAACTTATTGGGATTTTTTTTTAAAGATTTGATTTATTTATTTGGAGAGCGGGAGCAGGGGGTGAAGGGCAGAGGGAGAAGCAGACTCCCCACTGAGCAGGGAGCACAAGGCAGGGCTCTATCCCAGGACTCCAGGATCATGACCCGAGCAGAAGGCGGCCACTTACGGACTGAGCCACCCAGGTGCCCCTAGAATGCTTTTAATTGAGAGTTTCTTTGCTCTTATGTTAAATCATCATTCAGGACTAGATTATTTGAAATTCTGGATGTTTTCATTTGGTTTGTACTTGAACAAATTTGCATTGATATAAATTATTTTAAGATATCTTTATATATGCATAGTCACAGAGTATATCTCCTCAATAAATACCAATTCTCTCAAGAGAAGACACTTATTTGTTAAAGTGACATTATCATTGCCTTAATTCCTTTTTTTAAAAAGAGGTTTTATTTTATTATCCCACTTTCTTCTTCGGAACTACTATGTTTATTTAAAAGGCCCTTTCCTTTGTTTCTTGAATACTAGCTAGTAGAAATTCAAGTTTAATACATCCCCCTGGCTCAGTTGTTTAAAAAAGAAAGAGGAGGGGGTGCCTGGGTGGCTCAGTCAGTTAAGCACCTACCTTCGGCTCAGGTCATGATCCGAGAGTCCCAGAATCGAGCCCCGCATTGGGCTCCCTGCCCAGTGGGGAGTCTGCTTCTCCCTCTGTCCCTCACCCCTCTCTCATGCTCTCTCTCTCTCAGATAAATAAAATCTTAAAAAAAGGAGGAAAAAGCTACTATATAGCTATAATGCCACAAATTCTTCTAAATGACTCCTAAGTGTTGTGAATATTTTTTAAAGTTTAAACATAGATACATGTTTGGGTTGTTTTTTTGTTGTTGTTGTTTTGTTTTGTTTTTTTTAGTTTAAATTCTGGTTTAAAGACAATCCTTAGTTTAAAGACAATCCTTAAATAATCTTCATCTAGGTATAAAATAACCTCTAAAGAAGGGCTCTAGTGAAGGAACTCTTTCCTAAGTCTTTTCAAGAGCAAATCCTAAAAGAGTTTGACCGACTTTTCCTTTTTGCTTTGAATGGGTGCAGGTCCCCACTACCTGTCCCTCGAATATACTACTACATTCAGCACCTATGTACAGGCTTGTAGAAAATAAATATGCTTCACCACAGTAATGTTTTCCATATTTGTTCTAATTTCTTAACCATCCTCCTGCCCGTGCATTTCAGCAAAGCCACCGCTCCCACCAGTTTCTTTCCACCTTTGCTTTGCATGGAAATAACTTGGCTTACATAAACTGTGCGTGTGTCTCGTGTGACTGTCTCTGATTTGGATTGCCATGCATTACATTTTAACTTTGGACTCACCTATAAGTTTAATCACAGTCGTTGTTTTGTTCTTTTTTTTCTTTCCTTTCCTTTATTTCCCTCCTTGGTCTGTCCTTTATGTGTCTAAACCAGGAGGTTGCTCCAAGGAAAGGACCATGCCTCTTAGCACAAGACCATTTGTTTCGTTGTTAGGTGTGAATTTCCCTTAGATGAAATGCCGGTTTGCAGCTGATTCAGACATCTTTTATATAGTCACTGTATATTGGCAGACCAAAACATACTGATTTCCGGATTTTTATATGATTAAAAAACATATATACTTCATTAGAAGGCATTCTGAATTTGCTACTACTGGCTTTCTCCTAGAGGAAATCAACTTTCTGCAATTTCTAATGCTTTTTTCCTTTTCTTTCCCCATGTTTATATTTTTTTTTCAACATTGATCTGTAACATCTGAACAATCTTGAGATACTTCTGTGTAATTTCACTGCGTTCGTTCTTTGTTTTGATCTGTGATGGTGTGTGTGTGTGTGTGTGTCTGTCATGGCTATTTGTTATAGCTTTGTTGTATGTGTGGATGTGCTACAAGTGAGAAAATTAAGCAAGTTATTTCCTGCTCATTTTTCCTTTTCAGTTTTTGGTTTTGTTTTGTTTTGGTTTTTTTTTTTCCGTTAGCCTTGCTTTGCTTTTGTATCCTGAGACCTTGTGGATCCACCATTCCCAGCCCATTCTGTTGTCCCTCCCGCCACAACAGGAAAAGACACTGTGTCGTTTCAGTCCTGATTACATTTGCCAATATATTTTTTGATTTCCATTTTACTTTCAATGTTTTTCATTCACATCAAAGATGATGAGACAGAATCTACAGAAACATCTGTCCTGAAAAGTCACCTGGTTAATGAAGTTCCTGTCCTAGCCAGTCCGGACTTGCTCTCTGAAGTTTCTGAGATGAAACAAGATTTGATCAAAATGACCGCCATCTTGACCACAGATGTATCTGATAGGGCAGGTTCTATCAAGGTGAAGGAGCTGGTGAAGGCTGCTGAGGAAGAGCCAGGAGAGCCTTTTGAAATTGTTGAAAGAGTTAAAGAGGACTTAGAGAAAGTGAATGAAATCCTGAGAAGTGGAACCTGCGCGAGAGATGAAGGCAGTGTGCGAAGGTCTCAGTCGGAGAGAGAATTAGAGGAAGAGGAATGGGTGATTGTCAGTGATGAGGAAATAGAGGAGGCTAAGCTAAAAGCACCTTTAGAAATCACTGAATACCCATGTGTAGAAGTTAGAATAGATAAAGAACACAACGTCAAAGTAGAGAAAGACTCAACTGGGCTAGTGAACTACCTTACTGAGGATCTAAATTCCTATGTGTCTCCTCATGAAAGGTCACTGCAGACAGTTCAAGAGATAGCAGGGGAGAAACGTGAGGCTCTGGCTACTGGCAGGAGCTCTGAAAATGAAGGGAAAGATGCAACCCCAGATGAGACACAAAGTGCACAGAAACAGCACAAACCGAGCCTGGGAATAAAGAAGCCAGTGAGAAGGAAATTAAAAGAAAAACAAAAACAAAAAGAGGAAAGTGTACAAGGTAGTGCAGAAAAAAGTGAACTTAAAAAATGTAGTTCAGAAGAGTCATTAGATGAAGATGCAGGTTTAGCCCCCGAGCCCCTTCCCACTGTAAAGGCCACTTCACCTTTGATAGAAGAAACTCCCATTGGTTCCATAAAGGACAAAGTAAAGGCCCTTCAGAAACGAGTGGAAGATGAACAAAAAGGTCGAAGCAAGTTGCCAGTCAGAGTCAAAGGTAAGGAAGATGTGCCAAAAAAGGTAACCCACAGGACACATCCAGCTGCATCACCCTCTCAGAAGTCAGAGAGGCATGTACTGGCATCACCCTCCTCTAAAACAGAAAGACACTCTTCTCTTTCCTCCTCTACAAAAACTGAGAGGCATCCTCTGGTATCACCATCAAGTAAAGCTGAGAAGCACTCACCTGTGTCCCCCTCTGCAAAAACGGAAAGGCATTCCCCTGTGTCATCAAGTAAAACCGAGAAACACTCACCTGTGTCACCCTCGACAAAAACGGAAAGGCACTCCCCTGTGTCATCTACAAAAACAGAAAGACACCCACCTATTTCACCTTCAGGTAAAATGGACAAACGCCCACCTGTATCGCCCTCTGGGAGAACGGAGAAACATGCACCAGCATCACCTGGGAGAACAGAAAAACGCTTGCCTGTGTCACCAGCTGGACGAATGGAAAAGCATCCACCTGGATCAACCTCTGGGAAAACTGAGAAGCACCTGCCTGTGTCGCCTTCTGGGAAAACAGAAAAGCTACCACCTGTATCCCCCACCTCAAAAACAGAAAGAATTGAGGAGACAATGTCTGTCCGGGAGTTGATGAAAGCTTTCCAGTCAGGTCAGGACCCATCTAAACATAAGACTGGACTCTTTGAGCACAAGTCAGCAAAACAAAAGCAGCCACAAGAAAAAGGCAAAGCTCGGGTAGAAAAAGAAAAGGGGCAGATGCTAAACCACAGAGAAACACAGAAAACTGAGAGTCAGACGATCAAACGAGGCCAGAGATTTGTGGTAACAGGAGTTTCCGAATCCAAAAGAGCAGTCCGTGCTTCCTCCGTAGGGTTTAAGAGAGAAGATCTAGTTATAGAGAAGGCGAAAGCTCTTAGCCACAAAACACCTGAACCCGTTCAGTCAGCACCAGAAGAAGAAAGCCATAAAGAGAGTGAAGTTCCCAAAGAAAAGCTGACTGATGAACAGGGAGACATGGATCTCCAGATCAGCCCAGACAGGAAAACCTCCACTGACTTTTCTGACGTCATTAAGCAAGAATTGGAAGACAATGACAAATACCAACAATTCCGAATGAGTGAAAAGACAGAAGAAGTACAGCTTCACTTAGATCAAGTACTTACTAGTCCTTTCAACACAACATTTCCACTAGATTACATGAAAGATGAATTTCTCCCGGCTCTGTCTTTACAAAGTGGTGCTTTGGATGGCAGTTCTGAGAGCCTCAAGCCTGAAGGGGTGGCAGGTTCTCCATGTGGCAGCCTGATGGAAGGGACCCCTCAGATTAGTTCCGAAGAAAGCTATAAGCATGAGGGCCTCGCAGAGACCCCTGAGACGAGCCCAGAAAGCCTTTCTTTCTCACCGAAGAAAAGTGAGGAGCAAATTGGGGAAATAAGCGGAACGACCAAGTCAGAAACACCAACAGCAGTTCCTTCAGAAAAAGACCATCCCTCAATCAAAGACATCACTGATGGTTCTGAAGAGCAAGGTGCCATAGTCACTGAAGGCACGGAGTCCTCAGCTGAGTGTTTGCTGAAGGAGGCCACCCTAGACCCTTCCAAAGATACATGCCCCGAGCAAGAAGATGATTCCCTTGGCAGCTGTAGTGTGTTACTAGCAAAAGAAACACCCAAAGGATTGACTGCGGAAGCATTCTCTGATGAGGGTCAACTTACGAAAGTTGGTTCAGCCCACAAAACCCACACTGATACTGAAGCTCAGAAATCCACAACCACTGAGCCCTCAGATGAGACAAAGGCTTCTCCACGGCCCGAAGCTTGTGTAAAGACAGGCATAGGAACTGAATCAAAGCCCCAGGGAGTTGCTAGAAGTCCCCAGGGGTTAGAACTTGCACTCCCTAGCCGAGATAGTGAGGTCCTCAGCCCTGGTGCTGATGAATCCTTTGCAGTGAGCCACAGAGACTCCCTGGAAGCCAGCCCTGTGCTGGAGGATAACTCCTCACACAAAACGCCGGATTCTCTGGAGCCAAGTCCTCTGAAAGAATCCCCTTGCCGTGACTCTCTTGAAAGCAGCCCTGTGGAACCAAAGATGAAGGCTGGAGTTCTCCCAAGTCACTTCCCTCTTCCTGCAGCCATAGCCAAAACAGAACTCTTTACGGAAATGGCCTCTGTGCGGTCTCGGCTGCTCCGAGACCCGGACGGCAGTGCCGAGGACGACAGTGTTGAGCAGACGTCACTGGTAGAGAGCTCAGGGAAGAGCCCCCTTTCTCCTGACACCCCCAGCTCAGAAGAAATTAGCTATGAGGTCACACCCAAAGCCACAGATGCAAGCACACCCAAACCAGCTGTAATTCATGAATGTGCAGAGGAGGATGACTTGGAAAATGGGGAGAAAAGGAGATTCACACCTGAAGAGGAAATGTTTAAAATGGTAACCAAAATCAAAATGTTTGACGAACTTGAACAAGAAGCAAAGCAGAAAAGGGACTACAAGAAAGAACCCAAGCAAGAAGAATCTTCTTCATCCTCTGACCCAGATGCTGACTGTTCAGCAGATGTGGATGAACCGAAACAGATGGAGAGTGTCGAGGATGAAAGCGATGTCCCTGTGGTAGTAACATCGGAGAGCAGAAAGGCTTCTTCCTCCTCCGAGAGTGAACCTGAGTTGGCACAGCTGAAAAAAGGTGCTGATGCAGACCTCTTACCAGAGCCAGTTATTCGGGTGCAGCCTCCTTCCCCACTTCCATCCAGCGTAGACTCCAATTCTAGTCCTGAAGAAGTACAATTTCAACCCATTGTTTCCAAACAATACACTTTCAAAATGAATGAAGATAGTCAAGAAGAGTCAGGTAAATCAGAAGAAAAAGATCGTGAATCCCATGTACCTGAAGAGAGTCCTACCGTTTCTACTAACGGCCCAGATATGTCTTATGATGATCTGAACGGAGATGCTGAGCAACCAGAAGTCTGTGAAGGCCATAGGTGTGGGACCGGAAGTCCCAGCAGCTCAGTCACTCCTATACCTTCAGGTCTCTACAGCTCCCCCAGGGAAGATGCCAACGAGCAGCTAGCTATCCATGAGGAATCAGTACCTCTGCAAGACACTGATGAAAAAGACACCAAAGGAGAAGAGCTTGATGTTTCTCGAGTGGAATCTCTACAGGTAGATTGCCCCAGTGAAAGCTCTTCATCTTTGTCCTCCTTGCCTCACTGTCCAGCCTCTGAAGGACAAGAATTAGATGAAGACATATCCCCTCTCTCTTCTGCTACAAAAAGGGAGGACACCAAAACCAACCAGGCTTTTGAGAGCTTACCGAAGGACTATGCCACTCAAGACTCACCGATTACTACTCAAACAGATAAATTGTACATGGATGTTCCAGTGTCTGACCCGGCTGAGACTGATGAAATCTACGATCCTCAAATAATAAGCCCTTATGAAAATGTTCCTTCCCAATCTTTTTTCTCCAGTGAAGAAAGCAAAACCCAAACGGATGCAGGACACACAAGTTTTCACTCTTCGGAAGTGTGTTCTGTTACCATCACATCCTCTGTTGAAGACGTGGTGGTAACCAGCTCCTCCAATAGAACTGTTTCAAGCCAAGAATCTAATTTTGAGGACCAAAACATGGAAAAAGAATCCAAACAAGAAAGCACCTCATGGGAAAAGCAATCAGATCAAGCCCCTTCATCTTTAGAGCCTTCTGTACCGAATACATCAGCAGTTGTTAGTGACCAAATCAGCAAAGTCATCATCACAAAAACTGATGTGGATTCGGATTCCTGGAGTGAAATCCGTGAGGATGATGAAGCCTTTGAAGCTCGAGTGAAAGAGGAAGAACAAAAGATATTTGGTTTGATGGTAGACAGACAATCACAGGGTACCACCCCTGACACCACTCCGGCAAGGACCCCAACTGAAGAGGGGACCCCAACCAGTGAGCAAAACCCATTTCTCTTTCAGGAAGGAAAATTGTTTGAGATGACCCGAAGTGGTGCCATCGATATGACCAAAAGGTCCTATGCCGATGAAAGTTTTCACTTTTTCCAAATTGGGCAAGAATCCAGGGAAGAGACTCTCTCTGAAGACATGAAAGAAGGGAGTCCTGGGGCTGAGCCCCCACAACGGGAGACATCAGCTGAGTCACTAGCTCTCTCAGAATCAAAAGAAACAGTGAGTGAGGAAGCATACTTAATTCCAGATGACCTGAGTGAGGAAGCAGAGGAAATACCTGCTTCAGATGCTCAACTTAACACCCACATGGGGAACTCAACCTCCATTGAAACATCACCAAAAGAGGCTCTTTCTGAAGGTGCTGAGGACCTCCCCACCACACAAATGGGTGATACGCCTCCTAAATCTAGTGTGAAAGATCCATCTTGCCCTGACCCCCCTGAATCAGTTGTACACATTCAGTTAGATTTTTCCGCAGTTACCAGGTCTGTGTATTCAGATCGGGAGGATGATTCTCCTGATTCTTCCCCAGAGGAACAGAAATCAGTAATTGAAATCCCTACTGCACCCATGGAGAATGTGCCTTCTACTGAAAGCAAATCCAAAATTCCTGTAAGGACTATACCCACATCAACCCCAGCACCCCTATCCGTGGAGTATGAGAGTTCCCTTTCTGAAGATTTCTTACCCAGCCTGGATGAGGAAAGTAAAGAGGATGAAACAAAACCAAAGTCTAAAATCCCCGTGAAAGCCCCTGTCCAAAGAGTAGAGCAGCAGCTTTCACATCTAGATTCATCTCTCCAGAAAATAGTGGCTCCTCAGGGTCAGGACATGACAAGCAGAACACCAGATAGTGGAAGCAAATCTGAATCTGATGCCAGTGCTTTGGACTCAAAGACCAAATGTCCAGTAAAAACCAAAAGTTACACTGAGACAGAAACAGAGAGCAGAGAGAGGACAGAGGAGCTGGAGTTAGAATCAGAAGAGGGGGCCACCAGACCAAAGATATTTACATCCCGATTGCCAGTTAAGAGCAAAAGCACCACATCTTCCTGCAAAGGCGCTGTGAGCCCTACAAAAGAAAGTAAGGAGCATTTCTTTGACCTTTACAGGAACTCCATAGAATTCTTTGAGGAGATTAGTGATGAGGCTTCCAAGTTAGTGGATAGACTTACACAGTCAGAAAGGGAGCAAGACTTAGTTTCAGATGATGAAAGTAGTAGTGCCCTGGAAGTTTCAGTAATTGAAAATCTGCCACCTGTTGAGACCGAGCATTCAATTCCTGAGGACATCTTTGACACAAGGCCTATTTGGGATGAGTCCATTGAGACTCTGATTGAACGCATCCCTGATGAAAATGGCCATGACCATGCTGAAGGTATTTGCCAGCCACTGGGATTCCCTGTGCTACGCATGTCATAAATTTGATATCGTTTTTTTGTATATCTTTTATTTGGTGATCTGTGTCTCATTTTCTTTAAGCTTTCTGTAGTGGTTACTGTGTTTGTTTAAGGCCTTTGTGTTTCGTGCTTTCTCTGTGTACTCTTGTCTATGAAAACAATCTCAAGATTGAGTAATGAGAATGCTTATGGAAGACATAAACATGATAAACAGGCAATGGTGATCTTGCCTTTCTCGAGCCGCTGCACGTCAGGCCATGCAAGCTTTGAGTTTTGTTGTTCTGGAGTCCCAGGCTTAGCCTCAAATTAAGCACTTTTGCTTTTGCACATGAATATGTTGGGCTTTGTTTCATATGGTAAGGATTCATTGCTTTTCCTTCTTACCTTTAAGTATTTTAAAATAATTTGTACTCAATAAATTTGTAATCATTAGGAAGCCATTTGCCCAAGAAGATTTCACATTATCCCAAAATACCAATTGTTGTGGATCTGTTTTTGATTCAGAAGGTTGGATCTCAGAGACCACTGGTAAACACTTGAAGCAAACAACTATAAGGCCAAAAAACCCCATGCTTTTTGTTTTAGTGTTAGGTGAATGGAGAATGTACTCCGATTAGGTGCAGCAGACAACAAAAACTCAAACTTTGCATGATGTAAGTGACCGGGAGAGGATGATGACCCTTTGAATTATAAAAAAGGAAACCATAGATGGCTTTGAGAAGTAGCCTCTGGTCTTCCAATATCTCTACAATAAAGACTATTATTCTTAAATTTGTGTCGTAAGTTGTCATGATGCCTAAAATGCTGCCTATCAATTAATGGGGGTTAAAAACCAATGGGAAAATTATAGTTTGTGGGAGTAATATATAAGCTTACTTAGTAGTAAGTAGACTGAAATTTCACACAAAAGACACCTATACCTATTGACACAATAGACACAAATACATATGCCTTTATCCTCCCTTCTTCCAAGGTCACCAGGACCAAGGAAAATGTTTCTGGCCAGACTGAAAAAATCCCAGGATGGCCTGATTAACCCATGATCTATGTCTCTTATGAATCTTGGATGTGATTTCTTTTTAGACATGACCTGGAAGTGATCTATGCTGCCACAGGCAATAACAGGAGATCCTAACCAGTTACTCCACTTCTGCATCCCATTTATGATTTTTCCGGTTTTTGATGAACAAGATGATTGTCTTCTGGTGGGCAGTATTCTCTCAGATAATTTAAAAAGAAAATCCTAAGATTGCTAGAAATCAGCAACTTATATGTCCAGTGACTAGTCTTGATTAAAGAGATATGGAAGCAATTGGTTTTCGTGATTTATAATTAAATTGATTCCCCATTCCATTCCAGAAACCAGGCAAACACACAATTTAAAATGATTTGAAATATAATAGCTAATTTGTGCTATTATTAAATATTTGGACAAGTGACTTCCTTTCTTTGGATGAGTACTGTGGTTGCTCTCCTGTCATAGACAACCTTTGGCCATTCTGTTTTTGACCTGTAGATCAACAGGATGAGCAGGAACGGATCGAGGAAAGGCTGGCTTATATTGCTGATCATCTTGGCTTCAGCTGGACAGGTAAAATTAGTGTGACTCATTTTCTCAAGAAAACTTGCTTTGTTTAAGTAACACAATTGCATTAGCCAAGTGTCATTAACAATGAAAAGGTTTTTTTTTTCTTTCTTTCTTTCTTTCTTTCTTGAGGAAGGCCATGTGGAATAGTGAAAAGAATAATAAACTCTGAACTAGAAAATCCAGGACAGGCCTTTTATTATCTCTGGAATTTAGAAAAATAGAACTTTAAATTGGGGGACTTTGAGAATATACCAGATGTCACTGTCCTCCATTGGGAGCTATGGATATCCAAACTTTGAGGGGATTACTATGTTTCAAAATCACTCTTAGGTGTAATTGTCACAGAATTTAGTTGGAGATTAAACCTAGAGCTCCTTATTTTAGATACCTTATATCAGATATCTTCATTGTAAATAGTACTAAAATTTGCCTTGGATGCATGTTGAAATACATATGAATAAGACGTTTCACTAATTTTCTGAGAAATTAGGATATTTAAGTATAAAAATTATAATGTATGTAAAATTATTTTAAAAAGTGAATTATAAAATCAATATGATGAATAGAAATCCATAAGACCCTTAACAAAGATAATTAATAACAGAGCAGAAAGAATAGTCATTTCCTCACTTTTAAACATTTTGAAGTAGTTGTTAAATACTGATCAGGTTTTTTTAATTGACGGATTTAGGAGAAGAAAGGACATCAAAATATCCCTGATTGACTAATTAAATAGATGACATTCAGAATTATTTATTTCTTAAGTATGTGTGTGTTTGTGTATAAAACGTAATATCTATATACTTGTTGAAAATTCAAACCCCACAACCATACAGAATGGTATAAAATTACAAGTGTATGTGCTCGCTTCAGCAGCATATACACTAAAAGTGTAAATAAGTTTCTTTTACCTGCATCTGGTCTTCAAGCTTCATGCCTCAAAAGTAACTGCTTACACTTTCTCGTGTATTCAGAAAAAATAGGCCGTACCCACATCTATGTGTACTATTTAAAAATAAGCACAATTTTCCTCAATAATATTCCCTGTGAATATTCCATCAGCATAGACATATCTATCTCATTCTTTGAAATGTCTATTTAGTTTTACTGTGTGAAAGTATCATAATTTTTTTTAAAGATTTTATTTATTTATTTGACAGAGGGAGAGACAGCGAGAGAGGGAACACAAGCAGGGGGAGCGGGAGAGGGAGAAGCAGGCTCCCCGCCGAGCAGGGAGCCCGACGCGGGGCTCGATCCCAGGACCCTGGGATCATGACCTGAGCTGAAGGCAGACGCTTAATGACTGAGCCACCCCGAAAGTATCATAATTTTATCAGTGGCCTTTATTGCTGGACATTTAGGTTGTTAATGACAAACATCCTAGTGCATGGTGTATTTTCATGAGTATCTCTATAGGGCATATTAATAGAAGAAGAATTGAATATCTGGATAAAGGGTATGTGTATTTTTAATTTTGAAAGATATTGGCCAATTGCCATCCAAAGAGGACTTATTTACACACACACACACACACACACACACATATGCACACCACAGTGTATAAGTGTCCATGTACAATGTTAATGGTAGACTTTAAAGGAAAATTTTGTGGCTTTTTCCCTAGGTCAATTAATGCTTCCCAGAGCTTTTATTCAAGTGACATCAAATTAAAGACAGGAGCTTATCCAACCAACGTAATATAACCACAGCCAGTATTTATCCAAGTATCCAGAAATAGGATTTACAGTACCTAAAATGTTAGTTAATGATGATTGAAAGTGAGAAAGTCTGTTACTTCTGTTTTCAGTCATTTATTTTCCATTATCTTGGTTAAGAGTATAAGCCTGTGTTAATGGTCCAGTCTGCATTTTGGAATTAAATGGGCCTGAATTATACATGTTTTATCATCCGTTGCGTCAAACTTAGTGTTTCCACTGTGAACGTGATCAATTCTATACCCAGTTTTAAGGAGAACATCCACAATTAGGGCTAGAAGAGCAAAGGCATCTTGAGAGTTACTTCTAATACGTAGGGGGGGAAATGAACCCTATTACAGCAATACAAAGAATGCATCATTTACAAAATCACAGAGCCAGGTGTGGAGACTCGAACTTCGAAGTTCAGGTGTTTATGGAGTCGTATTTTCTTTTCTAGAATTAGCAAGAGAACTGGATTTCACTGAGGAGCAGATTCATCAAATTCGAATTGAGAACCCTAACTCCCTCCAAGACCAGAGCCATGCGCTATTGAAGTACTGGCTAGAAAGGGATGGCAGGCAAGCTACAGGTAGGTGGGGAGCTCTGTGTGAAAAGCATTAGGCTAAAGGTTGAGCTGTAAGTCTTGCTCAACAAGCCCTTTCCTGCAAATTCAGTAAAACAATAAAATAACGAATGCCATCAATCTGAAATACTGCTGCAAGCAAATGAGAACAAGCTATGACATTTCTAAAATATGCATCTTGCATAACAATTCTTACACTATATTCCCATGAACATTGTCAATTAAGGGAAACCCCGGCTGCTAACAGGAATGTTATTAAAGTCCTAAAATTTTCAAAATATTGCGAGTGGACACCGTTAGTTTGTCATTGTTTTATTGGTAGTGCATTGCCTTCAGTTCCTACTTCCTTTACTCCTAAATAACGTAAATGAGGGAAAGATGTCATGTAGATATTCTTTATAATGATTTGTATGTAATATTCTGACCACATCAAATCAAATGAGAAGTGATAAAGACCATTACTTTGTCTCATTCTTCAGCTAGTCTAAATTTGCTACTTCCTTTTATGTCTCTCTGAAGATCTACCTATAGACCTCCTTTATTTACATCCAGTCTACATTTGCCCTTTCTTCTCTTGCCATTCTTCTAGGTAGGATTGCCAGATTTGGCAAATAAAACTAGAGGGCACCCAGTTAAATTTCAGAGAATCAACAAATAGTTTTTGATTTTATTTTTTTAAAGATATTATTTATTTATTTGCAGAGAGAGATAGCGAGAGCAGAAACACAAGCAGGGGGAGTGGGAGAGGGAGAAGCAGGCTTCCCGCCGAGCAGGGAGCCTGATGCGGGGCTCGATCCCAGGACCCTGGGATCATGATCTGGGCCGAAGGCAGCTGCTTAACGACTGAGCCACCCAGGCACCCCAACAAATAGTTTTTTAGTACAAGTACACTCCATGTGATATTTGGGATATACTTATACTTTAAAATTTGTTTGCTTGTTTTATCTGAAATTCAAATTTGACAGTGTCCTATATAATATCTGGCAACTCTACTTCTAGGGCCGATGCCTATGCTGTCCCACCTTTTTATGCATATATCTTTCCTATTTGCTTATTTTTTACAAAGACCTTTAATTAAGCTTTGTTTCCTCTACAAATATCAAATTTTAGTAAGGCAGCTAAATGAAAGAGGTCTTAAAAAGAGTACCCCTCAAATGTAATAAATGCATTTTCTCTAATATCCCAGATACCAATCTCATTGAATGTCTCACCAAGATCAACCGAATGGATATTGTTCATCTCATGGAGGCCAGCACAGAGCCTCTCCAAGAGCGCATCAGTCATAGCTATGCAGAAATTGAACAGACAATTGCACTGGATCATAGTGAAGGTCAGACAACTGGGGTGTGTGGGTGTGTTGTAGCTGTGGTTAATTCGGGCAACTGGACCAAATCTTCCCTTTTTTTAGAGGGTGGTCTATGGACTTCGGTGATCACACATTTTTCTCATTTTATAGGTACCCATACTGCTCATTCTTGGTTATTTCACCATTGTCCTAACCATTTGGGACTGCTATAACAAAATGCCATGAACTCGGTGGCTTAAACAAGAGAAATTTATTTCTCACAGTTCCAGAGAATGGAAGTCAGAGATCAGGATGACAGCATAGGATCTGGCAAGGGCCCTCCTCTGGATTGCAGATGGCTGTCTTCTTGCTGTGTCCGCACATGGGGGAAAGAGAGCTAGCTAGAGAGCTCTTCGGCCTTTTCTTTTTTTTTTTTAAGATTTTATTTATTTATTTGATAGAGAGAGAGACAGCGAGAGAGGGAACACAAGCAGGGGGAGTGGGAGAGGGAGAAGCAGGCCTCCTGCTGAGCAGGGAGCCCGATGCAGGGCTCGATCCCAGGACTCTGGGATCATGACCCGAGCCGAAGGCAGACGCTTAACGACTGAGCCACCCAGGCGCCCCTCTTCGGCCTTTTCTTATCAGGGCATTAATCTCGTTCCTGAGGGCTCTACCGTCATGACCTAGTTACAGCCCAAAGGCACCACCTCCAAATATTACCACATAGGGATTAGGTTTCATCATATGAATTTTAAGGGGATAGAAACACTCAGTCATAACAACATGGATGACCTATCCAGTGCCCTTGCCTTAGTTCCTGGATGGCACTTCTGATACTTGTGCCTTGTATTCTACGTTAGCTACCCATTTCAGTGGTCACAACCAAGACTGTATCATTACCACTGACTATACTACTCCTGCATCCTAACTTGAAGCATTACACTTACTTCCTCTTTTGCTTCCACACCAACAATTCTGCAAACCCACCGGGACCTCCAGCCATTGGTCCTACCACCTTTTCAGCACTAAAATTTCTCTAATCCATTCTCATTTATTCACATGCTCATTCACTCTCTTTCTTCTTCTCTCTCATCTCTATTTTATACCGAGAATTCTCTTCTTCTTTCCAGCCTCCAACATTTTTCTCTTCTCCTTATTCAAAGCTGATGACCAAGCTTCATATTTCTTAGAAAAAATAAGAATCGTCTGAAGCAAATGTCCATATTCTTTCACAAAATCTACCAACCTAAGTGCATCTCAGTGCCTATACTCTTCCTTCCCTCTGCTATGAAATGTCTTTGCTAAAATCATCATCTCTTCTTTTGTCCTGGATCTCATCCCTTTTTATCCAATTAAGGACCTCACTGCTGTAGTTGTCCTCTGTGGCATCCTACAACTAGACCATGCTCAACAGCACGAAAACATGCTTTAATAGAGCCCATCTTGAAAAACTACACAAAGCAACTCCTTACACTCCATACTCCTCCCTGTATGATTGTTCTGTTTCTCCATTCATTTTATAGAAAATCTCTTCAAAAATATAGTCTAAATTTCCTGTATCTGCTTCAGGTCTTCCTGTTCTCTCTAGAACTGTCTCTAGAATCCATGCCAGTCAGTCTTTTGTCATCACCACCCAACAGAAAACAATCTCATAAAATTCACCAAGTATTTCCTCATTGCCAAATACAGTGAGTAATTTTTCAGTCTTCACCTCATGTGCCCCTTCGTAACATTTGACCAAAAAAATTAATCTCTTCTTAAAATGTTTTCTTCACTCACTTTCCATGATACCCTCCCTTCATGTTTTTTTCCCTCTATTTTACTGGCTATTCTTTCTCAGTTTCTTTCTGTGGCTTCTTTTCCTCGATTTAAATGATGGTGTGTCTTACTGTTCGGTGAAGGCTTGTCCTATCTCCCATCTCTCTCCTTCTTTTATAAATCCCAGAGACCTTTCCTCCCTGCTGTTCACTGGGTACCCTGTGCATTCTCAGGCTTTGGGGCTCTGCTACTTTTTGTTAACTCCACTCTAGAGTGTTCTTCTCTCAGAGCGTCAATACCTTTTTCTCTCACTTACTTCAGGCCTCTGCTCAAAATCATCTCCTAATAGGACTCTTTCCTGACCAATCTATCTAAAATACTAGCCCTATTTGCTCTATACTTTTACCCTGGTTTCTTTTTCTCAGAAAATCTATCATAAATACATATCTGCAGAAATAAAAGTTCAGCGAGGACTTTATCTTGTACACTGCTATGTGTCTAACATCTAAACAGCACCTACTATGTAGCTGATGATATAGATCTGTTGAGTGAATAAATTAATAGATGAATGTCAGTCCTTTCTCTGCTAAAAATTTTTCAGTGGCTCCTCATTGCCTTGGATATAATAAAATTCCTTAGCCTGGCTTGAGAGACCCTCCATAAAGAGGGTACTTACCTCAGAGCGTTGTTAATACAACTTAATACTTGCAAAACACCTAGAACAGTGCCTGACACATAATCAGTATTTAGAATATATTAGCTATTATTATTCTTAAGCTCTAATTCTTCTCACCACTTACAGTGTATGCTTCAGTACCTCAGTCGATGCGTCCTTGTCATCAGGCCGCCTTAAAATGTCACACCCTCTGCATTTCCTTTCCTAATTCTTTAGCCCTGAGTTGGGTGCCCCTGCGTTCATTGGCTGGCACTGTGGCCCGGTCACTCAGCATTTTAATAGACTCTTACTTGCCTGAGATTCGCTCCGCTAGATGATCTGCATCTTGAAAGTCAGCTGTGTTGCCATGGATCTATCACAGGATGTGGCACATTAATAGTTACTTAATAAATATCCATTTAATGTAAATGAGCTTTGATTAAATACTCAATTCAAATTGTTTTCCCCCATAGGGTTCTCAGTCCTTCAGGAGGAGCTAAGCACTGCACAGCATAAGCAGAAAGAGGAGCAAGCTGCTTCTAAAGAGAGCGAGTCCTGCGATCACCCTCCCATTGTCTCAGAGGAAGACATTTCTGTTGGTTATTCCACTTTTCAGGATTACATCCCCAAAGCTGAGGGGGACAGCTCAGCAACAGAGCTCTTTCCCCAAACTCACAAGGAGCAAGTTCAACAGGATTTCTCAGGGAAAATGCAAGACCGGCCTGAAGAGTCATCTCTTGAGTGTCAGCAGGAGTACTTGTGAGTTTCGAAAGAAAGCCTGTCAAATGTCATTCCAAGAAACAAGCCAGTAGGACAAGAGTGCCAGGCGTATACCGTTGGAAATTGTTGTCAAATAACCCCACCAATAACAAGGGCCAGAACTACAGACAAAGAGCAAAAGATTTGAGACATAATTGTGACCGCATTGTGTGGGAGATCTGCTTGAACCAACTTCCAGTTCTGTGACCTTGGGCAAGTCCCAAAGCCCTTTTGGTTTCTGTTTCCACATCTCTAAATTATAGTAATTTATACCCCCTATTCATCTCATAGGGTCACAGGTCAAGGATGTGCCCATGAAAGCATTGTTTCAGCTATAAAATTTCACGTGGACCTCACTCTTACTGCTTCTAAGAGTCCTGCCCCTCACTTCTCTGTGATGCTCTGATATGTGCTAGTTGTCCTACAGCTCGTTCAGAGTGTGAACAGTGACAGGTGAAGAGTGTAGGTGATAGGGGAAACAGCCCTCAGTGTATTTCACCAAAGCGATGGGGTGCCTAACAGTACAATTGGAAACACAGCACAGATTATTCATACAGAATGAAAGACCATTAAAGTGAGGTGGGATGCGGTCAGAGTGGGAGTAAAGGGAAGTTTTCCAGAAAGCTTCTGGCTAAAGGAAGCTACTACAGAGCAGGCAGCTCAGAACTCAAGTTCTGGGCTTTATAGAAGCAAAGGAGAAAGAGAGTTGTTTAAATGGCACTTGTTATTTAGAGAAAGAAAGTAGATCGTGCAAAAGGCAAATGCATCCCCAGCCCTGGAATCTGAGAATAGTGTGTCAGGAGATTACATCATAGCATTTCTCTTGTCATTAAGTGAGCTTTGTGCTGGGGTCACTGGAACTTGAGAAGAGGGTGAAATGGGTAATAAAATCATCTCTTTTTCCACTGAGCCACCTACCAACTACCTTTAGGTTTTAGGGGAGAGCAGAAAGAAGAGAGAAAGAAAAAGGAAAAGGTGGGAAGCAAAGAGGGCATATCAATTTGGGCACTTAATATCTATGGAGTGACAGAAATTTGCAATAAGTTAAACAGAAAAAGCAGAGAATTTTCTTCCTTAGAAAATGAGGTTACAAAGATTGCCTTGGAGTAACTCCAAACTATATCAGTAGAAAAAGTTTTAACCAGGTCTTTCCATCAAGTAATACAGTTTTCCAGAGGTATAATAAGACTCTCCATATTTACAATTATGATAATGATATTAACATGGGGTTTTTAGATTGGTTTCTAGAAATTTTCCCCAAACTGATTCTTGCTTTGAAAGCCTTATTATCTACAGATCTTTGTTATATAAACCTCCTCAAATCTTCAAGATCACCTTGAGTTATCAAAGAAAAGATGAATTTATAATTTATATACTTTGTAGAGATTAGGAAATAGTAATACATTTTGGGATAATTTTTATCTTTAGAATACATCTTTCCCAGTCAATGCTAGATCATTGATTTGTAACTCTATATGATATCTTACATCTGATTTTTATTCAACTTTCATTTCTTGGCCACATTTACAAAAGTTATTTTGACTTCCATGGGCCATGAGATAAATTCCATTTTTCCTTCTAATTCCCTTGCTTCGGCAGGAGGAGAAATGCATATGCTCTCATGGTATAGCTTGGCTTTTCCATTTCAGTGTGACAACCCCAGGGACGGAAGTGTCAGAGACTCAAAAGGCTACGGCTGTATCTGGCTCTCCCAGCAAGACCCCTGAGGAAATTAGGACCCCTCCTGAGGAGGAGAGGCCATACCTCCAGACCCCAACATCTAGTGAGCAGGGAGACTCTCCCATCATACAAGAACCCGAAGAGCCCCCAGAACACGGGGAGGAGAGTTCTCAGAAAACCAGCCTTGTGATAGTGGAGTCTGCTGATGACCAGCCACAGGCCCTTGAAAGACTCGATGAAGATGCAGCTTTCCATAAGGTAAGAATCTCCTCCATTTCCTTGCCCATAGGCAGCAAAGCTACAAACCTTCCCCAATTTCCATTTCTCTGATGGCTTATTTTTTCTCTGAAAAAAATTAACCTGGGTCATGTGAACCCCTCAATCCCTTTTAAACCTGGGGACCAGAGAATCTAGAAAAAAAAAGATACACAGTCCAATTCTAGCTATTTGACCACGAGCCCTAATTTTACAATTGGAAAACTTTTTGCTGAGGAAAATGAACACTGGGGTGAAACAAGATCCCTGATGTGGCTTTTCAAAATTGATAATCATGGGCGTGCAGACTAGTGAGAGGGATTCACAGGGCCTCAGGTAAGTGCCGGCCGTGGCACCATGTGGGAGCCAGACTCTGGTTAGATCTGTCCGTGCTGGCAGGTGATGAGCAGGCAGACAGACTGTAGATTTCCAGTGGGGTTTACCTCCCCAGACAAATTTTTCTCGTTAAAGGAAAGGTTATTTCCAAAATAGACCTCCTTATGTCTATTTTAAGAATGACTTTGACAGAGGACCTGGTACCTAAACTTACTGCTGATTCAGAATGTCAGAATCCCTGACAGGGGTAGGAGCTGACATCAGTCACACTGTTTCCTTTGTCATTACGTGCGTTTTGATGTTGCGAAGAAGCGTGGAGACCATCTTAGAAATTCATTTAAGCCATTTATTCTCAAAGTGTATTCTAAACTGTTTATATTCCTCAGCATTAACGGCAGGGATTTGAGCCCTCCTCAGAGCTCCTGAATCGAAATGAACCTCAGAGAGGGAAGGGGGACCCAGCATGTGCATTTTAAATAACTCCCTAGATGATTCTCATGCACACACACAAAAAGGGCCAGAATCTGTTTGCATTAAACGTAATTTAACATAAATTATATATTTTTCCTTCTAGAATTCAAAAACATTTTCTACATCAAAGTGTTTTTAAAGCATTAATATATGTCTCAGTAGTGAAGAATGAGTTATATAAAAGAACTGAAACTTTTTGGGGAAACGAGTGATACAACTTATCTGTGGGCTTAAGGCCTACATTTATTTTTCTTCACTATGAGGATGACATCTGCTAGCAGGATTTGTCTAAAATCATAACTAGAATTAGGAGAGGTTCAGGCAAGTGAGAACTGTGTCCCAATTTTGGCAGTTATCTTAAATAATGAATTCATTCCATGAATGCAATTTTATTTTAAGTTTACCTTTGCACAGAATGATTCATCTCCCAAGTTCTTGGCTTAAATGAATTCTAGTAAAAATGTTTCAAAGATGCTATCTGAACCCAGAAGCCTAAGAATCCACTGGCTAAATGAAGTATAGATTTCAAACAGTTATTTGGATAATTCATTTATTTTTTCAATGCACATAAAAAATTTTTGATAAGTCCTTCTGTACTCCACTTTATACACAGGTCTGTTCCATTTATTCGTGATGAATATCCGATTATTTCTGTGATGCTTCCTATTTTGACCCTTAACTTCTCATGACCCTATCTTGAGGATCCAATTTTGGTCACTTTTCTTGCTGATCATATTTCTAAGCAGCAGATTCCTGAATGTATTTAAAGTATAATTTGGTTTAGATTTTACAGGTTTTAGCAGAAAAGCATATAGAAATACATCAGATATTTAAAAATATGTTGGAAAAAAATGTCATTGAGTTTTCTTTAAAAAAAAAAAAATCATCCTATTAGGAAAGAGTGATGTGATAGGATGCTCCCAAGATATATGTTCTAATCTAAAATTATGTTTTTAGCTCCATATCTGACTCTGGGCCAGACCCATAAAATCAGACTGGCCAGTGCATCTTAACTTCTCTGCAGAATGAGTCTGATGTTATTCATAGGCTGCCTTCTTTGGTGACAGAGAGGCGCTCTACTGGCTAGATAACAGCTATTCGGAAACTGTTTTAGCAGAAAGTTCTGCTACAGGCATAAGTTATTTCTCTACCTGTGGGTTAATCATTCCAAGCCTAAAGCCTGAGTGTCAATGGCTTATCAATGTTTTTTGTGCTACTTAAGTTCTGTGTTTACATCTGGTCATTTATCAGGACTTTAAGTCCAAGAAGTGATGTGGACAAGCTGTATATTTCTTCTGACAGATTTTGACAGATGGGCACTCAGACAGCTTTCAGAATTCCAGAATTTTCTTTTCATTCATTGAACAAAAAAACTATATTCTTATCGAAGTGTGAGACACACACCTGTTTGCCCTGCTGGCTTTTCCACCAAAGCCTCCAGGAATGAGACTTTCAGAAAACAAGTGTGAACTAAAGCAGAAACCAGTAGTGAAGACATTCCTTAGCATGTTAAACAAAACAATGCTTCCATGCTTCCACCAGGAGCTAACAGAGGAATTAGGTGAGCTGGAGACCAGCTCAGATGAGGAGGCGATGGTAACTACCAGGGTTGTCCGCCGACGAGTGATTATTCAGGTACCAGCTGTTACCTTACTGCACGTCCGGGACACTTCTGTCCCCATAACCTGTAGAGAGTGATGGACCTGGAGCAGTGAGGGCTTGGCATGCTCTTTAGGTAGTGCATGGCCATTCAAAGGCAGATCCCTAACTCTCCTAAGTTTGGTTTGTTAAAAACAATGCAGCGGTGATGACGGTGGCAGCCCGCCTCCAAGAGAACGAACAGCAAGAGCAAGAGCGCTTCCTCCTTCCGCCCACCTCACCTCGCTTGTCTGTTTTTGTTTGTGCGTTTGTTTTACACCTAACTGTGGTCCAGTTCTCCTAAGCATGTTATTACCCACCTTTTCTTTTTTTTTCTTTCTTTCTTTCTTTTAAACATACTACTCGACAGGACTTGGCATCTCCACAGTGCTTCCCAGTAGCTTCCTTCATTTTCTAACATGGTGCACCTTATAAGCCCTTGGGAGGAGTTTCTCAGAATTGTTGCCAAACACTGAGTGACCCTTTTTTCTCAACCATTTAGGGAGATGATATGCCTGACATACCCCCGGAAACAGTCACAGAAGAAGAATACATTGATGAGCAGGGACACACTGTGGTCAAGAAGGTACTATCCTAACATGGTTGATTTCGAAACTCCTGCTTAAAACGTATCTGTCCCTCGGTGCTGCCCCTCAAAAACAAGATCCATGAATAAAATATCTTTCAGGTCACTAGGAAAATCATTAGGCGGTACGTATCCTCTGATGGCACAGAGAAAGAGGAGGTTACAATGCGGGGAACGGCCCAGGGACCCATCAGCATTGAGGAAGGAGATGGCTATTCCAAAGTCATGAAGCGCATTGTATTAAAGAGTGACACCGAACAGTCAGAGGTAAGATCATCTGCTTCTCCAACCTGATTTTACGGAGAAGTGTGAAATGGAGTCGAAAGAGGTGGGTGTGACTGTTTACCCACATTGGCCCCACTGCTCCCCCTTATCTGGCACCCTGCTTTCAGTTTGCACATTCATTTTTTTCTTCATGATTTTGTGGCATTTTAAAACAACCACTGAGGAGATCTGTAGCCATTATACTCGTGATCTCTGTTTGGTCCTTCTTATTTCTGTTTTCTATTATGGTTGCATACGTACAACAGAAATCCAAAAGTCAAATTTTAAAAGGCCAGGATCCCATTGGCTGGCAAACAGTATGTCACAGGAAGCCCCCGCACAATTGTGTCCTGGGCAGCGTGGCAGCCTCTGTAGGGCCCTGTCGATCAATATTTGATATTTAACCTTGTGCATTTCAGAGTCACTAAAGCCAGGGTCCAGAAACTCCCTGGTCTATAGTTTTCTTTCTTTCCATTCTACTCTCTTTGAGGAATGTTTGCTCTCTATGACATATGATTTGTGACATCCTCACTGTTTTGCATTCATTCACATCCTCAAAATGTTGTTATTATGCACAAAGTTTCTCCAGAAATCTACTGTTTTGGTTTGTCATATCTTTGAGAGTTTCTCCTTTGGGGATTAATTTCATCTTCATAATGCCAAAACTATTTAAACGTGGAGGAAGGGTTCATCAATAGGCTGTTATGCCCGCATTGCACTGAGCAATCGGTTCTTATTCACAATACTTCCTGATGGTTTTTTGTTCACGTGACTCATGAGTGGTTGGTTTGGTCCTGTGTACATGGAGTTCATGACAGAGGCATTACCAACTGATTATAGGCTTTTTCTTTCTTTTTGTAACTGCTTCTCTTTTCCAAAATACTGTTTTCTGGAAGACTGGTATAAACCAGTGTAGGGTTTTGGTTTTTTGACATAGAAAAATTCATCACTGTGACCTTGTGGCAGTCAGAAACCGTGTATCATGTGTCCTTCATCCATTAGGTAACTTGGTCTGAGCCCAGCATTTTGTCCAGTACCTCACAATTTCAGGCTGAACCAGTGGAAGGCCGTAGAGTCAGCAAAGTTGTTAAAACAACTATGGTACATGGAGAGAGGATGGAGAAACATCTGGGTGATTCTAGTTTAGCCACTGATCTTCCTTCAGCCAAAGATGACTTTGAAGAGGTATAGAAGCATTATCACTTTTGTGTTTTCGTGTTGTGTATGTGTATTTTATGTTTGCTTTGTGTTTAAAAAGAAAATGGTTTATCATTATGTCATTCCATATATGTATTCGTGGAAGTGTGCAGAATAATTCAAGAGAGTAGAATTCCTGCGTGAATAACTTGTACAGTGAGGTAATGTTTCCACAACTTGTGGTATTCATCGTTATCACCTTAAATGCTTTTAAAAATCTAGATGACCTGGATTCACTTCAGCTGAATCAGAATCAGAATCTCTGGAATTAGGACATGATTGTACGTCTTGCTTGGAAGACCCAGAAGTGACTTCCCAATTAATAAGAGAAAGAAATAAATAGGTTGCAAATTGTCTTTACTAGCTAATATTCTCAAATATTTCCAAAGATTGGCATTAAAGAAAATTCAGTTTTATTTTAAACCTAGAAATAAAATAAGCATTTATAATTATTTAAGTTCTGATTTTCAGTAATTAGAAAATGGGTCCACAGTGACAGATCCACAGACCCTTACTAGGATTCAAAAATTCAAAAATTCTGAAAACCAAGACTTGTAGGTTAGTAGCAAGTTAATTTGGGAGTAAAATTTAATATGAACTGACATGGAGCTATTAGGACATGGAGGGGTTTTTAGTCCTACCTAGAGTGAATATTCACATGCTTTGCTTTTGATATATTTATGAGATTGATTACAGGATGCTGCCCCAACCCCTTCTGGGATATTAGAACATACAGTGTATATATCATATTACCTGTCTAAAATCCAAAAAGAAAAAATTCTGGATTCTGAAACACATCTGGCCCCAAGGGTTTTGACTAAGGGATTGTGGGCATATGCAAATATCTACAAAACATTTTTTGCTATTGAGACATTTTGAAGTTAAATTGTACACGTGTGTCCTCTTCTGTACCCACAGTATGCATTGAGATTATATATGAATGCATTGAGATATGAAAAGCATACCTTATTTAAATACTTTTAAGGAAAGTATCTTGCCCTTGGATAATCAGAAGATGAATTGTGTGAGTTGTACACTTCGGGCCTTATTCACTTGTTGCTTATTTTGCCTCTGATCGTTATATTTATCGGTAGAGTCTCCACTGGGGAAAGGAGGGTGAGATGAGGAGAAGATTAAAAGTCACTCAGTACAGATGTTATTTACCAGCATTTATAAAGCATTGTAGTCCATGTCCCTCACAAATAGGAGAAATTTAAATAAAACTCAATTCTTACACTTGATCCCGAAATTGTATTTATTTATCCTTTCAAGTATAGCTTTTTATACTTACTATTGATTAAGCACAGGAATAGATTATTTTTAAGTCTATGGTTTATGATGGGTTTTGTCCTGTTTTCTTTTTTCTTCAGGCTTTGAGTTATACAGGTAGCCACATGAAAGTGCACTTCCCCAGTTTAGTAGAGAATGAAATCCTGAAAGAGGATGGATCAATAATTAAAAGGTTTGGGTTAGCATGGGGTTATGCTTTGCCAACTAACACCTGAAATTTTTTTCCAATTTTAAGAAAAGAAAAGTAGCCCCTACATATACCCTAACATCCCTTGGGAACTTCCAACTCTCTCTGTATTGTACACTTTTGTCAAGTGGTAGATCTGTCAGTGTGTCCTACCGATAGTGTCCTCTTCATGCTTTGAAAGTAATAGCAAGGCTTGAGGAGAATGAGACACCTGTTTACACAATCACTCCTTGGACTTTAACAAGTCATCCATTTTGCTGAGGCCAGCTGAGGTGGGCTCTTCCACTGTGTTGATAGATTTGGGGCACATATGAAGAGGAATCTAATCAGCTGTTCACAAATTAATCTTGTGACCAGCTACCTTCAGCTCAATCTTAGCAAATCATAACTGTGTGGTACATGCTTTTGGGTTTTTTTTTTTTTTAACCTCCTTCTAAAAGCTTTAAGCTGTTTCATGATCCCGCATGTGAATGGCAAATAACATGAGCATGAGTTTGATATCCACAAACCTGAATGTACCTAGCAATGCTGAAACCAGGGACTCTACTAAGTTAAAGTGTCATAAAAGCAGTAAGCAGCTCACTTTTATACCTATGAAAGGGGACCAGCTCTGAAACTCTCTGGTTAGCCCGTCCCTGTTACCTATTTGATGTATGAACTTGAGAATCCTTGCCTCTTGCCTCATCTCCTGGCCCTTCTCTTTGGTCCTCTAGCAGCACCATGCTAATAAAGTGCCCTCCACTTCTCAGGGAAAAGACACAATGGAAATTCAAGTTACTATTGTGCTTTTCACTTCATTGTGAAGAAGAAAAAGATTGTCATTTATAGTACTCTACAAAGCTATTTTTAGCCTGTAGAACATAATAATTAGGAACAGTGAATTAAAGGTTCTGTCACAATTCCGCCCTCCAATCACATGGGAACAACAGCAGCAGCTAAGAATTTAAGAGTGTAATTGCTCAGAGAACTTTAAAAAATGCTACGTAAATTAAGGATAAAGTGCCTTTTATACTCTGAACTTTTAAGTCTTTTATTCAGTTACTCAGACAAAACCACATAAACCATGTACACACCCTAGCATCATGAGATTTTTAAATTGGAATACATTTAGAGACCAGTTAATCCAAAGTTCTCAGTTATAGCTGGTGAATTTGAAGCCAGGGACATAGACAACTCAATTAAATTCTATAGCTATTTAGTTCTGGAATGTATTTGTCATGTATAACACTTTTATCTTGTACGAAGACATTTTATCGTACCCACTGCCCCCCTGATCTACATAAGGGTAGATTCATTCCACTGCTTGAGTTATATGCATATGCATACTCATAAACACATTCATCTACACATATCTGCACAAAATATCAGGGTTTGCCCTGTGATAGAAGCTTATTGCCCGCCCCCCCACACACACACCAATTAATGAAGGCTTCTCTTAGCTCTTGGCAGAAATAATCAGATATTTGCCTTTTGGGAGAAGAAAAATATGGGTGCTGAATAGTTAGAAAAATATGATCTGGTTTCAATCATTGGAACCAAATTTGATGTTCTTATTAAGAGGAACAAATTTAGGGTGCCTCGGTGGCTCAGTCGGTTAAGCCTCTGACTCAGGTCATGATCTCAGGGTCCTGGGATTGAGCCCTGCATTGGGCTCCATGCTCAGCAGGGAATCTGCTTGAGGATTCTTTCTTCCTTTCTCTTCCCCCAACTCTCTCTCTCTCAAATAAATAAATAAATAAATAAATAAATAAATATTTTTTTTTAAAAAAAGGAACAAATTTAAGTTTGCTTTCAGATACAAAATAATTCATGTGGTATCAAAGGAAGGAAGAGAACAAGAGAACATGAGACAAGAAGGAAGGAGCCCAAAAGAAAGCTGAAAGTATTTTGGCTAATAGAACCCTTTAAAAAAAAAATCAGGATGATCTTCAATGCATGGCAGTGTTAGAAGGTAGAATAATGATAAGGACAGAACCTCCAGCTTCTTAACACTAGGAATCCATAAGAAAATTGCTGGGTAAAGTCACAAAAACTGCTCATTTCTTCCGTGGTTTTCAGTGAAGATGCATGGCATCATGGTTACAGATTCAGGCTCTGGAATCTTGGAGTCTTGGCCCCACTTCATACTAACTGTGTTATTTTGTATTTGGAGCATTGCTTAAAATCTCTGAGATTCATTTTCCTTATTCATTATAATAATAGTGCCTGGCACAGAAAAATGTTCACCACATATTTACAGAATGAGTAATTATACTTAGAAGTAGTGAGAAGAAGAGAGGGTGTACAAATTACAGCATAATCATTTTCAAGTAGGGAGATGGGAAAATGGTAGTACAAAATATCACAGAACATCAGAACCCCTTTTGTCGACTAATCACTATTCAGGAGGGAGCCAAGAAAGCAGCAGACTGTTCAATGGCATAGAAGACCAAAAATGGGCAAAGTCCATGGAGATCTGAGCAGATGGAGGAAGAATTTGTCTCTCGGTATTCTTTCTCTTTCCTCTCTCTTCCCCACCATCTCTAGATGAAGTTTTGACACCTGGGCAGACCCTCATCTTTCACTGGTAGTCACCTTCCTCTAGGCTGATAGAATGAGATTCCGGTTTTTAAAGATCCGTGTCTCATGGAAAAGTTTTCCTAGAACAGGATGCAACTCTAAGGATTAAGCTGGCAGCTAAGGTGTTTAAAAAAATCAAAAACTATTTTTCTCAGCCTGTCAAAAGGTACATATGGAATCCCTGTTTCAGGATGAGCCGAGCTTGCTTCCTTCCTTCCTTCCTTCCTTCCTTCCTTCCTTCCTTCCTTCCTTCCTTCCTCTCCCTTCCCTTCCCTTCCCTTCCCTTCCCTTCCCTTCCCTTCCCTTCCCTTCCCTTCCCTTCCCTTCCCTTCCCTCCCCTCCCCTCCCCTCCCCTCCCCTCCCCTCCCCTCCTCTCCCCTTCCTTTCCTTTCCTCTTTCTTTCTTTCTTTTTAAGATTTATTTGTTTATTTTAGAAAGAGAGAGAACGAGCAGAAGGGGCAGAAGGAGGGAGAGAGATTCTCAAACAGATCCCTGCTGAGTGTGGAGCCCCATGCGTGGCTTGATCCCACGACTCCAAGATCACAACCTGAGCCAAAATGAAGAGTTGGATGCCCAACCAACTGCTCCATGCAGGAGTCCCGAGCCAAGCTCTTTCAAATCAGTGCACCTTAAACAAAACATGAATGATTATATGGTTTCTTTTGGAGAGAATCGTATTAAAGCATGGTTTTATTTATCTGAAATAGTTCTTAAAGTTTTAAAAAGATATTCTTTGTTCTGAAACACTTTAAAACATTTCATGACTCATGTCAGATAGGAGCGGCCATGTTTAAAAGAAAGATGTGGAAAGATGGCTAGTGTAGAAGTATCCAGAGGTATGACAGTAAAGTACTTTCATGTCATGGTTATTTACCCCCATTCCGAAGATGGTGGCTGTGTTTTAGTGAAGAAAGCATAAATCTCTCTTGTCTGCTTTCCTCCAGGACAACAATGAGTAAAGCCAGTACACAGAAGAGGGCTGTGGTGAAGGACCAGCATGGAAAACGCATTTACTTGGAGCACCTGGAGGATGTACCAGAAGCACTAGACCAAGATGACCTCCAGCGCGACCTCCAGCAACTCCTTCGGCATTTCTGCAAGGAGGACTCAAAGCAAGAGGCCAAATGAGGGGCTGCCCAGTCCTCACACCAGAAACCACACATTCACTCAATATGCAACTTCCCGTTTCATTAGCAGAGTGACCTACCCGGCCTAATGGGATACCCTGACACTTCCACTTTTAGCAAATACACACTGCATTCTGTTTCAGTTTTTCCCCCCGTCCTCTTTAACTGTAAGCTAATTTGTGACCAAAGATAGCATCCTTCCGTCTGGATGCTGTATCCACTACTTTGTTGTGTCTGTGCTAAATTGAGAACTGGCCACCTCCATCGTTCTTTGCTCCTGAACAAACTCCATGAACATCCATCGATCAGAAGAACTTCACCTACAGACCTCTTCAAGTGATGATACCTAGGAGTCCTCCCGAGGGATATCCTTGTACCATGTATATAGCTCAAATGCTCAGATGAACAACATATTAAAATTAAAACCACTGCCTATCATAACTACACTGGGCATCATGGAATAAAAGGCCTCTAGAAATTGCTGAACAATGGTTAATTAAGATATTGCTAACACAATCGAATGATAATACAGTTCTACCGCAAAAGAAGCACTTCAGACCTACCGTGTCCTTAGAACTTCCAGAGTAGCCATTGCTCCTAGTTAAAGATGGGTTAATAACCTCAAGGAACTCTCCTAACTAAGCACTTAATGCTGGTGCTGGCCAGCCTTGATTTATGATTCTCCAACAGCCACACGAGGGAGGGGAGAAGGGGGGAGCAGAAGGCAAAAGGAACAAAACAATGAGGTATTCAGCTGCTAGCAGCCACATCCTGTGGCATTCTAGCATCTTCAGGTCTTTTAGATTTTGGACACATTGGCAGGGTATTTTAAAAGCTATAACTACTGTAGTTTTCCAGTTTTCATTGCTGCTTTAGCAAACCACGCTGTCTTATTGGTGGTACTTTCTTCTGGCCACTGCACTGTAGATAATTCATTGGAAACAAGATTTACCCACTACGCAAAAGGTTAGACTCCTTCACCATGTTGGAGTGGTTCTCCCCCGCCCCGGGTTTATATCTTCTCTAATACCTGCATGTAGCATTTAAAAATCAAAACCACAGTCAAAACTCCTCTTCTAATCACACTGATGGTTTTCATTCTTTTGACCCTGAGCAAGCACTTTTCACTTTCCGCTAGGTCTGTTTTTTAGCTTGCAGACAAGGTTGAGAAATCCTTACAAATTTGGTTTTGGTTAAAATTTTTGATTTATTTATTTGAAATCCAAACTCCCTTGGAAACTCTTAAGTGCATTTGTGCACTTTTTTGTTTGTTTCAGAGAAGGAACTTTAATCATCTGAGTGATTTCCATGTCCTATTCCTTATTCCTCTAGTGGTTGAAGCTGTGTAGCATTTTAACATATATATATATTCACAAATATATTCATATAAACAATATACATTTCGAATCAGTTATTTGTTAAAGAAAAGTATATTCAATGAAGATGAAATTTAAAAAAAAAAAAGTCTATCCTCCAGGGATTGAACATTTTCCAATTCTATCTGGTCTTTTCCTGTTGTGCAAAAATGACTCATTGCTCCGAATGTCAAAAACAAATGTGACAAACAATGGCACTTCATCGTTTCAAGCAATGTTGCCAAGGGAGAAAATTTCCTGGGAGGGAGGTTTCCCACAAGCCAAATCTCTTAAAGCCTCAAATGCTAGCACTTTCCGGCAGTTGGATAGGAAATCAAACTTTCTTTGGCAGCCAAAATGAGAGAGGCTCATGGTGAAACTTTTTGAGACACACCATGGCCTTCTTGTCAAAACCTTCACTGGAGCTCAAGAAAAGCATTTCTGTTGTGTTATTTGCAATGCAGATGATGTCTGTGTAACAACATAATGGTTATTCACCTTTTTTTGATTTTTGATTTTTGCTGTGTAATCAAAAAACTTGAATACTGTGAGAAGAAGTGAATTTTCAGTTGATGAATCAGCATCTTGTTCCCATGGTGATAACACTAATTGAATATATCTATGAGGGCATGTATTAGTTAATGGAAAAAAAAAATACAACACTAACAATACATAGCTGCAATGTGTACAATGGCTGATTTAATTAAATAAAATGTACAAGTGTTAAATGTGGCAACAGTGATTTATTCTTCTTTATCACTTAATCTGTGATTTCAGGAGATAAGATTATTGAAGAGATGACATGGGATTTGAAGCCAAAAAGGACACAAATCGCTCTTTTCCTTGTAGTTTTTATTTAGTGACAAATATGCTATATGCCCCAGAGCACTGTTTTAAGCACTGAGATGAACAGAGTTTGTCCTTGCCCTCAAAAAACTTTTGTTTTTGTTATGCAAAAGGAGAAAGACAAAGATTTATATTTAGTTTGGGGATCGTTAGCAAATAAAAAAATAGCAACTTCGGGGCTGGGAGGAAATGAGGAGCGGGTAACCAGGGATTGGTAAGGCAGCGAGGCCCACCGGGCAGGATTCTCCCATTTCAGTTCTCATTTATAAGGCAGTGGTACTCCGGAAACACCTTCCTTTGGGAACAGCATTTCGCCGGGGGTGGGTGGGGGTGTTATTTATCTCATAGCCTGAGAATTAAACATTAAATGGGTACATCAATATAAATAACAAAAGGGCAGAAATACACAAAACTGAAATCAGTTGTATTTGGAGAGTTTTTGGTTTTTGTTTTTTGAAAAATCCCTTTAGTGCTGCTATAATATTTTTTACTGTAAAAACAGTACAAAAAGACATGGTTAGGAAATCGAGTAGGTTTTACATATTTAAAATGTAAGGTGGGGCAAACCCTCCAGACTGAGGGAAGATCATGCACATCTCACAGATGACTTGAATTAGGTATAAAGAGGTGAAAATTACATCTAAGCACACTGAAACCGGCTTGAATTGAATTTGAACTTCGGTTGCTAGTGGTATGATTTAATTTATGTCAGCATGGAGGGTCTGGGTGTGGGCAAGGAGACCAGTCCATGAATAAAACAGATAAAGAGAATCTAACCAGATATTTAATGAGAACCAAAATCACTACAAGGTTTTCTTGAATAATGGAAAAAAGATGGTCAGCTTGCTTTCATTATACTATGAGAAAATAATTGCTTAAATGTCTTTGTCTTCAGCTGCCACTCTCTGCTTAAAAATTATACTCTTTTCCTTCAGTTAAGGTCTGATTTCTGTTTCTGATTTAATTAAAGCTAGAATTACAATCTTAGAGTGACCTACCCACGTAAATATGTAATACAACCTTTGTTTCACTATAGTAATAGAACATTTGAGAAAATCTTTGAAATATCTTAAGAAAAACCTTTATTCCTAACTCCTACACACAAATTATTCTTTTCTGGTTAGACTCAGACTCCCTGGGAAAAACAAAAGTACTCCTTTATTTTAAATAAGCTCCACAGAGTGGAATAGATGATACATGTGAATATCCTGTGGGTAGAGCTGCTCTATTTGGTGGGCAGGGGCATTTGAGAGTGGTATTTGTAATACTCCAGCGGATCCCTTCATCACGGGGAATGTTCAGTTGGTAGGCCCCTGAGGTGTTTCGGTGAGGCAATGTGACAAAATGGCGAAATAGGGGATCTCAGAGCAAGATTGGATTGGAGTCAATCCAGCTACGGCAGTACTTAGGCGACTTTGTGCGAGTACCCTCTGGAATCCTCAGTAAAATAAAAGAACACCACCTTGGAACCCTCTCGCCATACCAGATGCAGGGAAGGGCAGCAAGCCCTGTGTCATCCCTTTAATCTGGAAGTGCCATAGGGGCCTATGTGTCCTCGGAGCCCATGAGATATGGACCTATATTTGTGACCTTCCCCCTCTTTGGGAAGGGTGAGCCTCAGCGGGGCAGAGTTGAAGGCTGTCAGCCCTCTAGATTAGAAAGTAGAGTTAGCCACTTCCTCTTAGGCACTCCCAGGACAGTTTTTGTCAGTCAAGCCCCCTTAGTTCACTTCCTACTCTGAGGAAGTGTTCTTCAGGATCTCTTTTTCTCAGCAGGCCTTCATAACTCAGTTCTGGTTTCCAGTCCTTCTTCCAATGCCCTCCACATACTCTATTTTGGGTTTTCATTTTTTCTTTACCCTCAAAGCTGAATAGGATAAAGCCACCCAACTCCCCTACTGAATGTTCTCTACTGGTAACTGGTCCAGCGTAGATGCTGCAAATATCTGTACTGCCGGGGCCCTGGGCTGGCCTGGAGGTGGGGAGGAACGCAATGGTGGTCTTTGTGGGTGTACAGAGACAACGGAATGACCATGTTGCAAGACATCCACACTGGGCCAGCTTTTCCTGGGTGTCGATCAGAACTCAGTTCTGATTCAGGCCAAGAGATAGGATTTTCATGGCATTAGTATAACAGCATCTTCTAGATGAGCTGGACCTTCTGTGAATTTTTCAAGTGACTCACAAATATGAGTCTACCTTCAACACCTCTCCAACCACGCTGTCTCATCCCAAAGAATCAGAGGGACAACTTAGACTCATTGTTTGAACAATCCAGTTACTGTTCAGACAGGTGTATTAGTTTTCTAGGGCTGCCATGGCAAAACACCCCAGAATAGTATTTATTTTCTCACAGTGCTGGAGGCTAGAAACCTGAGCTCAAGGTCTCAGCAGATTGGTTTCTACTGAGGTCTTTCTCTTTGGCCTGCAGATGGCCACCTTCTCGCGATGTCCTCAAGTGGTCTTTTTTCTTTGCGAGTGCATCCCTGGTGTCTCCTTTTGTATCCAAACGTCCTCCTCTTATCAGAACACCAGTCAGACTGGACTAGGCCCACCCAAATGGCCTCCTTTTAACTTAATCACCTCTCTAAAGGTCTATTTCCAAATGCAGTCACAATCTGAGGTCTGAGACGTGATTGTTTCAACCTAGGAATTTGGGGAGGACACAATTCAGCCCTTAACAATTGGGTTTAGTCCAAAAAGCAAAGCCCATGAGATATTCTAAGCAGTTAAGGATTTAATGAAGGGAATTAAAAACTTATACAAATGTTGGAAGAGAAAAAAAATGAAGGCAGGGAAGGTGCTGCTGCCTTGAAGAAACCCACAGTGCAGAAGTCAGAGCTCCAAACTGCCATTGATGGGTTTGGCTTCATGTAGCAATGAAGTCTATGCTTTTAGGAGAATGCCCAGACATAGCTGCCCAAAACCCTTCACCTGTCTTCTGCCAAAGTCCTACACACTGCCCAGCTGCCTCTGAACAATAATTGTTTTCCTTTTCTTTCCCTTTCAAACCTTGGGCAAACACTTATTATTGGCAGAATCTAACACATAACCCCACTGGAAAGGGATTCCAAGGAGTATAGTTCTGAGGATCTTTCCTCAACCTGCAGAGAAGAATGTAGAATAGGGTGGGAAGGATGCTGAGTTGGTAACCATTAACCATAGAGGTTAAGCCACAGAAGAATAGTCTTCATCCATCCACCAACTCATGCATTCATGATCTACTGTATTCCAGGCATTGTGCTAAGTGCTCAGGTAGATTGAGGCCAAGATGACCATGATTTTTATTATTGCCAGTCACCACTGAAAGTGCCCTTGAGACATCTTTAGTTTCTACCACAAACCTATGAAGTAAATACAGATGAGGAATCCAAGGAGCAGAAAGTTTGAGTATCTTACCCAAGATCATGCAGCTAGAAAACAGCAAATCTGGGGTAAGAACCCAAGCAAATGGCTCCAACAGTAAACCATTCTCCATCTTTGAAAGACAATCCTTAACTCTTGAGTTTATAATCTTGCAGGGGAGATATATGGAGCCAATAAGTTCACAAATAATTGATTAATTAAACATTAATTTGCTTTGAGAGAAATGCCTTTTATACAAAGTAACAAGCCCTGTTCAGTACCATTCTCATTTCTATTCTTCTGCAAAACATCTTCCTTTTTCCTCAAACCTACTTTCCCTTCCTCACCTACCTCGTGCTCAGCAGATGACCCTGACTCTGTTTTATAAGAAAGAAAGTGTGAATGGGCATGAATTACTTCAATGCTGTATGGGTCAGGGGTTCTCTAGAGAAACAGAAATAATAGGATGTATGTGTATATAAAGAGACATTTATTAAAAGGAATTGGCTCATGTGATTATAGAGATTGAGAAGTCCCACGATCTGCAGTCAGCAATCTGAGACCCAGGAGAGCCAATGGTGCAGTTCCAGTCCCAAAACTGACAGACCAAAACCTAAGAGCCGATGTTTCACATCAAGACGGAAGGCAGGAAAGGACTGATGTCCCAGGTCAAGGCAGTCAGGCAAGAAGAGTTCCTTCTCACTCAAGGGAGGGTCAGGCTTTTTGTACTATTCAGGGCTTCAGTTGATTAGATGAGGCCCACCAACACTGGGGAGGGCAGTTTACTTTACTCAGCCTACCAATTTAAATATTAATCTCATCCAAAAACACTCTCAGAGACATATTCAGAATAACATTTGACCAAATGTCTGCCACCCATGGCCCAGACAAGTTGATGCATAAAATTAATCATCACAAGTGTCCTTCCAATTCCTACCTCCAAAATTATATATATCTACCTCCACTCTAGCACATGTTAAAAAAATCTAACAACTTTAACAGATCTTATTGGTTTTAGTCAGAGATTCATGAATTGGGCAGCATCCTATCTAGCAGATAGAAAGGAACTCCAAGGAGCTGTACATCTGCCCCAAATTAAACACTTTTATAGGCAGAAGGGAGCAGGAACAAGGAAGTTATACTAGGCAAAAAGCGGGTTAGTTATTGCAAAGTTACTTTCTTTTAGGGGATGGCTGGGGTCTATCAGGCAGATTACCTCACTAGCATTGATCAGGAGATTCCTTACTGATGTTTAAGATTCCATTTCTGGGAGACCTGAAACTGTAATTGAGTCTTGATTTGGTGATGTGGGACTTAGCATCAGTGACTCCATTTTGCACCTGTGGTCTTATTTTTAACACATTCCTGGTTCTCACCAATGTTCTCCATGTTTCTCTCTCCCAGCTGAGGTGTACATTCAGATTTCTCCTGGTTGCAGAGAAAAAAATTTATCCTTCAATACTAGTTTTGCATCTAATACTTTCTCTGTCTCTCTTTCTCTCACTCTTTCTCTCTTTCTTTTTCTTTTTTTCTCTTACATAT